TGAGCCCGAGGGGCTCAACGGAGTGGTCCCTTGGGTAGATACTTCGTGGGTTTCATTAAAGTTCTATGCTTAATTTATACTTTATACCTGAAGAGTGCCGTCTACTTTTACCGCTTTGAACAAAGATTTCACAACTATCCGGACAGAAACGGCGTATTGTCTCTCTGTGTATTCTTCCAATGACTGCTGATCTATTTTGAATTACGATCATGTGAATAATGTGATGTCGTGAAGCGGTCTATTGAAAGAACAGATATCCAAATGATAAGAAGATCATCGTTAGGAAGGGAAGAAAAAGAGAAGAGAGGGAAGCTCTCTTTCTACATCTACTACCAAGTAAGACTGGTGGGGCTCTATAGCAAAACCGCCTACTGTCTTCCTATACGAAACTGTATCTGTTACCCAGATACCACGCCAATCGTTCCCTATAGCTGTACATACGTTAGGGATAATACGTTTCGTCACTGAAACTCTAGACACTCAAAGGTTCAGGCTCTATATATTAAACAACATTTGAGCCAAAAGAGCCCTTATTGGTCTATTCGTTTCCCGGTAAGGGCACACGGCATAAAGAAACACATATTTCAGATGATATGGCTTCCATTACAATCCAAATGATTCATCACCGATCATCCTCAATATGACTCGGAGTCTCCAATTCATCCACCAAGGCTAGATAATTGCATACACTATCAAGAGGTCAAACCTAAATACCGTGATGATGATGATGATGATGATGGTGATGATGATGAATTCATTTGCCCGATGTAACTCGCTCTAAATATATGCTGCTATGCGGGAGAGCTATCAGGCCTGCCGACAGCTGTACAGTGGTCGCCAGCCCACTGGGTGACCGTCAGGATACTCGCAAGGCGACCTTCCTGATCAATCGTCCTCGAATGAAAAGATTTAAACGAAACAAAAAAAAAAAAAAAAATGCACGGATGCAAACGTGATAAAAACAAAGAAAACCAAAATGAACGTCACTTTCCCCTGGTCGCGGGTGGGACCAGGGTCCCGCCTCACCCAGGTATATACTACACCATTCTCACGCCCTCATCTCCGCGACCCTCCAATCCGCCGGCTCTCGCTCGCGCGCTAGCCTGGATCGAGGGAGTACAGTGGATCTGGCACTCCACTCTTAATGGGCGCCTCCTTCTTCTTCCGTCACACTGTCCTAGGGATCAATATCTCCGCTCCTGTCATCCCCTTCCTCCGCGCCGAAAGCCGTTGGGTCGGCTTCCTGAAATTGGCCTAGTAGACCGGTCTTGACCATGAAATCGGCCACGATTGTGCGAGCCTCCAGTCGTATCAGGGGTTCGTCTCTATGGAGAGCGACTACGTGGTTACAGAGAGCACTTCTCATCTAGTCTCGCTCGTCCTGGTCTAACGGGCACTCTAGGAGGACGTGGGTTACTGTTTAGCTGCTAAGGTCGCAACTGCATTAAGACCGATATCGTCGCTTTGCACAAGCCCGACTAGTATTTTAGCGTCTTCATCGTTGGTAGCTCAATTAAGCGTTTCGTCGGTCGACTGGTTGTCTCCTTCCCGCACATTATCTGCTATTCCAACTTCGCTTCGCTGCGGATTCGCCGTTTCACTGCAGCTGCGAGGCATATACCTCTGTTAAGAGGGTTAGGTAGCCCGCCCGGTTCCTACGCTGCTTCTTTCGCGTGTTGATCCGCGAACTCGTTTCGTATCACTCCTTGATGTGCAGGGATCTACCGGAGTTCTGTCCGGATGCCTCTGTCGGCAAGTCGTCTGATCAAAATTCAGACATCCTACTAGGTAGACTTGCCCCGACGGCATCCGCGGTCGACCGAGCGCCCTCAGTGTCGCTTGGCTGTCTATAAAGATGACGACCCCGTTCTTCATCTGCTCAGCCCATGGCTCTGTGCTTTCCAGAACCGTTTCGAGTGCGATCTCAATGACTCGAAGTTCTGCCCCATACACGGTGGACGTACTATCGTCTCCCATCTGGTTATGACGGTTGACCGCATCTTCTCTGTCCTCGATGATTACCTCTTGGCGGCGATTTCCATGGTGCCTGAATGCCTTTCGACTCTCCTTATTTCTCGTCAAAGTGCCCGGGGAAAACGTGAGGCACCCGCCCGTCTTCCAAGTTTGTGTCTCCATCGGCGACCATTTAGCCCAGTCTCTTTCGTCCACAGGTCTACGTTGCAGCATCGTCAGTGGAATAGCGTATGTCGATCTTGTCAATAGTCGTAAGGCCATTTCCATCACGAGTCGATTCATATAGATTGCAATTGGTGGTAGGTGCAATTCTGTGTTAAGTGCCCCCGCTGCCGATGTTTAAAATCCTCCGTTGATTTGGCATGCGGGCCGTTTCTGGATGCTCACGAACGGTTGACTAATTGCACGAGCCTTGGTTTTACTAACGAGAATAGGCTGATACCATGCTGAAACTCCAAAGAGCATCTGCGGAATAATCACTGCTTGATAGATCCAGTACATAGCAGAGAGAGAACTTCCCCGTTCCAGCCCGCCAAGCTTTATAGCGTTTGGAGGGACACGTCTGCCTTTGCAACCGCTTTTTCGCGGTGGTGATGGAATTCCAGTCGGGGGTCTAGCCAGTAACCCAGATAGTGTTTGGCCGTCCCCATCGCAGGTACTGTATGCCCCTGTAGAGATAGCGGCGTGTATTGTGGGACAATCTCTCAAGTGTTCACGAAGTGCACGAGGGCATACTTTTTCGGGTCAAAGATAGAGGCATGTGTTTTGGCCCAGTGATCGGCTTTCCAGCATGCCGCTCTGAGTTTCTGAGTGGCCTCGCGCTCAGTGTCTCATTTGGCCATGAAACAGACATCATCCACCCAAACGTTGCCAGTTATGCCGTTCCCGCAGTTCTCGATGAGATCTGCGTTGTAAAGGAGATAGAGAGCCAGCGAGATTGGCGATTCTTGAGGGATTCTAGGGATCTCCAATACAGCAATGGAAACAGTGTTGTATTGCTATCTCAAAACACAGACAGAGAGAACAAGAAGAAGAAAAGGGAGAAGAGAGAGAGCAAACTATCTACCCTACGATCCTATCCCATGGGTGGGTCACCGGAACCCCTCCCCCAACAGGGATGCCCCGTTGGTGCCGGAATTTGATGGGAGATACCCTCAGGCATACGAATACTCGTGGCCCGAGTAGAAATGAACGCTTCTACCCAGGACGCAAGTTGACCCAATCGTCGCTTCTGAGATTATGGCGCAGGCGGGTGTGAGAGACATTATCGTAGGTTCCTGATACATCCGGCATCAGCAGTGACACCACCAGGTTACCTTTTCCCGGTTTTGATTCGGTCGATCATGTGGTGAATCGCCTGGTCAGTCGAGATGCCCATCGACCACCAAGGTGGGCCTTTGGAAGCAATCCCTCGGTTTCCACGGCGTAGCTGATTCTTCTTGCGATCACTGCTTCCAGGAACTTGCCAAGGGAATTGAGCAACGCTACAGGTCGATAAGGCTTTGTTAGTTGGTAGTCGAATTTTGCCCTGCTTTCTGAGGACAGCCGTGTTTGGACGTTGAAAGTGTGTTGATTTTTAGCCGACGCGGACGCACGCGTTAAACAATTGACCCAGAACCCACAGGATGACAGGTACTTCGATCAAAGTTACCACGCCCCGCAGGAGCTCACACTCTTGCTTCGCGTTACCTGGGGAGGCCTCCCTTCTCCTGGCCGACCGTGTCTTGTAGAAAGCCCTCACATACCCCCCATCCGGCAGTGCATGTTGGTCGCTCTCCACTAACCAAGCTTGGTCCCCAATGCCTGAACTGGATCGACGGGTTGCCCGTGGCAAAGCCGCAACCAGTTCCGTCGGTGGCCGAGCCTTAACGAGGCCCGCAGTGCAGCATGTCTCAAAGCCTTGACGAGTTCGAGTCTTAACGAGGTCTGTCCAAAGTCAGCTTGACTCCCTGTGTCACCGGTTCACTGCCACCTCGCCGCATCTCGCAGGATGCGATATCAGACCGTATGCAAGCTCAGGGGTGTCCTATCTTCTTTGTAGGGCGACACCACTTTCACTGGTATTGCAAAACCAGCTTCTGGGTCTGAGTGCGAGTCAGGTAAAATGAGGTCGGGTGGTTGTCATATCCATATCCCCTGATTTTGGTGTGGTTGTGCGGTCGTGCCCCGCGCTGACCGCACCGGGCCGGACCTCTCAACCACGGCGGATTCACTTTGGTCTTCCCAACAAAGATTAACACCGGTTACCACGAGAAGGTAAGAATCCATTGTCCCAACAGCATGGCTGTGGCTGTTGCCCAATGCGAGCTCACTGGGGGCTCCTAAATACCACGTGATGATACTACTCAGCAGTGTAGACCAACAAGGGAGCCAAGCTGAACTCATCAAAGTTTATCATTTCTACCTACCACGTTAATGGAATTACAATTAAGTTTATTTGATCTGCTACACAATTTCTCATAGGTCACACAACTAGACAAGAACAGAGATTGACGATAGCATTCAAAGTATTTTCTATATACGTGGTAGCTAGTTCGACATACCAAACTACTTGCAAGGTGATATTTCGAGTAGCATTCACCCTATATGACAATAGTTCAACCTATTGAAGAGTTGGAACATTGGTAGGCTACTACACCCAGCGGTGCAAAGGTCAGTCCAACGCATAGAACCATACCAACCAACCTTCGAACACCCCACACACAGAGTAGATAGATCCTAACCGCCCGAGGCATTAGATAGGGGTCAGATAGTAGAGGTGTAGGATGATGTATTATGGTACTATCTTAAGGAGCGAACGTATGTCAGCCGGCTGGAGGCAGTACCCCAGGCGGAGACAGGTCAGAACTTGCTAAACACCGTATACCACATTACCAATGTAAGAGGATTAGTCCTCAAAGTATAATAAATAGTATTGCCCAGATAAAGGTATCCCACGTACATCGAAAGCTCCAAATTTTGAAATTTTCAACCTCTCGAATGGTTCTTCCGCACGCAAGACATCTGGAGCTAACTCCCATCCCAACTCAGTTGTATGGTGGATCAATCTTGTAGAGTGCATCATCTCCCTGCTCGTCATAAAGCTTCGAATCTATAACAACCGTAGAGAGGAAAATAGCTGCCTCCGTTTTGCTCGGATTTTCGCTGAGCGTGACATGGTCTTGTGGAACCTCAAACCAGGCCTGGCCTCCATGGAATATAAACGGCTCGCCATTGTTCAATGCGCCTCGATAAGTACCGCTGATGACATATGAGGTGATAGAGGCATTTTTGTGGGTGTGAGGTGGAGTTGCGCCGTTTGCTGGGAGTATAGTATAAATACCAACGACGGTCTTGCCGGGGACATCGGGTAGCTTGTATGAATACTTGACTTTGGAATTCTCCCTGGGGCGACTTGTTGGATTTTCTCAATGTTAGTCATTCCATTGGCCGCTTTATAGTGGATTAGACATACGTGGGATCGTATTCGCCTGCCATTTTGGAGCAAGATTTATAAGTTGAATTTGACCTAGGTGAAAAGATTTCAAATCCGGATTGATGGATGATCTAACGCGCCTTTATAGTTCACACATCTTCACTTTGACTTCAAAACACGTATAGATCGTTCCAGGCTTTGTAAATGGACTATGCTGTGTTACCACGATGCGTTACTATCTTCTCTGGTCAACTTGCGCATTCCACAGCTGAGCATAGCTGCATATGACACACCAATTGTCTCAAATACTAGCCATATTTATTCAGACGTACATCGATGGCCTGATGTATTCAGTTCACAAGTACCTCCAAACTGTATATCAATATCTGGTTCTGTTTTGTCATACTTCACCGCTTAGGTATCGCTGCATATGCACATAGATAGGGATGATGCGAAGGCTGCCCGGGGGGTTCGTCATGCATGCATATATAAATTTGCGTTACATCTGATGTCATACATGGAATTTATTACGTGTGGGCTATGCACCAATGTCCAACTTATTCTGCAACCGGTTGGCTGGGCCGTCAGCCTGACGTGGTCAACAGAATGTTTCAACCTTGAATTCTCTAACAAGCATTCAAATCTAGCTATCACTTATTCCTCGTGAAAGAGTGCTGGACATTATCTCTATTTTTTACGGTCTATCAAAAGGATTCTAATATGTAAAGTTGTCCCTGATCTCAAATATTGTCCACGAAAGAACTTGTACTTCTGAAAAACGACGAATAGGCGGTGAGAAGACTCAGTCTGTGTATTAGTAGCATTTGTAATTATACTCGCTTATCCGAGCCCTGCCGACGAACCTAGCATTGACTAGTCTGCTCTTCCCGTGTCCCAGCGTGAAAGAGGTTTGTTGGCACTGCTGGAGACTCTCCTGGGTGTGGAATACCAATATGAAAGACTGAGATGAGTGAGCGGGCTGAGACTGTCTTTCCACGGCCTTGACTCCTGGAGTGACCGACACATTGGGTGGCGACGCCCTGCGGGAAAGTTTTGTTAACATTCATTTTGCAGGTACAGAGATGGCGGGAGATAGATGGGGTACACGGAGGGCGCCATTTAAAGTAGAGAGCGAGCTTCTACATGTTGTAGCTCAGAGGCATGTATGAGCCTATTCCGTATCGACACTTCGGAGCTAATTCCGACGGTGCGGCTTGGTTCCTGACCTGCACCAGCTTCATCTCACAACATCAAAGATCATGAAAACATGCAATTCTCGCGTTCTGGAATACTTCGACAAACTTTGACGATACTAAATTATGTTGATCTACTGTGTGGATTGTACGTGGGATGCTGGATTTCTCTCCACATGGCGCTTCGCCGCATGATTGCCTGGACTTTGTTTGTCCTCCCGGACAAGCTTTTCGAAGCAATTTGGGGCGGGGGCCCCAAGCACAAGTCATCTTGATATTACACGAATAGTTTAGCCGAAGCAGCTTCGGTAGCCTATTCATTAGGGGCGTGTACATTCTAGCTGGGATTGGCGGGATTTGACTTCTGTCTTCGTGGTATATGCTGAAGCTCAGCCGCCGATTTACGGCGGCATGGCTGAGACAACACTCTTTTTGTTTTGAGAAGACTTGGCTCGTAACAGGGTATACCTTGGAGCCCGGGCTACCCGGGCTGAGCTAGGCTAGGGAGCACCCGGCATGAATTGACTAAACATTCGTGAAGTACAAGTCTATTCAGCAGTTTAGGTAACATTTAAATACTTACTTAATTCATAACCCTGAACTATATTAGGCCCGACTCTTACATATATAAATATCACATTTTGGCCTTAGGATTCGAACCAATTAACGAGACTGACTCCACCTTGACTTTACTTACCATGACTGGAAATTTCGCTTCTCTTCCCTTACTTCTGATACGTAGCCTAAGTTTCTGTCGGACCTTGAGGATACACTTATCAAAGTTGAATTCTTATACTTGAAAAACCACTTGATTCCACCTCAAGTTCAACATGACTTGTTGCAAACTTAACAGGAGTGATTAGCCTATCGGCGGAGCATAAGGCGGAGGTCAGCATGACCAATATGAAATGATTCAATGGACATACTAATGGGCCTGTCTTTGCGCTTATCCTGCCTAGTGCTTAATCCTAAACTTACATGAGAATAATATCAAAATACGCAAAGAGATATATATTTGATTTTTTTCTGCTGCTGCATGTCCCCTCTACTCTAATCCCATGAGAACCGTCTCAAATAATGCTGTTTGAGGCTCCACGAATCCCCTGGGTTTGTATGGTGCAGGTGTCCAGCCTATCTACAGTCAATATGCTAAAGATATTGTCTAGGGATCTCCAATACAGCAATGGAACTTCGGACACAGAGATGTATTGCTATCTCAAAAACGCAGACAGAGAGAAGAGGGAAAGGAAGAAGGGAGAAGAGAGAGAGAGCAAACTATCTATCCTACGATCCTATCCTATGGGTGGGTCAGCTGACCCCCAAAATATTGGTGCGAAAATGTACTTCAGTACCTCCGATAAGAAAATGCAGTTCATACTTTACTAACTAACCTCAAAATTCGTTATCAGTATCAAAAGACACTACTAGGTCATACTATTGGCATTATCCAGCACTGCCGCTTTGTTTCAGTCTACCGTGGGGCACGGGGGCCTTAATAGGGCTGCCCGCTGCATTTTACTGTCATTATAATATACGCAATCTCAAATTGACCAGCTTATACAGGAAGTGAGGACAACAAACTTCATCTCTACCTATCATCTTTGCCATAAAGCAAGTGCACAAATATCACCTGGTAAACGCCATCCTACATGGCTTTAAAAGGTTTATATTTGTGAGGTGTAAGGCCTGTCAACCCGGTAAAGATACGAACGAGATAAGGTACCGAAAGGGCGGCGAGGAACAATGATATTGTCTGTCTTGGTACAAGACTGAATCTTGAAAGAATCAGGTACAGGGGGCCGCAGTGGGGAACATATACCTCTCTTGGGTGACTAAGGTTATACAATCCCGAATTCCTTTGTATGGGCTTGAACCCCATTACAATGGCACTAAGGAATATTGCAAATATCCTCCAAACTGATTTCCTCCTGGCGCCGACGAACCATGATCTCAGCCTCAGGATCCGCTTGAAGAACGCCTCCATGTCTTCTTTGTTTAGGAACCGAGCCTTCAGGTAGCTTGAAGTCATACTTGACCAGAATATGACACAGTGCAATCTTGATACTGTTAGAGGCCATGAATCGACCGGGGCATGCGTGAATTCCAAGACCAAATCCCATATGCTCAGCTGCAGGCACTATCAGCTGTGCACGAGTTTCACCCCCAGGTATTTGGCGCTGCTTCAAGAACCGGTAGGGATCAAAAGTTTCAGGGTTCTCATAGAAATTCGCGTCCCGCATCCAATCAGTAGGAATGAAAAGTGATGTCCCCTTGGCAATCTTTGTCCCATCACTAAGTTCAACGTCTTCTTCCGCAATTCGTCTCAATGTGGCTAAAAAATAAGTATATCTCGTTGCTTCAAATGATGAAAGGGTTCTCACCAATATTGAGTGGCTTTAATCGTTGAGATTCCTTTAAGAAGCTATCCATCAAATGTAGCTTGTTAAGTGAAACTTTCTTCCATCCTTCCTGAGAAAGCACCGTGACCACTTCCTTTCTTAACTCATAGATTAGGTCTTCCTTGCCACAAAGATCAAATACTGCCTGCGTGATCATATCCGCTGTGGTGTGTAGGGAAAAAGTAGATAGGAGCAACTGAGCTGCTGTAGGATCATAGGGTTCTCCTTTAGATGCCTGCTCCATCCACTCTAAAGCGTCGTTATAGACTGGCGGTGGTCTCCCCTCCAGTCTGGCGGCTTCTCGAATTTTTCGCCTCTCTTTCAAGACCGGCTTAATGATATCCTGCGCCCCTTGGAAATCTCTTTGCATTTTCCTGGTAGAGTCCAAAACTCGCACTAAAATCGGGTGCAGAATGCCTGGCCAGTCTGGGAGCTCCTCTGCTGCTCTAAATGAATTTGTTGTATAATCGGTGGCTATACGAAGCCAATCAGGATTTCGACAAATCGTTTCGCCTAAGAAGACCCTTGATGACTGTTGGGCGATCTGTCTGAGAAGGCTAGGCGCTAGAGGGAAGCTGTGCCAATCTACATTCGTCGTTAATGCAACCTCCGATTAGAGTTCTTGGGATTGATTCCTACCTGGGTTATTCGTCCAATTATTCTCCAGTGCGAGTGATGCCTCTTCAGAAACAGGTTTTGTCACGCTTCCTGACTTAAAGTTTAGAGAGGGCTCTTATGAGTTTCCTGAACGTGTACCAACCAAGTGCTTGTGTCATCTTTTTCCTCACAGTGCCTTGAAATACATGCGCCCCAGCATAGATGAACGGATTAAACCCCTTAAGGTGAGAATATAGTTCGTGTTCTATTACCCGGTCCAGACTTAATGCTTTGATATTCCCGATTTCGGTAGCGTATTTAGGCGACAAAATTGTCAATAGACCTTTATCACCCATAATCCGGAATGAATCAGCCTAAATTGGTACAGTCAGGTATATCAGCCCAAATTTCCCAATATCAATTCCGATAAAAGATATCAGCATACTTTAGCCAACCCCGCTTTAATCAAGGCGGGTGCATCGGAAACAAATTTCCTGACCTCTTCAGCTTTTGACGCAGATATACGCTGTTGCCACAAAATGATAAAGTAGAGATTCAATAGTGATGCAGAGATAAAGCCCAGCGCTTTCAGTAAAGTCAACGTGCAAGGCCAAGGTGCGTCATCAAAATTGGCTAGCATATTGTCGGCGCTTTATTATTTGGTAAAGTTTGGAACCTTAATGCCAGAGCCCTGGTGTAGAAATTGTTTGAGAAATTTGGATAGTTGAAAGATCGCGCTCCTTCTATTTAGACCTGGGCAAAATCATTCCAAGAATGGGGTCGTACAAATCTCTCGGTAAAAGATTCAATTGAGCTAGCCCAGGGCATATGCAAGGCGACGCACGCTACATGACAATTGAGGTAGGTATACATATTGTAATGGTGAAACACGTACCATATAATCTAGGTAACACTGTATGTACTGGTAGGATGATCTTGTACCACACGGGATGAGAGATCGACTTATACATTCCAAATACACTGATTACAGGGCTACAATCGGTCCTATCAAGAAAAGCAAGGCGTGTGTAGCTTCCTACGTTGACAAAAGTTTGAGATATGAGCATCATCTGATGCAGAGTGACACCCGAGTTGATTGTCCTTAACCAATAAGATAAGAGCCATAATTTCTCCGTGGATACACCCTGGCCAGCAATAAAAATGTCGGTGAAAATATATTATGCAGGCGAGGAGCCATGACGAGAGACCAGAGGGCCACGTCATGTCCGCTGAAAAGACGAGCAAGACAGCCGTGTGATTTTACTTTATGAAGTTTACTATTAAGGCTGCGTGGAAGCGGGTCGGATAAACGGAACACTGGAAGGTCCATTGATGCCGTCCACGGGTGGCGCTTAGATTTACCTCAAGACGTGGAAAATTTATGTGAAAGAAGTTTAAAGCACACTATAGATCTTGATCTTTGATTTCTTATGTTGCTTTACAGAGACAAAATTCTCTCCTGAATGTGTAATAGCGAATTATACTAAGGTAGATTTCCAGCGATCCCCAGGACTACTCGGAACCCCCCCCTTTGACTAGTTCTAGGCCCAGATGATGTTACAGCGCTTTGAGGCCGTGCGTAATTACTTGGGGTCCGTGCTCCGGCATTGGATTGTTGTTTGTGGATCTCTGCTAGCGTCTGCATTAGTATTGGTTTGGATTGACTTCTGAAGTACAGCGATGTCATAAATCGGGTCACTCATAGCTGACCACCTAGACAGTTCTTGACACGTCACCGGGCATGCATGTAAATATACTAATTGCAACTTTGCCAGAGACTCAGCTGATGAAGTCATTCCGCCTGGAAAAACTATGGTTTGGAGGACACAACAAAGACCTGCAAGTTGTTATTTTCTAGTATTGCTGCATTCTGCGTTGGATTATACCGTTAGAACATCCCGAGCTACCTTTCTCTCATCGATTCACCTTTGTACAGAATCTAAAGTTCCTAGGAAACTGATTTGGGCTAGTATCTATGGTGCTATTTCAGAAATATTCTTCGAAAAATTGAGGGATTTTAAACTAGTACGTACGTTAATCTAACCGGAAAGGCAGTAAGTACCTTACAGCCCAATGTCCTTTGCCTCAAGCGCAACAAGATGCGGGAGCAGCTCAATCAGCTTCGGCTGGTTAGGCTCCCAACCAAGCAGCTTCCTTGCACGAATAGCATGGCCACGAGAGTTCGAACCCCATGCAATCCGACCCATGTCCAAGATCTCCGTTGTTTGCTTACCATCCAACGACTCGACCTCAGGAGACTTGATATACTTTTGATCAAAAGCAGCTTGCGCTACCGCACGACATATGTCACCCCAAACGAAGGAGCCATTTTCAGCAAGGTAGTACCCCCCATCGTTCCACGTAGCCTTACCGCCACCCTCGGCAGCAGCCTCACCTAGAAGTAGGTAGAGGTCGCTTAGATCAGACACATGAACTTGATGCCAAATATTTTCACCGTTTCCGACCGTGAAGCCTTTGCCGCGCTTGAGTACGGCGGCGACGAGAATAGGCACCTGAATACTTCTCTTTCCGACGGGTCCACGGCCTAGCCCGTAGATTGTTGGGGGACAGACGATGGCAGTGCGAACACAAGTAGGCGTATCTTTACCCGCTTTGATTATTACTTCGTCCACGTCACGGTGGGATGCTTCCGAAGGGAAGCTCATAAGTTCGTTGATGCCCTCCCAGTCGTTATACACCTTTGGGCGCTCGATACCGTATGTATATGCGTGTTGGTCTTCTATAGTCAATATACCAGTTCCTGAGGTATGAATTAGCCAGAGGGGACGCTCAGGAGTGTGATGCTTGGCCCCTCTAGCGATGGCCTCTGCAGCAGGAACATGGTCGCAATCAGCGAAGTCTGAAGTCAATTCATAAGCCTTCGTGGGTGGTTCTGAACACTGAATTGAACATACGGAAGACGATATCTGCCTTTCTCACTTCCTCCTCAAGAAGGTCGTAGGAGTCTAGATCACCATATACGACGCGGATCTTGGGGTACTGGCTGGAGAGCACAGCAGCCTTGTCTTTGCTACGGACGAGAGCCGAGAGCTCCCAATCGGGGTGGGCGTTGGCGGCGATGAAAAGCCAGTCTCCGCCGATATAACCGGTGGCACCAGTACTAAAGAGATGATCAGATAAAGATGTTTAGCTTTGCGTGGTGGGGTGATATACATGAAGACCTGAAGAGCCATAAGTCTCGCACGATGGATGTGGAATGTAAAGCGGAAACTGAGCTAAAGCATAGGGAGAACACAATGAATCAAAAGAAGCTTGAACAGTTCACACTGACCTGAAACGCTTTGAAATCAACAGTATTCGAATCGAATGAATCACTATGACCAATATGGATCCGAAAGTGGGCAAAAGCGGGAAAAGTGAGGGTCGTCACATTCCTTCCGTTGTTCTCCACTCTTGTCGCTGCATTGGACAGGGGCGAAGCTCGTTTTGACTCGCTCAATACATCGCGCCTACACCCACCAGCTCTTCCGAAACTGGATTGAATTCCTCCTACTTTCGGTAACAGTACCGTTACCTTCCTGCAGACACGCAATCACGTCATTAGATGAGTCGATCTGTGAGAGGGGGGCGTGCACGGTTACACAGTCTTACTCAAAGTACAATACGGCGTTGTGTAATACGGTAATCCCATTGCCTGGGTATTGGAAATTCAAATTCATCAAACATATGTATGTCCGGCATGCCCAGTAGGTTTCGAGACTTCAATGTTCAAATCGTAGACTCCACCCCCAAGTGCTGCACTTGCTCGCTGCATCCACGCCATTGACGTGTATACTGAATAGATTCATATAATTGGTCATTGCAATCCGCATGTATCTGGTACATTATTAGGCGTTATGCATTACTAGGAGCTCGTGTCTGCATGTACTCAATGTTCGCCAGCTGGCTCGATGTGTGTATGTAGAGGTTTATTACTAGCACGAATGGGGAGCAACACCCGCACCACGCTCTTCAATCAACGCTCGTTCGCGACACCGAATTGTGTCCTACGTGGAGTCCTTCCATTCCTCGGCCGTCCGTCTACGGAAAGGATATTATCAAAGCTTTGCCCCACAGTATCACCACTAAATGTGCTGATTCCACCGGCGTTCAACCTCGTGGGCACACAGCAACATCCTACCCATTCAGCCCGTGTCTATTCGCACGTGAACATGTGAGCTGTACTGCTCTTTGAGATTTGTCATGACGCAAAGGTCCTTCCGCTGCACCAACAGAGGCTTTTCGGGCTCTTTGGTAGGGAGCATGAACCAGGCAACTACGGGATCAGCAGCCATGAAGGCAGCAAGCAGAGCGCATGGGCCTCAAAAGAGAAGAGAGGGGAAGTGGAGTTCTGGAGTTTTGGCCAATGGGAAATTAAGTCAACTACTCACATTTATCTATCTGATTGTGGGGTTTCTAAACTGTGACGTTTTCTAGGGATCTCGACAGCAAGAGATCTTCAGATACAGGGTTATATTGCTATCACAAAAGGCAGACAGATAGAGAAGGAAGTAGAAGAAGAAGTACAAGAAGAAGAAGAGAGAAAACAAGCTATCTACCCCTCGATCCTATCCCATGGGAGGTCACCTGATAGGTCACCACCCCAACAACACCACTCTTACTTGTCTCTCTCGCTGAAAAAATGTCGCTGCAAATAGTGACGGTAAAAATAAGACGTGGCTTTCAACATGCCTCAATTAGGATAGGTGTCTTCAATGCTGCCTGCCCAGCTTGTAACTGACAGAAGCCGAGAAGCCTATAAATTCGTCCTCTACCCCCGGCAATTTGCTGTACAATTTATTCACTTGATTACACAAAGTCGAGCAGGCTTGTGTCTGAGGTATTTTATACGTTCTCCCCTTTGATCGAGTACTACAATTTTTAATGTACTAACATTTATAGAATACATCGTGGACCCGCAAGTCAGGCTGTGTCTATAAAAAGCCTTGTTCTCAGCAGATTCACTATGCTAACCAGCCAGCCGATCAAAGAGACAAGATTTAGCCTAGCGGTCCAAGTGTCTATACAAAGATTTCTCCGCTATAGCAGCCGACTAAGCTGATCTACTGTGCGGCCTCTGTGTGTATTCCCAAGAGAAAGCGCGAATATTCACGACGTAGGTATGTGCATCTTAGCCTGGCCTGTCTGGAATTCTACTGATCCTGAGGATTATGCGGTTCCAATAGAATCGGACACATTCGACCATAATGCACGAGCGTAAGGCACATGGCTCTTTGCCGTCTCTTCATTCCTAGTCTTGGCCACCAGATAATGTGAGCCATGGATTATCTCATCAATCTACAAGCTAATGAATGATAGTAAACCATTGACATCACAACATAGTAGCCCCGAACATACAGCATCCTGTTAGCGCCCAATACAAAGCCATGGCCTACATACCATTCTGCTCCCGTCGCTTCAAACCGTGCAGCATTTTTTGGGCGAAATATTGCGAACTTCGTTGCGCAGAAGCATGAGATATTCATGGTGAAAGGTCGATCAATGGATACTCAGTGAACTGTTCAGCAAATGGGAATAACCCGTTCTCAATTGGCTATTGATGGGTGCTAAGGATAAAATTAGAAGTGAGGGAATCCCTCGGAAATCCGCCTTCGGACCGGAATTACTAGAATCATCGTCTTCGGATTCGGCTTTGAGGATTCGATAAGGTCGATCACCATTCGTTGTAGTCGTGCAGGAGAATCCGCAGGTGGTGGTGGCTCTTCAGCTCCATCGCTCGATGGGTTTTGACCTGTCATCAATGATAGCCGCAGAGCATGGAATTCCTCGAGGATCTGGTGGCAGATGTTACTATTGATGATCACCTGCCTCTCTCGATCCGGGGTAACGGCTTGGCCCTCCGAATCTTCATTAAGTCGAGCACGCGCAAAGTTTACAGTCACACACCTGTGTACCAGCCAGGAATACTCAAGTAGCCCAATGTGGAGATTTGGCGTGATCCAGCTTCGGCCCTAGGGTAAGTATGGGTTAAGGAGGAAACAAGTAGTTTCTTTGCCTTGGAAGATGTTGTTGGCAACTCTTCGTCCACCGTTCGCTCGCCAAGACCTCGTTGCGTCCTCTCAGCAAAGGATTCAAGCTCCTTCTTCATCACCTCGGTGATCTCTTTCATTCGCTGCTTCTCTCTTTCTGTCCACTTGATATGCTGCCCCTCACGAGGGTCAAGCAAGGGCATGTCATCATTGAGTGATGTGAAATCAACCCAATATATTGGCGGCACCTAAGCTTCAGTGACGTTGACCGGGGTGAGGATCTTTCCCAGCACGTTTGGGACGTCCGTAGTGGGTGCTAACAGCGACGGGGCTCCCAATTGTGAGACCCCGGAAGATCCGGTCCTAGGTCTGCAATAGCACGCATGCGCGAGGTCTAGAACAACTTATAGCTAAATTCAGCTAGGATCTGGTCCTCTAGAGTTCAAACGATGTTATAGTATCGTTTGAATAGAGCAAACCGCTTCTATAGACTCTGTATAGAAACTCCCATATTAGCAGTCACCCAGGAAACCAGGTCCGTCACAGGCGATACCCCCGAAAATTCAGCGGCATCTAGATATACAAACACCTGGTTCCTATGCTCTCCCGCGTTATCTTCATCTATAGCTTGGTCACTAAAAAATAAGACATCGTAACTGACTTCTTGAATTCTGTATTAACGCATAATTCGCTCCTTGGATGACCTAAGGGACGCTCAGCACGATGTCGGCTGTTATCCAATTGTTAGACCATCCCGTATTCCACATCTTCCCTATTTTATTAAACAATGCCGCCTTTTTCATCTTTAGGATTACCCCTGCTCGCTCTGGGAGGTAGTTGAACTGCTGGAATTCGGTGAAAAATCGATATATTTGTTATCAAAAACAATCTTCTTCGCGGAGGTTTTCTAAGTCACCCCTTTCCGATCCACTTCCCCGTATAGGTTCATCCGGAGAATATACCACCGTTTGCTGCATGTGTTTGGCTTATACGTCATCATAACAAGTCTTCGGTAATGCAGTCGATCCTATTTTTGAGCCCCCTTGCCGTCTGGACGATAAGTCCCAATGGGAAACCCCAAGTGCAGTGGGCCCACCTTGTCGTGACCGAACACTCGGTGGTCGAGTTCCCATACCGATATTTTCATCCGGTATTCGTCCCCGCACTTACCCCCAGGATTCAGCCCGCATCGATAGCTGCTTTGGATTGCAACCTTGACTCGGTCTGGGGTGCTGGTGGTTACCGCAGGTTTCCAGCCTTGCCCTCGTACCTCCATTATGTTTAGCAATAGATCGTCCGGGAGGAGTTGTGGATGGATCATCGTCAGATTCGCCCTGCGCGTGCGCCTCTGTTCTTCTGGTTCCTCCTTTTCGCAATCCCGCTGGATTCTGAGGAAAATTCGGTGAAATCGGTGATGAAAATGATGAAAGGGAAACAAACGGGGCGTAAGAGATAAAGGAGTGATAAGAAATGGAAGAGTACGAAGTGAGAGATCCCCGAGAAATAGACCCACGAAATTCCGAGGAGTGAGAAGAGACGGAACAACGTAACCCCCTTTCTCTCCATACTGATACAGTGCCGATTGATGTCATACATTTCATCATTGTGTTTCCAGTCAACCAAACCGGAAGCCTTGTTTAACGATCTAACCCTTCTTGATAAGGGACCTATTCCCGCCATCCCTAAAGGTGATCCCGAGGGTTTTCGGGCCCTGCCTAGTGCTTCCTCGATCACTTCTTTATCTTCCGCGCCCTGCTGCCCTCATTGACTGCTGTAACGCGTCCTAACAGCATTCGCGGTGCAATTGCGTTCAATCGGCAAGCTTCCGAGCTTCTTCACGGGCTTTAGAGGTGCCGGGAACAAATCTCTTCAGATGGGCAATGGACTGTACAGTTTGCTGGTGGCAGTTGCATGTCGTGGCTACATGTAATGATCATGGTGAAGAACGCGTGTGGTCGAAAGAACGTGTCGTTGGAAAACATGTGTTGGGTGTGTCTTTCGTAGATGAGTCTCTCGTGGCCCTACAAAGACTACCTGTAGAGAGATTTCTTCCTTTTTTTGTCTCTTCTTTATCTTCGCTTTTCTCGTTGAATGAACACCCTTTTTGTTTTGAGAAGACTTGGCTGGTAGCAATAATAACCGACCGATACTATCCTACCTAATCCTATACCGCGTTGCTAAGCCGTTCGGCGTATCCGAGCTAGCGGAAACAAACTAAATAAATGATTACGAAGCTCTATTGTAAAGTCTATTAGAAATGTTGTGGTATCTTTAGATATACGTTTGGTAGATTGGATGCCAAAGCACGCTTTTTTTTTTATCTGAGAGCGAGTAATATAGGCAGAGGCATTAACCCCTGGATACTACTGTATTGATCAATTAAGCCGAGCGCGTATATCATTCTTTAATTGAAATCATCTTCTAATATATCGCGTGTAAGTAGCTCCTGCTAAGAAACGACCGAGGTCTCTACGTCCATACACGACTGTTATTGAGTAACAGGTATATATTTGTTAGGCCTACCGGGCCTAGAGGACATTTGGTATATCATTGTTCAAGCAGATCCTTTGTGAAGGTGGTATTGATGTCCGTTATAACACTAAGAGCCATCTGGCTGTGGTATCTCTTTGACTATCTCCTCTAACCTTTACTGAAAACTATACCCCTACTTAGTGTTTATGCTATGTTTGCCTTTAGAAGAACGGGTTAGGGCTATGTCTGCTGCGAATCCAAGCCAAGTAGATTACTGCCTGTGAGGCTTTTATATCACGAAGGTCCGTCGTATATGATGGCGGAGATGTCTTTACCATATCTGGTCAAAATGGCGCTTGCTAGCCCCCGATCGGCTTAGACAGTTTATTCCAGGCAGCGGAGCATGTTTGAACGCATGAAAGAATCCCCGCAGTCGGTCTTAAGCCCACGTAGGTTAAATGGAGGGCTGGAGGGAGTGTGGGCACCACCGTTTTCCGTTGCTTTCCTTGAAGTAAGTTTTTGTGTTTCAATCACATCCATTCTTCTTGGTCTCTGCGTTCTCTAGTCTTGGGAATAGGCCTTCCACCTCTTGTTACAGGTAGATCTGAGCGTCGAGGGGCTTTCGCAATCTGACCGTGATATTTCCTCGACTCGTTCAACAAGCCCTTGGCTTCTGTGGGGGAAATAAGTGTCGTATCGTTGGCATCGGTAGTTGTGTCGACAGTATCTAAATCCTCGATGGTTCACAGTGTCCATGAAGTCCTGGGGTAAATAATTTGCAAACGAAACCCTCGAGAAAATCGACAACAATACAACGAAACCCCGCTACTGGCAGACAGCGGGTCCAATATTGAGGCCGTTTGTGATATTGACCAAAGACGAGGTTCGCGGTAGCAGGGTCCCAGTGCCGGTTGGTGGCGCAAAGATGCCTCGGCAGCCTAGAATGCGGATAGGGGCGTGGATTGTGGATCCCCGTGCCGCACCGAAACATTGGCACCGCGAGTAAATCTCTAGAAGTCTATGAAACGCCAATTAGATATGCTGGAATCGAACTCATCATCGTAGTCGTGAACATCATTATACTCTTCCATCTGAGTTTTTTCGTCTGTGAATACGTCAGTGGTTGTCGTGGTTGTCGTGAAAGTAAAGCGATAGTACCCGGTGTAGTAATCTGAGACACATTTGATTAATCTGAGACACATTTGATTGAGATGAATGCAAAAGAATGACCGAGGACATCTTTGTGTAACACCCCTGTGTAGTTGAATGACGATGGTAGATCCATGTTCGCATTCAGAATCGCATCTTAGAATCATGCCGAATGGCCGCTCTCCTGAGTGCGACGCTTTACAAATCTGCTCCGCTTCTTGTACTTTGGTTGGGCGATGTGTATGACGTTCACGCCAGTTCACTGCGACATATGCACTCGGCTTGTTCTTCGATAATAATGTGAAAGCGTCATGACCATCGGACCGATCGCTCAGTTCCTCCTCGCGAGCTGGACCAATGGAGCCCGGCAGGTAGAGACTTGTCAATGACGTATGACTGTACCCATCCATCGAAGCAAGAGCTGTCTTGTGACTGAGGTTTGAGCTGATGCTACAATGTACTTTTTCATCTTGATCTGCCGAACGAATCGTACGAAGCCCACCTCATTTCCCGAACCAAGATCTGAGAAGTGGGGATCTCTACAAGAAAGAATCTAGAGTACTGTGGATCTCAGAGGTTCCGTTTGATCAACTATTTGTCAGGTTTCAGTATCCAATTTCATTACCAATGTGGCTGAGCAATTTCCCCAGTCTCTCGTTGTACGTGTAGCGTTCCTGTATAATCATATCAATAGCAGGCAAGATGGCATAACAAGTGACTCTCGATGCTTTGTTTGTTAAAGAGAACATATAGAACAAGCCGTCGGTGGACCATGGATGAATGCGGGTTTTCCGTTTCGGGTTCTATGACCAAATGCCTGGTGTTGAGGCAACGCGGCGCACCGCGGGCGGAGTGGCCAGAAACAAGTGGGTCCTATCCGATCTTAGATCGGGACCGCGAACTTAATCTATACCAAAGTTTATTTTCTGGGGATCATCAGTATACTGGCTTTTGACTCTCTTGCTGGTAGAACTGCCATATTCAGTGCAGTTGTATAGATAACAGTGTTCTTAAATTTGTGTTCACGTCATAGCGGGTATTGAGATGCATTGACAAGAATCTCGAGACTTCTCGACCTTGGAAGACTGGCAGTCTCGGTGTCATATTCAGAAAGAAAGCGATTTGCAATGTTACAATTGACAAATAATGGCTAGTGCGAGTATTTAATGGAGGTGGCGATTACCTGTAAGATGGGCTAACTTCTCAAGTGAAAGTACAACATATTGACATTGGAATAATATCAACCCAAGATGATGGGACTCAATATCCTGCGTTTGGTCCTGACTTGCTTTGCTGTCTACCGACTTGCCTTTGGGTACTCCTTTGATCTGAACGTGACATCTCAGACAGGATTTAATGGTGCAGTGGCATCTGAAAGCGAGCCATGCAGCCATGCAGGAACTGCAATGCTAAAGAAGGGTGGAAATGCTGCTGATTCAGTGAGTTTAATCGAATATTATTGCTTGGCTCGTTTGGCGGAGTTAACTCTCAAATCATAGATCGTTGCTACGGCTCTTTGCGTTGGAGTCGTCGGTGAGCCTTATCGAAAGCCACCTTAAGTCACAAGTCGGCTGACACCTTCTAGGGTTGTATAATAGTGGTATCCATGGTGGTGGATTTGCCCTCATTCGGTTGCCCAACAACACCTACGACATGATCGACTTTCGTGAGCAGGCACCCGGTTCTGCGAGTGAAAACATGTTTGTAGGCAACAAGTGGGGCTCGATGATTGGAGGCAACGCTTCGTAAGCACAGGATGATTTTACAAACTTAGAAAATATGCTAACGTCCTTAAAGAGCAGTTCCTGGACAATTACGTGGTCTTGATCGTATCTTGAGAAAGTACGGCACGATGGATTGGCCAACAGTCACAGCACCAGCGATCGAAGTGGCTGAACAAGGATTTATATTCGGCCATGATATGCAGTTTTTGATAAACTGGACTCGGCAAAATATGCAACCTGCGGATATTGAGCCGAATTTCTGGTTTGAGGATCCAGCCTGGACGCCAGACTTTGCCCCTGGCGGAGTGCCCGTCAAACGGGGTGAATTGATAAAACGGAAAAGATACGCTAAGACGCTGCGAACCATTGCGCAAACCAATACGACCGACTTTTACAACGGTTCCATTGCTCGAAGCATGGTACAGACCATTAAAAAGGCTGGAGGTAATCTGACAATGCAGGATCTCAAAGACTACTCAATCGTCGAACGAACCCCAAGACACGTCCAATACCGGGGATATAACGTGACAAGCACTGTTGCTCCCAGCAGTGGATCGGTCGTGCTCAATATTCTCTCGGTTCTGAACAACTACAAGGATTTCTTCACACCGGCCAATATGACCGATCTTAGCACTCATCGAATGGTTGAGGCTATGAAATTTGGATATGCTTACGTATGTGCCGATTTCGATAGATTGAATCATCGTTCTGACTTTAATTCAGCGAAACTCTTTTGGAGATCCAGGATTCGTTCCAAATATCACTGACCTTGAGGACGTCATGTTGTCCCATGACAGAACTCAGAGCATTTTCCATGGCATCGATGATCGGTACACTCACCTCAACGTGAGTGTGTACAACCCTGATCACAAGTGGACTCCAGAATCGTATGTGATGCCCTTTCTTTTCATTCTGCAATCATCTTTTTTTTTTTTTTTTTTTGGATAGAATGGTCTCCAAAGTTCTCAGCAGTAACTTTTCTTGCAGAGTGGGTACATCCCATATGGTCTCAGCCGACAAATCAGGTCTAACCATCTCCCTCACGACAACGGTGAATCTTCCCTTCGGCAGCCAAATCATGGACCCCATAACCGGTATTGTCATGAATTCACAGATGGATGGTACGAGATAGGGCCCTTTTCTTTAAGTGATCAATTCTAACAATAACAGATTTCTCCACCCCAAACACCACCAACGACAAGGGCTACATAGCAAACCCAAACAACTTCATTAAACCAGGAAAACGTCCTCTGTCATCTATTGCGCCGATCATTATAACTCGCCCTGATGGTCAAGTGGCTTATGTCACTGGAGCCGCTGGCGGAAGTCACATTCCTTCTACCGTGCTTCAGTCGGTGATGTACGCACTAGACCAGCATCGTTCTCCCAGTGGCGCCCTGGCTGCTCCACGTCTGCATCACCAACTCGACCCGAACGTCCTAGAAGCCCCTACGTCATATAACAACGAAACAGTAAAATTCCTTCAAGATAAGGAGCATGTGGTCGAGAGAAAAGATATTGAGAGTTGGGCACAAGCGATTGGTCGATCTGAGAAAGGCGAATTTACGGCTGCGTCGGAGCCATTTCAACATGAGTCTAATGCTTTCGCGATCTAAGTTGGCGGTGGTCTCGATTCATCTAAATGTACTAATGTCCAATGAAACTTGAGTCAATAATTTGGAGGAGGAGAGGGCGGGGGGTTGGGGGGAAGAACAAGACTATATGGTTATGTAAGAAACAAGAATAAAAAAAAAAGGAAAATACCTGTGGCTGGGTTTCCTTGTCGCAAGTAACAAAAACGCTTTTCGGATCGAGTAGAAGCGACCGTCCCCATTGAATCAATCTTATTGATTTCTTATACGTGTCTCATCGGGTATTGCTTCTTGAAGCCAGTCGGAACCTACATCACTCATAACAACAAGGTTTTGAAACGAGAACCACAGAGAATGAAGACGATGAACAAAAATCCAATATAAATGATGATCATACAAAGAATGTCCATTTGAAACAAGTCATGAATGGACAAGGGCCGATGCCTACAGGCCACAAAAACGGGCGGAGAGAGATGGAAAGAGAGAGATGCGCGAAGCTGTCTATCAACAAGAGCCCGTCCACTTAAAGTCAACTGCCCCTCAATGTCAGGCATTCCAGAGAGGCACCACGGATCAAGGGTGCTACTAGTGTTAGATCATAATGATTACACGTAGTTTCAGGACCCTAGAATGCGAGAGTCACACTGCCCCATGCTTGCATGCTCCCCTGTCTGAACTTTGTTCTCTATGCAACTTGCGATCGACCCTTGGGGGTGATTACTCCGCGGACTTCACGTCCATAGATAGTAAGAGACAACACTAAATTAATTAAATGGTATACATTTGCTCGGGCGTTGGAGTGAAGGATAATTGTACTTATCGCGCTTCCTAGCATTAGACCCGTCGTTGAAGCGATAAGCGTTCATCCATCGTTATAAAGCTGGGGACTAAGTGGGTCCGTAACGTGATCGCTATTGTCCTTCGCGATATCATTTGTGTATATATCAATAAGCATATAACAAAGAAGTCGCGGTCAACTAGTGGAACGTTATTTCCGGTTTCTAATTCCGAAGAATCATCCATAGTCCTTGATTTTAGGGGGTGACGTATTGTGGATAAGCCCTTCATGGCCGGTATGCATACCATACATCATGAGTGAGCATTGATTTTCGTCGGTCGGGTGGTGGCATTAACCCCAACACGCTATAGCCTCCCAGGGGGCATGTCGACGTGCTCAGCTATGGTAATCTAGATCAAGGTCCGCAGAAAGCAGATTCGTGCCCGAAGGCTGGGCGCCCCCTTAGGCGCCTTTTCTTGCGCTGGATGCATATGGATAGAGCATATATGACGTAACGAAGCGGGGTACGTAGTCATTGCCCAGGTGGTTGAACACCTGGGCATATGATATATATAAGGCGGAGTGGAACGCCATTTTCCTTTACCCTTTGTCCTTTAAACAACCTTGGGGTAACAAAAAATTGACACTTTGATAGTGAATATGCATGTTATTGGTGTTGCCGGTGCGTCCGGAGGTGTTGGAAAGGCGATTGTTGAGAGGCTAGCCCGAGAGCCTAAATACCAGGTTATCGCTTTTTCTCGCAAGGTGAGGCGTACTCAGTACTTAGCTTCAGTGTGAGAATTACTGCTAATCTTATAAGAAGCCATCATCGAACCATCTGCTACCAAATGTCCTGTCTGTACAACTCAACTACGAGGATGTCCCTTCAATGACAGAGACAATGGCGGCATTTAACGTTCATACAATCATATCGACTATTGTTCTGGTCTCCGACGAGACAAGTCAAGCGCAATTGAACCTGATTGATGCTGCTGGAGCTTCAACAAAGACAAAAAGATTCATTCCGAGTGAATTTCTCTTTATTCAACCAGCTGCGTAAGCACTTGAGTGTCCTTTGAATCCCCTTTATGGTCTCCGAACTCTATGAGTCTTCTGCTGATCATCTATTATGTTAGTCCTCCCTATCCGGATTCTGTTGTGGATATATGGGTCGCTTCAATAGCCCGAATCAAAATGAACTATCTGCAATACACCCGTATTGTCAATGGTCTTTTCATGGACTATTGGGGCATGCCACATATTTCCACTTCTCTGATTCCACACACCTTCGGAATCAACATCGCCAAGCGTGAAGCAGTCATCCCCGGTGACGGAAATAACATAATTTGCATGACTCTCTTACGCGACATGACCAACTATCTGGTCAAACTCCTTGATATAGAGGAATGGCCTGAATTCAGTGTGTTTGTGGGAGATGAACTCTCATACAACCAGATGGTAAAGATAGCCGAAGAAATTACAGGTATGTACTATTGGTATTAATTTTCCCGGAAGTTGGAAGGCTCACCTTCATTCCGCTTTATAGGCACGAAATTCAAAGTGACATACGACAGTGTTGAGAATCTCAACTCGGATAATGTTACCCTTCCACCTATGCCTAGTGACACCACCTATTCAGCTGAGGAGCAGAAAGCAATAACTGCGCAGGTGGCTAAGCTCATTGTGAATGATTTCATGGACTTTCCTAAAGATATTAGGCTCAACGACCGCTTTCCGGAGCTGCAGCCTATGAAGTTCAAAGAGTTCTTGAACATGTATTGGGCTGGCGAAAAAGCATGATTTGAATTGAATGTGGACGGCGTCCATCAGCAATCGCGAGTGCTTTCCATTCAATTTTACATCAGTTATCACCAATTGGTTTATACTTAAAACTTAAATCCTTTAGTATCTTTCATGACGTCGATGGACACCTCCCACATGCCTAAAGAAACACCCTCGTCGCCCAATTAAGTTTAGTTTTGCACTTGTATACTCTGCGCTCCAGGGCCCGTTCTTCCCGCAAAGCTGACGCAGCATTGTTGTTTGATGGACTGGGAAAGCCTCGCCTTTCTTTCTATGTCCTGCAGCGTGAGGATTTCCAGACAGGAAACTACACCAGTATGGGTTGCTAGCGTGCAAATGAGCTCTGGGCCATGAATGAATTTGCAGTTTAACTAGTTATGTATGAAAATGCAGGCGCTCTATCCAACTGAAGGAAAGAACTTATTGCCAAACGCCAATAGGAGGACCATTGACACAGACTTAGCAGAGGCTCATTCGAAAATAGCGCGGAATCAGCCGATTCTTGTTGGTCTCCATGTCCCAAAAGCCCATGAATTCAGCAAACCCATGAGCCCGACGAACATGAGAAACGATGAAGAATGTATGGTGTTAGAGATCAGATTATCTTGATGACCATATCCCCAGCTCTTCCCTCTTTCGGTTTCTTCTTCTCTCCATGCATCTCACTACTTTTTGTTGGGGTGGTGACCTATCAGGTGGCCCCCCATGGGATAGGATCGAGAGGTAGATAGCTTGTTTTCTCTCTTCTTTTTCTTCTTCTTCTTCCTTCTATCTCTGTCTGCATTTTGTGATAGCAATACAATCCTGTATCCGAAGATCCATTGCTGTATTGGAGATCCCTAGACTTTTTGATCTTCGCATCTTCAAGTAGTGTCTCTCATATAGAGCATCACCTCTCTTTACTGTCCCCCCTCTGTCTTCCATCCCTGACTCTATGTCCCCTTCCTGTCCCAGTCCCAATTGATAGTTGCAGACTTACCTGAACGGCAGAGAAAAAGAAACTGACCGCGGCGTTCACTGCCGGACAGTTTTCGACATTTTCTACCATATCCCATTGTCAAATAGAGTCTGGCTTAGAGCACTCATTTATAGTGTTTGGGTGAGACGCGGTGATTTACCCGATGCGAGATATAGATGTCTCCCTTCAATGTTACTTGTTATAGGAAGAACGACAGAGCAACACATTATATTTGCAAAGCCACAAAAGGACACGAAGAAGAGACGAGAAAAGGAAAGAGCAGAAACGACTATCCGATTGGAAATCCCCACAAAGAGGCATAAAAAACAAGGCATCCACAGGAACGCCAACACTGCTCCCAATTCAGAACCCCTCAGTCTAGGGATCTCCAATACAGCAATGGATCTTCGGATACAGGATTGTATTGCTATCACAAAACGCAGACAGAGAGAGAAGGAAGAAGAAGAAGAAAAAGAAGAGAGAAAACAAGCTATCTACCTCTCGATCCTATCCCATGGGGGGCCACCTGATAGGTCACCACCCCAACACTCATGCTCTCAACCGAAGTTGGTGAATGAACTCAGTGAAGCGATCCTTGCACTTAGCTGTGTCAAATCCTTCGCCAGATCTTTCAAGGAGACAGTGGCGCCCAACTCCTTGCCCAGCCATGTCCGGAACTCCATTTCGATCAGCGAGTCAACTCCATTTGCGCGAGCATTGAGCGAATCATCGAACGAATCATCGGAGATATTCAGCAAGTCTGCCAGCTTGTGCCGGATAGCCTTGATGATGATCTGTGCAGCGTCATTTTGGGTGGGAGCTGCCTGGAGAAGATCTCGGACACGGGTGACAGACTGAACCTCACCTGCTCCAATGGCGATTCCGGACTTAGGAATGGCTGGTGGAAGTTGTGAGAACATGGGGTACGTAAGGTGAGTGGGTGCCTCTTCGTCGCCGATACTGAACGAAGCCGGAGTTCGTAGGCCGCATACAAGCTGCGCGGTCTTTTCTGTCATGTTGGTGTGATAACGACCATCGATCAAATACTCAACCGTCGTCAACACCTCTTCCTCATTTTGCTGGTTGGCAACCTTGAATGTGTGTTTCCCAGCATATTCGGAATTCTCAGCAATAAACCCAATGCCAACAACGGCCCCGAGGTTGACGCTAGTGCCGTTCATTCCCTTGGAGACACGATAACGGGCAAGTGCATCCTGGAAATTGTTGCCCGCATTGTAGTTGGCTTGACTTCGGTTACCCACAATGCCGGTAATAGAGCTCAGCATCAAGAAGAAGTCGACATCTGGCAGCAGGTTGTGAAGGTTCCAAGATCCGGAGACCTTGGGAGCCAGTGCGGTCTGCCAATCTTGGTGGGTCATGGCATGGAATGCCCCATCTCTCAGCACAAAACTGCACTGTATGCATCCCTTGACTGGTGGCAACTTGCTCTTGATCTCCGCGAAGACTTCAGCCAGACGGGTGCTGTCCGAAATATCACATTGGAAGACATGGCTGGTACAGCCCAAAGACTTGAGGTTCGCAATTGTTTTCTGACCTTCTTCAGCCACAGTTGCGGACCGTGAAAGGAAAACGAGATGCTTTGCACCCATTGTAGCCAGCCTCACCGCAATGCTACGGCCGATACCACCCAAACCTCCTGCTAGTATGAATGATGCATTGGCGTCTAGCGCGAGAGGAGAGAGCGGAGCTGGCATAGCCGACACGGGATGCAAGTCCGGAACAAGCGTGATTTTTCCGATGCTTTTTCCAGTTTGCAACAGACGCATTCCGTCCTTGAGTTGGCCATAACCAAGGGATTGTGTGGGTCGAGCTTCGCGAATGCTTTCTGCCGACCACAACACCATCAATTCTTTCAAAATATCCTGGCATATTCCGGGGCGCTCTTCTGCCAAAGCATTCAGGTCAACCCCGGCGAAGGTGACATTGTGGAGGAATGGAGTCATATCGAGCTTTGACCCGGCTTGAAGATCAAGTTTTCCGATTTCGATGAACCGACCGAACGGTGCGACGCAAGCCCAAGATTCTCGTAGTGCCTCGCCGCTCAGTGAGTTGAGAACGATATCAACACCACCGGGGGAAATATGCTTAATTCCTCGCGAGAAGCTCAAGTCACGACTGGAGAAGATGTGGTTTTCAGGAATTCCGAAAGTCTCCATGATGAATTCTTTCTTGGCAATGCTTGACAGAGTCACAAAGATCTCAGCTCCCTTGACTTTTGCGTATTGAATAGCAGCTTGCCCAATACCACCAGCGGCAGCGTGGATCAGGATCTTATCACCGGCGCGAATCCGAGCAATATGACCTAAGGAATAGATGACTGTTCCATAGATGACCGGTAGTCCTGCGGCAATTTCGAAGCTGAGACTTTCAGGAATCTTGATCGCCAGATCCGAATGGATGCGACTGTAGGTGCGCAACGTGCCCATTCTACCAGGGGAAGGATCACCTAGACACATGACTCGATCCCCAGGCTTCAAGCCACTGACAGACGCTCCAATATTGCGCACAATGCCAGCTGCCTCGTGTCCAAAGCCTGGCTGCGCGATTTCTCCCATAGCCACCAACAGATCCTTGAAGTTGAGCCCAACAGCGCGAACATCAACCTCAATTTCATATTCTGCCAGTGGCTGTTCGACATAATTATCATCCGTGTTCCACACAAGGCTATCGACGCCTGGGTGAGGACTGGTCAATCGCACAGGTCGCCCAATCTGGTCCCATTGGAAAAGGGTTGGCTTTGGCCGCAAGAGCTTTGCATCAATCGCTGTGTTTGCGTTTGTGTTCTTGACAAGATGATTTGTTTCAATGACTTGATTCCGAACGCGATACTCGGCATTGGTGTTCTTAGGCCCAGCAAGGAATTGATGTTCGAAGACCCGGAAAATTGCGTCCAAATTGCTCTCCACGGTAGCGGTCGCTTCGCCGTCCAGGGATAAACTGACCAGGTTCAAGTTTTCGCGATCTTGTTCCCAGCGAATGGTACGTAACAAGCCTGGCGCCATTTGAAATTCTGGCTGCGTCAGGGGGTCGCCCATCACCCAGAGCAATGAGCTGCACGCAATAAGCAAGTCCCGAATTTTTAAGAATGTGCTGCCATCGACATTGTTGAGAATAGGCCGGTTTGCCTCCAGGAAGGAGATGCAAGTTTTACCCGCAAGGCTCCCCGTGTCAAGCTCATTGAGTTGGCAGACTGAATACTTGATACCTGCATTCATCAGCCGCTTCGTGAACAAGCGAGATATCTCTGACTCGGATTGAAGGATGAGGAGAACTTCCAAAACTGGGGCAGCGGTTTGCGACGGCTGCTTGATTGCGGTGGATGCCATCATGGTGTAGTCAGCAAACTCTGTATAGGCAGAGCTTGAAGCCTCGAAATCGATTCCTGAGAACCCAGTCTCTCGCAGAAGCCTGTCGTATTCGCCCTTTGAGGCAAAGGGTCCATTTCTTCGGAAGGCCTCAGTTGCCTGCCACCAAACAGCCAAGCTGCCGAAAGAAACGTTAGAGTGAAGTGACTCCGGTCGTGTCTCATCGAAGACAAGCAATCGCCCTCCTGGAGCTATCAAGGAGTTTAATCGTTGGAAGATTTCCTTCATGTTTGGTTCTGTGTGAACAAAGTTGTTGGCAATGATGAAGTCAAAAGAGTCCGGTTCGAAGCCTTGCTCAACGGGGTCGGTTCCCAAGTCAAGTGCTCTGTATGTCACGATGCTCTTCCATGCAGCAAGGCGTTCTTTCGGTGGTGTAGAGGCACCACTGAACACGGAACCAATAACGTATTTCTCGATGCGCAATGGGTCGTTTCCTTTACAGAAAGTCTTGAGGACATGTTCAGCCATATGTCCTGTACGACCCGAAACGTCGAGGATGCGCAAGCTGCGATAGCTGCGGCGCAGGATGTTGAGATACTGGTCAAGTACAGATGAAATGTTACCTCGCAACAGGTTGGTTTCATCCCAATCATAAAAGAGATTATCCATTCCAAACAGAAGATGTTCAGGCGTGACATCCTTCTTCAAGATGGCCGATATTTGGGAACCCATTCTGATTAGCAACTGCCCATCAAGGGTTTGGGCCTCAACCTCGCGATAAAGCTGCTTTTTCAGGCCAGGATTGCGAGAATAGTTCAACCATTTCTCCAATGGCACATATGGAACCGAATCAATCAAAATGTTTGCGGCAATGCCCCGTAGTAGATGTTGATACTTTTTGTGGTGAGATTCCAACGCGGAATCATCGAGACCTCGAACAGCCAGGAGACCATCCGTCGCCAACAGAGTCGAGGCTAGTTGGAGCTTACTAAACAATTCCAACTGAGCCTGATAGCTAACGGTAGAGTTCGGGGAATTTGGCACGAGCTTCCGCAGGTCATCGGTGGTGAACAAGTCCAAGTCAGGGTGCCAATCGATGGAATAGGAAGCCTTCTCGTCACTCAGGTTTTCATCACTTCTTTCTGGCTTGAATGGCGCCATTTTGGCCCCGACCAACGAAAACAGCTTCGCGCTGACATTTGAAGGATCCCACGAATGGATATCAATTTCGAAGCTATCATGAAGGCCAGGAGAAGCCTCACATGTGCAGCGCAGCGTGTTATTGGCCTTGGATGATAGATCCGTTGTCGAAAGCCACATTTCTCGAACCGAGCTTGGAATGCAGCCGCGGCTCAACATTTTCTTACCCTTTAGATCAAAGATGGCCGCGAACGCTGCTTGGAACGCGTTGTCGAGAGTGGTCGGATGAATGAGATGGTCGTGTGCATACTGCTTTGGCATCCATCGCTTGATCTCAGGGACGACGATATCACCCGTCATCAAACCACTGTCGCGGCCACTGATTGCGGAGTTGAACATGTTGCGGAAGGATTCGCCGTGATCGATATCGATATCACGGAGATGCGCATAAAGCGGAGCAAAATCAATCGGATCCTTGCAGTCGCCCTCCCTGGCTTCCACGAATTCCAACCACTTTGCTTTCTCGATAGCCTCTTGGCGAGAAGTATCAATGGGATTGACGGGGTACTTGTAGTCCGGTGATATTTTACCGGTGCAATGCTCGACCCATTCTTCGGTAGTTGGATCATAAGAGGCAACCTCGAATCTCTTCCATGAATTTGAAATGGTGGTTTTGGAGTCCGCCTCTGGATAGAACGAAAGGCATACTTCTATGCCTTGCGTTGTGTCTGGAACAACCAACATCGACTTGAAGACGACGTCTTGCAGATTTATACCAATCAGCTCGGCAGGGTCAGCGATCTGTTTCATGGCCTCCAATGCCATCACGATGTAGCCAGCGCCCGGAAATACGTAATCGGCGCCAACCTGAGAGATTGTCAGATTTTGCAAATAATTTATGCATGATTTGATGCGAGGGGTACTTACCACATGCTCCTTGAGCCACGGGTTCTCAGAAACACGAAGGAAGTGTCGCCAACGTGGACTATTGGGATTCCAGTCGGCAACGGGGGCTCCAAACAAGTCATGTCGAGGGAACTTGCGAAGACGCGTGTTTTTGATCAGGCGACTCTCGTAGAGCCCTTGTTCTTCGTGGTTGAACGGGTAGCTCGGCAAGTTGACAATCATAGTGGGAGTAATGAGGGGATTGACTGCTCGGTTAACCTTGTCCAAGTCAACATCGGCACCAAGGGCGGCCAGCTGTCCTATCGTGTGAAGCAGAGTGTTCAGCCCTGTATCCTTTCGAGTGAGAGTGGCAAAGTATGGTATCTCGACAGATGAACCGATAATATCCTTTGCTGCACTTTGCATGGCGGGGTGAGGTCCCACTTCTAAGATCACGTCAACACATGTGCCACGCGCTGAGACGCCATCTCCTTCGATGGCATCAAAGCACATGGACTTGAGGGCTTCTGTAAATCGCACAGGGCCAACAATACTGTCACACCAGTGAGACCCCTTCTCGGGCACACAGGTAGCGTCAAGTAAGCGGCCGGTGAGAGTAGAAAACATGTGTATGGTATGGCCAAAGCGCAATAGTCGTTTTGATGGTAAGATCCCCATTAAAGCTTCATAGTCTTCAGAGAGAGCCTCCATATGGGCAGAGTGAGCAGCATGGCCCACCTTCAGCTTTCGGGCAAAGATTCCCTGCTCATCGAGAAGCTCTTTCAAAGCAACAACCATCGCATCGTCACCGGAGACTGTGTGATTACGGGGACTGTTAAAGCATGCGATCGACAAGGTCCCCCCGGGCAGCTTTGCATGGACTTTCTTGAGAAGAAGAAGCAAAGGCTCTTCCTCAAGTCCAACTGCAATCATGCCCCCAACAGCATGTGATTTACCCCGGAGATGGACAGAACCCCGGTAGTAACTCACTTTCCATGCTGCTTCTCGTGAAATCTTGCCGGCGCAGTAAGCAGCCCCAATCTCTCCGGATGAATGACCCGTGACTCGATGAGGGATCAGGTTCCAACTGATGAAAAGGTCGATCAATGCGATTTGGACCGCGCAAGACATAGGGTGCGCCAAAGCGGATGTTGATACCCGCGAGTCCTTGGCATCGCGACCGAGCTCTTCGATTAGTGACCAATCACTCCCTAGAGATCGGAAATATGCCTCTGCCGCTTCCATTGACTGTCTGAAGACCGGATAGACAAGTAACTGCTCTCCCATCTTTGCATACTGGGCACCCTGCCCAGTGAGAACGAATCCTATCCTCAAGGACGTCCGGGACTTGATCGGTTTTGATGGAAATTGAGAAAACTTGTCTTGGACTTCTTGGACGGACCCGCACAATCCATAACTCTTCCAGGGGAGTCGAGATCTTCTTTCGGAAAGAGTGAAGGCGAGGTCATCCAATGCTTGGGTAGCGAGATCGTCAGATCGTAGAGGCCAGCCTGCAACATGCTCTCTGACGCCTGCTACCACTTTCTTCAGTGTCATCTCGTCAAAGGCTGAGAGAAGTAAGATTTTCGGGACCTGGCAGTTTTGAAGAACCAGATCATTGGAGCTTTGATTTTCATGTTTGACACCGTTGACACCGTTTGGGCCGCTGGCTCCGTGGGTACCGTTTTTGTCGTTGATGCCATTTGCGCCGTTAAGGCCATTCGTGCCGTTGATGCCATTCGTGCCCTTGATACCATTGGTGCCGTTGACGCCATTTGTGCCATTTGTGCCATTGATGCCATTCGTGCCATTGATGCCATTTGTGCCATTGATGCCATTCGTGCCATTGATGCCATTCGTGCCGTTGATGCCATTTGTGCCATTGATGCCATTTGTGCCGTTTATGCCATTCGTGGTAGCATCGTGGCCATTTGTCAAAGACTTTTGTTGATTGTGACTTCCAGCTCTGGCCTTGTATTTTTGAGAAATTTGTGCAACAAGAAGTTCAATCTCTTGTTGGGTGGGAACGGCTTGTCGGGTCCTATGAGGGGCAGATATATCACGTTCCTTGAGGAAATGAAATGCGTCGTCCAGAATGCAATGTGCGTTCGTTCCACTGATTCCGTACGCACTTATGGAAGATCTTCGCACACCAGAGGTAGGCCAGGATATGCATGTTGTGGGGAAGTGAACATTCCAGGCCTCAGGGATCTTCGGATTGACATCTTTCAAAGTCGCATTTGGCGGTATGACACCAGATTCCAAAAGTAGAACTGACTTGATGACACCGGCAATACCAGCCGCTCCCTCAAGATGACCGACATTGGGCTTCAGGGCGCCAATGTAAAATGGTGAATCTCGGTTTTTTGTATCGAATGCAGCCGCAATGGCTGTACATTCGATCAAGTCGCCTGCTTGTGTCCCCGTTCCGTGGCTCTCTGCATATGTCGTATCTTTCAGGTCCAGCCCGGCCGACTTGTAAGTTTTGCGAATTAATGACTCCTGTGCTGTTGAACTGGGAAATGTGAGGCCAGGAGTGTGGCCATCATGATTGATGCCAGTGCTGCGGATGACCGCTCTGATAGTGTCGCCGTCACGAACAGCAGCAGAAACGGGCTTGAGGATGACAGTTCCGACGCCTTCTCCGAATCCGTATCCATCAGCGCGCTGATCAAATGCCATTGACTTTCCCTCTGCGCCAAAAAGGCCTGAGTATGTCATAGACATCAAATGAGGAAGATACCCCATTACGCTCACGCCGCTGACAATGGCCTGCCCTCATAAAACCCTGCATATCAGCGCAAACTCTTTTTCGTGAATCTGAAGGGATCGACGACACAAGATAGCTGGGGATAAATCAAAAAGTTTTTTATTGGAGGGTAACTCCCGGAAGAGAATGAATGAGTGGCGATGGAAAGAGCAGGATTGGGGGTTAATGGACTATATTTTTTCTTTAGGGATGACTGACCATTTTGCTTTCTCTTGCGGCAAGATTTTGTCTCGCTAAATGAAGAGCAACGAGACTGCTCGAACAAGCAGTATCGACAGTAAGACTGGCTCCTTGCAAATCATAGAACCAGCTCACTCTCCCCGAAATCATCGAATTTTCAGCACCGGTAGGCTTGTGCTTAAATGAAAGCTCTAAGTCACTGTTGATGCGATCTGCGTGATGCCGGTTGAAGCCACTGACAAAGACAGAAGTGTTCGAGGAGATTACTTCTTCCATCGGAAGACCGGCTGCGAGTTTAGGAATATTACTATCTCTGTTCCGATCCTGACTAGGATTCGGGGAAGTTAGAACTCACCATTTTCCAGTGCATGATATACATTTTCCATCAAAATCCGCTGTTGAGGATCAAGACTTTGCACTTCTGTTTTGCTCATCTTGAAGAATGCGGAATCAAAGCCATTGGGACTCTCTCCGAGAAGGGAAGCACCTTTGGCATAGAACTTCACCGAAATCAGCTACAGTCCATAAAATCATAATGGGCTACCGACCGTTCCCCCATGATCTGGGTCTGGGTGATAGAATGCCTTGGAGCTAAGTCTATCCTCTGGGATTGGCCGAGTGGACTGTCGCGCTCTCAGCAGGAAATCCCAGAATGGTTCGGCTTCTGTGGCCTCATCAGCGGCACGGATTGCCAGTCCGATGATGGCCATTGGCTCTGCCTCGGCAGCATTGAGATCACCAGGGTCTTGCGTGCCGTTGCCTTCATGACTATTCATGAAAGAAGGCATATTGGATTGCAAAAGGGATGTTTGGGAATGGTTCATGGGCTGGAAGAAAGGATGGTTTTGGGTAGTTGTTTCAAGCGCAAGCTTCTATGAAGAGCTAAAAACACTAAGTTAGGTCATTGATGGGCCTCTTATATACCGTACTCAAATATGCCAAAGCCTGAATTTTGTCCTCCCATGTGAATGCTCATTATTCCACTTAGTCCGCTAATCCTGCTATATCTAGGGGTCCCAACCCCTCCAAACTAGTGATATTGCTCCACGACGCTCTACATGCATGGATCAGACATCGTTTCGTATTAGAAAAAAACACGTTAACAAGGTTATGGAAACTTCATTTCACACTCTATTGTGACCTGCAAAAGAACAGAAATTAGTGGAGAAATCGAAAGATTCCTTGGGAGGCACTACAGAAAGCTGCTCACTAGCTATTTCGGGGAGTCAACGTACATAGAATGATAGGGTGAGAATATACGACGATGACATTAGCTGTATTGTCCTTCATATGGTATTTACAATTACATCCATGACACCAGAGGTATCGATGTACTGTTACTGTCATTACAGAGGCAGTTATACGACCCATTCTTAGTGGTACACATGGAGGTCCAACGTTAGTTTCATCTGCAGAGCTATGGATAGTTGTATACTACTGCAAAGTTGCGGCCCAGGCGCGGAGATTGTGGAATCGTGGCTGGCTGTAGATGCAGTATCGTATCTGCAAGCCACGATCGACCCCTCTCTCGGATCTCTCAATTCCCTCAATGCTTTCAATTCTGTCATCATGCAGAAGTCTCCTCTCTAGGGAAGCCAGGCCCGGTGCGATCGGCAGGGCCCGATCGGCTGGATCCACTATCCAATCAACACCTTCCAATATTCACAGCACATCCCCTCTAGCCGAAGAAGATCGTTCAGTTTGAGGTTCACTCGGCCGCATATTTCCGGAGTTTGGGCCCGTGGGAGAATTTACCACCGCTGAATTGTCGGTGAGGGGCGCCAACAGCGCGACATCATTTTTTCCATCATCTTCTTGCGCAAAGCCACTGTCGTGATCATATATACTCTGCACACGTCAACTGCACAAGCGGCTTCAAGGATGCCAATGGCGGAACAGGTACTGCCTTCCGTACGCCTTTCGGTGGGTGGCTCACACTGCTCGGACAATTCGTACACATGCGGTGCGCACGGGCTTCTGTATACGGCGTTCATAATTAGATATTCTAAGTCATCATAGCCAGGGCGCATGGAATTGGGGAGTAATTCTGTGTACATAGTATAGTATATTGCATCACTCCAAGGAAGAATATTCGTGAAGCCTGTAGACCGATTTATCCCGTGTCCAATTTCTATAACTTGGTAGACTGTATACGACAGGGCAGGAGATCACGAGTAAATAAATGAAGACAAGCTTAAAATGAGCTGTGGGAATGAGTTACATAGTTCATTCTTGCTGGAGCCACTAAGAATCAGGATCTAGAACACCGTGCCGTTGACAGGACTTTCCTAGGACAGGTGACATGACAAGCAGATTTAACCTATCCGCATGAGATGCAAAGACCAAAAGTAGAAGAAGAGATTGAAAGAGCAGTACGAGATATGAGGGAACATATCTCAACTTCTAAAGTTGTCTTGGCCGGATTCGGCCTGTCAGGCTCTTCACTTGAACCACAATATCGTTCCAAAGCTCCAGGTCTTTGTCTGGAGTCTCAATTTCATAGGAATAGAAGATCAATGCCAGTGCCTTCAGAACCATTAAAGTGGCAAGGTGCTTTCCAATGCACTCTCTTCCACCCATGCTGAACTATAGTGGCAGTGTTAGTACTCAGATACTCGAAGAGCACAATGAGAGCTTACCGGCAAACTGTAGTAGTTAACCTTTTTGGCTTCATCTGGATCATCTAGCCAACGTTCGGGGCGAAAGCTTCCCGCGTCACGACCAAAATATTCTTCCTTGCGAGATGCTGCACACGCATTGACACCAATGACTTGTCCCGCGCGGAAATGATAGCCTGCAAGGTTTGCACCTCCTTTGGGTACCACACGAGGCATTGTAATGGCGGCGATTGGGTAAAGTCTCAAGACCTCCTTGAGAACAGCCTGTAGATAAGGCATTGTCTGTACAGCCTTGTGGGAGAGGATGCCACGCTCAACGGTGTCTGAGCGCTTCATCTCTGGGTCGATCTCATCTCTTAGGCGCTGTAAAACAGCAGGTTCCCTGTAGACGTGAAATATCGCTTGGGCCACGAAGGACGGTGTGAGCTCAGTTCCGCCTAGAGCACCTCCGATTCCAATGCGAACTTCTGTATTGTCCATGCGGTCGGCTTCCTTTTGTCGAAACCAGGTGTCCAAAAAGCAAGCTGTTCCCTTGGAATCTTTCGCTGCTTCCTTCTCGGCAATTTGCTTCTCTGAGAAATTGCGCACCTCCTTCTCTCTCAATATATAAGACGGCACAAGACTCCAAAGAGTTTTATGCCACTCCGGAATAATCCCCACCACACTAGCGTAAAATGTGCTTGCTCTAGTAAGTGTCAAGAGTCCATTGTTATCGGCGTCGTTTTCAACACATCCGAAGCTTTCTCCGAAGATTAGCAATGCGCTGTTATCCATGCTCCAAAACTTGAGCCAGTGTAGCAAGTCACAATTTTTGCCGTTCTCTGCCAGTTCATTGAACTTTTTCGAAAGAATGTCAAGGCCTTCATCGATCAAAGACTCCATTTTGATGACTTGAGAAAAGGAAAATGAGAAGTGAAACTTTCGACGTAGTTCCCTGTGGGCTTTGTTGTTTCGCTCCGACACCAGTGTGACCCCACCTGGGTTGGTGAAGGGCGCATATGCTTCAGACTAATCGCAAATGAGATTCAGAGGAGTTCAATATCAGAAGGGTACGAACTAACCTTCTCAAATGTGGTCCGAGGACCGTAAACCTCTCTCATGATATCCATGTCGGAAATGCTGAATTCGTTTGGCGCAATTCGCACCACAGAGCCTTGGGACATATCAGCAATCTCAAAATTCAAAGAAAGGAACAAACCCAGCTAACCATAATTTTCATGAAGTTTCACAATTGTCTCACGAGATTTGCCAGTAAGCATCTCACGTAGATACCATAGTCGAGTAAACTTTGCCCAGAATGGGCCAGGAATGCTTCGTAACGGATCGCAGTAGTGCTTTATAATGTTCACTAAACATATGCCGGGGACAATGGCCAGCAGGAGAATGGCTGCTGCCACTGTCTTGTTGACGTCGAAAGCATTGACGAGTGTCATGGCAGGAATATCCCTCTTAGGTGGCTAAGATGTTGCTAGCTAGGTAGAGATAAATGTACGGCCCTATGGATTGGTGTGTTTATAATTACATGACCTCTCGGAGGAGCTGAGCGATAAAATAAATAATCTGATTTGTAATGCTTCCTTCATTGGAGGTGATGGGCAAGTAAAGCCTGCATCGGTGCTTGGGCCCATGCTAAATCCAGTTGGGTCACTGAATATTGTATTGCATCGTTTATTTTAATGCTCTGCCGCAACAAGCGCGAAAAGAATTCCTTTACTTACCAGTGGGGCCAGCCCCGCTAGATGCAGGAGAAGACGGACAGCTCATCCTCCACGTAGGTGCATCTTACTTCGGAGGACTGTGCTCGCACAACTCCACTCGGCCGCAGGGGTACTCTAATATTCAGTGATGCCTATCTTTAGTTATTGCGTTGGAAAGCTACACTGAGTTGTCAATCTGCCAGCCTATCCTGTCATGTCCTCCACTCGGTTGCAGAATTTAACAGCATAACAAAGAGACTTTACTTCCACCCATTGAGTAATTGAAAATCGTGGGATCGGTCACAACTACGAGTGCGGCTGGATTACTAGGAAAAGATTTGATGAGTCCACTTCAATTTGAGGTAGTCATGATAAAATTAAGAGCCAGACATTGCCATGATGATGTTCTAACTTCAGGTATGAGCGTCCGCCCCCCATGTGACTATAGCATCAACGAGGCTGTCAATTTCAACCTCCGTGTGGTCGGCATGTATGATGCATCTAACACGCTCCTTGTCTTTCGGAACAACAGGAAAGCCCACCCCGATTGTGAAAAAGCCTTTCTCGGTGAGCCAGTCTTCCAGACTGTGAGACAGGCCGCCTTTAGTCAGGAGAGGAACAATAGGTGAAATAAAGGCCATGGATTTCCAGTTCGAAGCGGCGGCTACTCGTAGCCGATCCTTTTTGCACGAAATGTTCCACAGTGCATGCCGAGTGAGAGAACGATAGAATTGGTGCACTCGCTCTTGAAGAATCTCCCTCCTCTACAAAGATTGTCAGTAGAGTCAATAATCACTAGAACCGGAGATATACCTTTGCTCCTTCTGCACTTGCAATGACGTTATAGGACGCCCTGACAGTGGCCATGGTAAGGAATGCGGGAGCGGTAGTGAATATGAAGTTTCGGGCGTAGTTGACCAGAGTGTCCTTTACCACAGGAGGGCATAGTATTGCGGCTTTCAAAATCAATATAGGGAATGGCTCTTGAAAGTGGAACGATCACTTACCACCTTGGGCATTGATTCCCTTGCCGAAGGTATGTAAGCGAATGGCAAACTCATTCTCAAGTCCAAGATCGGAAATAAACCCCCTGCCCTGGGGTCCCATAATTCCATTTGAGTGAGCCTCATCGACCACCAAAACAGCGTTTTTAAGCGGAAGACATTCTTTGACACATTGCACAATCTCGACAGCTGGAGCTATGTCCCCGTCCATGCTGTAAATGGACTCAATTGCGAGGAAGACAGTTTTCTCACCTTTTGCAACCGCAGGGTCGGATTGGAGGATCCCAAGTAAAACAGCCTTCAGTGATGCAGGATCATTGTGCTCGAAGGCTTTGATCAACGACGCCCGGCTACCACGCATGCCGACATGAGTACTCGCATGGATTGCACTGTCATGGACAATGATATCATCGGGTCTGGGAAGAACGTTGAATATGGCCACATTTGCTTCATACCCAGAATTGAACAACAAGCAGGACTCCGCGTTGTGGAATTCTGCCAGCCACTGTTCCAGCGCGAAGGTGTATGCTGAGGTTCCGTCCGCTACGCGGCTGGCGCCAGCCCCGATTTTGAAATCAGGATTCCGCTGAATCTCATTCAAGGTTTCTTCGCGGTGAACTCCAGAGTTCAAGGACAAAAAATCATTGGATGTGAAATTGACAAGCTCGGCGTATGACTCAGGGGGACGAAGGGTCCAAAGGCGACCTATGTCTCGTCGCTTATCAATGGATACTTGCAGGCTCTCAGCAAACTGTGTAGGGAAAAACACCATTTTGAGTAGGCTAGGATTACTCGAATGGTAATGTCGGACGTATTCCAAGGTTCTCGTCTTTCGTTCAAATCCAAATGAAGGGAAAGATGGTACCCCTGAAGCCGAAGCAAAGACGTTATCTTATATATTATTAAAGTAAAACGCGGGGCCAATCCACAGCGGCCGGGTGTGTCTTTCCCAATTTTGACATGTTCCCATGTAGGTTAGAACATAGAAGCTATTTTACCAAGTCCCTACATCGGCACAAATATGTTAACGGCGTAGAATATTTATCCAACGCCCGATTTCGGCAGCTTTCTCTCACATCTAAAGGCTGAATGCTACTAGTACTTACGTATGAGCGACAGAATATTTTTATACGACTAAAGGTAAATTCCACAAGATACAAGTGTACTGATACCTCCCAATTGAGCGAATCTGACTTCTGACTTTTCACCTGCGTCAGGACTTACGAGCCTGCTAATGATCCCGAGCTCGTCAAAGCAGTAGTAGAGGGCCGGATCTACGCGCCTGTGTAAGATGCGGTGTAGGTCTCGATGCAAGCATGGCACACCTTTGCTCTCCAGCTCACCAAAGTCTAGAGCTGCACCGTTCAACTCATGCAGTAACACTATACATGGTGCATATATGCAGTCATCTATCACCCCTCACGATGTAGTGTCGTGTAACTCTTCTGGAGTGGGGCTTGTGGTTGGAGTCACTACATGCCTTTTACATACATGCAAGTTACGTGACTGGTATTACGCAAATTACATTTGGATAGGTATTAGTTCCGTAATTTTGAAAAGTGAATAATACAAGATCGAAATCAGACCATGGAGATGCTGTCACGATTGGCAAAGGTGCATTGTCGATGCCGAGCTTTGGAAACTTGAGAGACAGCCGGAAATTTATGAGGGGAAAGCTGCGACCACACAGACTAACTAGGTATTACCCCTCTTTCTGGACACGATCAAGTTTCTCGTCTCGACGGCAAACTTAGTCCTTCATTTGTTCCGCGCAATCGTTTACCACTCGTCCCTACCAGCATACATAACCCACCGGCTCAATCATCTATCTCGACCAAAGCTTTGGAGAAATATCACTACTGGTCCCTCGTCATGAGTGAGATTGAGAAGTTTGACTTCAGCTTTCATGCACAGGATGATCCCGATTCGTGCAAATTGAATACTGCGAAATGGAAAGCAATTCTTGCCAACCACCCGAAAATCGAGTTTGTATGGCTGCAATTCATTCTATTTGAAGGAACTACTCGATTGAGGATGATACCCGTCTCATACTTCACAAAGATGATCGAGAAGAACCGAAATATCAGCATCTCATCAGCATACCTTCATGCTCTTCGCAATGATGACATTGCGGACGCTGCGGCGTCCACCGGCGCGATGTATCTGGCACCCGATATATCCACTGCTTCCATTACTTCTCATGAGAATTCGCGGGTTCGCATCCTTGCAAATCTGGTGAACCAAGATAAAAGTCCGCGAGCCGAATGTATTCGCTCCAAGTTGTCCTGCCTGTCGGACATCCTGTCCCACCTCCACGGCTTTTATCTTCTCATTGGATATGAAATCGAGGTCGTCTTCTTTCGAAGAGAGGACAAGGATGGCGCCGAACCTTTTGTAAACCACAAATGTTCTGCAATGACATTCGAAATGCGGTCATTGTTGCCTATGATAGAATCCATCGTGAGGAATTTTCAGGAAGAGCAAGTTCTGCTCGAACAGTACCACTCAGAGCTTTCTCCTGGGCAATGGGAGTTCGTCCTCCAGCCCCAACAGCCCTTAAAAGCTGTTGATACTCTTGTTCGCGCTCGGGATATCATCTCTAGGATGGCAGAAGAGTTTGGATATCGCGCAACATTACACCCTCGACCATTCCCTGAAAATATTGGCACGGGGGCCCATATACATCTTTCGGTCAACTCTATTGGCTCGTCGTCGCCCCCGGAGGCACAATACTCGGACCCATTTTTTGCGGGTATCATCAATCATCTTCCATCTCTAATGGCATTTTGCCTTCCGCTCAACGTGTCTTACGGGAGGCTGGCGACCGGACTTTGGAGTGGGGGGAATTTGTGAGTTGGGGATGGCAGAATAAAGAAACTGCCTTACGTCGCATCACCAATAATCGATTTGAATTGAAATTGCACTGTGGATTGGCAAACCCATACACATCCCTCGCTGCAATTTTGGCTGCGGGTCTTGATGGCCTCAGAAAAACACTGCCACTCGTCGCAGGGGACTGCCAAGTCTCTCCCGCGGAGCTGTCAGAAGAGCAGCGCGAACAGCTTGGCATTACTCCGCTCCCACGTGATATACAGCAAAGCATGAAGTCTCTCGCTGATGATAGAGACCTGCAAAAAATCTTGGGGGAAAAATACACGGCCACTTATCTTGATGTGGCAAGGGAGTGGAACAAGCAAGTCGATGAAATGAGCGAGCAAACGAAACGAATCACGATATTGCAGAATTACTAGGCATCACAAGAAGACGTTGTGCTGCTGCAAGTTACGGAGTCCTCCCTATGATGCTTACATCCCAACTTCGCTTTTGAATACATTGAATTAGATCGACTTTCAATTTCAAACCCTGTTGATACCCTAATGGAACATTCTTGGGGGCGGATTCTCCTTAGGTAAACACCGAATAGACTCCCGCACAGCCCAGCATTGGACCCAGATCTCGGGCCCCGTCTCTTGTAGTCGCTGCATTGCGACCTTCCACTACCTAGATAATCGTATGAAGTTCAAACTTAAAATCTTTAATTAAGATAGCTATATGAGAATGTATCTCAACTTTGAACAAAATCAGACCGATGCCCAGGTCGAAATCGCGGAAACCTTGCAATTGTTAAAATTGGTGTTTTGATATTCTACGGTTAGATAGTGTAGTGGTGGAACCCGTGACAGTAGCGTATTAGTGGCCTGAGGTATCACAAATGCTTCAGGAAGCATGGCATGCAGTCTTCTCCTTCGTGAGAGAGCATCGCACCATCATCAATATGACTACAATTTTTCCACCAGATTCTTCATTCATGATATAGCTTCAAGATCAGTATTTCAGTAGCTTCCTGAGACTACTCTCTACGCCTACGGTGGGCATGGGAGTGGTTGGTTGTCTTCTCTCCATTGGTATCGACCCGTCTGCTATATCAGACTGCCATCGAGCCATCCCCATTTCAATAGGTATATGTATGGGAATCATCCTCAAAATACCACCACTCTCTAAATGAACATCTGTAATTTTGAAATTATCTGAATATCGCGTTTTCTCGTGTTTTAAACGTGTCATATAAACATTACCAGTGCTGAATTCTAAATCATCTAAAATTAGAACATATTACCCTAGGATGAGGTTTAGAAACGTGGTCTAAAATAGGGTAATTCCAAGGTTAAAAACGTCACGCTTTTCGAGATGTTTGCATTGTTTGGGGTCCAATGGAAACCCCTCCCCCCCCCCCAACAAACCCCAAAAAGCTCAATGGGGTTTGGACCGGGTTGGGCCGGGTTGGGCTTTGGGTTTCATGGGCTTTGCGGAGGTCTAGTTTTAACCGATCATGGTTCTACTTTTCATTGAATCTCCAAGGGTGCTTAGTATTCGATGTTGCACGTAATATGACTGGCAAAAAGATCATTTGGCTCCAGGGCTCCAGGGCCCTCGGTGACCTATCAGTAATTGCAATCCCCACAATTTATTGGCGAATAGTATAGCCCGGCCATTATATAGTAAGCGCTTGAAGCCGGTAGATTCTCTAGTTACATATATGTATTGTCATTACATGTCCACGTATTAAATACACTGTCCACGTCACTAGATCCTCGGTATCAAATTCACGGAACTTTGATGAATTGCGGGGCGGCCCGCTCCCGCCCCATTGCGAAAAATTCTCTGTCATCCAAGCTAGTAATACTCTTTTGTCGTCCGAGCGTATACTCATGCGATATTCCCGCAAATAGCGCGCTATGCAACATTGCTCTACGCGCCTGGGCATGTATACATAGATCGTCATATTGAATAGCGGTGTGACGTTTTGCATCCAAGCATCATAGCAGTGATCGGCGAGGTTTAACAAATAAGACGGCTATATATATACGGAGTATAAAAAATCATGCAGGTGGATGATCTTGATCGGGCCTCGGTATTAAGCAGTATACACCAGTAATTTCCGTACACACTGTACGGAATACTTAAATACCAAATTACACGTCTGGGTAATCGGGTAATCTTTAGATTAACAGAACACATTCCTGACAATTGAATCACCGCATGGCAGTGCAATATAATGCAACCTTGGAATAATTTAGTGGTAAATGGTCTTCAAAATACGGACTTAAATAAGAACACAGCATTTCTCGTAACATGTGCACTTTTGCCAATTACGTAGGGGTTTTTTTTTTCGTTTTCTTGAAATGCTTATATGTATGGAGTGAAAAACTGTACGTTCATTCAACCGCGTATCCTTTGTCTTAATTCGGTATAATTTACTTGCATGAGCCTACCTGGACGCTTACGCCACTTGGTACAACCCCTTCCAAGGTTCTACGAAGTACACTTCGCAAGTAGGAACCAAGGTGGCGATCGCGATCGCGATCGGCTTATCTTGACCTATGGAGAGTTGCCAAATTACTTGCATGATAAGAGGGGCTCGAGCACGGCGGCCAACGGGGCATGGCTGAGATCCCATCTCGTTTAGTACAATATGTGGAGTATGACGCTTGCAGTAGTCCCGCGCTTAGATCCCGAATGCTAAGAAAATATATCTCAGCTTAAAAATAAGTTGGTTGCCCCATATTGCCTGGGATTCATTTTAGAGTGCCTGTTGAGTTGCAGATACCCAGATACCTAGCGTGTGGTTTTTTGCCGAGTTACGACCCACATAGTCCCACCATACTAGTACCAGCATCAGGGACGACTAGAAGCACCAGGGGCATCGCAAGGTTCATGCTTTGGTTTGCGTGCAAATGTTGGTGCAGAAATCACAACGTAAAGCTCCAATGAGATTCAGGAAGTATACAGCAGGCAGCAGGGCTATGTTGCTAGCCATGCATATAGTAATGTTCCTTCTGGCTCTACATGTACCTAGGTACTAGGCGATACATGCAATACGATAATGTTATTTGGGTATCATATTTAAAATGGAGAAATCAAACTACTACTAAGATAGCTGTACTCTTTTTCGCGGGTTGCGGGGTTTGTAAGGACTTTTCAAAGATTTCAAGAAACCTGTGAAGTCAGTGTTTTGCGGATGGAACCTATGACGTGGCAGCAGAGGACATATAAAGCGCTGCACATTGTTGGTCAGAAGAGAGCTAGTGGTCTATCTCATCACACGGGAAATATTCCTCGGAACACCGCCTCAAAATGAACAACACGAGTTTTAGCTTCAATATGACTGAAGCTTATGAGTCACCAGATCCGGTTTATATATTGGGTCTGGGTAGTCTGATTATATTGGCCATAACTCTACTCTTCAATTCCAGGCCATCCAAAATTCCGATCATCAACAAACGGAAATGGTACGAATTTGGAACAGAGAAAGCGGTGCATCGATTCAATACAAATGCAGCAGATTTGATCAAGGATGGCATAACGAAGGTGCTTGATGGTATTCCGATGTTTCAAGGCATAGCAGAAATGTGCTGATCGATGAATGCTCTCTAAATTAGACCCAGTCCGCATTTTATCTCTTTGCGGATAACAAATATCGAATGATACTGGGACCAAAGTATGCCAACATTATTCGTAATGATACTCGGATGAGCTTTCGATGGTGGATCTTCGACGTTAGAATGCCCCGGTGGAAAATTGAGCTGTGGTGAAAGATAGTATTTACTGACTGTTGATAGGAGCTTCATGGAAATTTACCTGGATTCGAACCATTCAAAGAACTTGCGCATACTGGAATTATTAATGACATGATAAAAACAAAAATGTCGCATTCTCTGGGTGAGCCGAAACTGACTCCTGACAATGAAAACCAATTTTACTAACTTCACCCTTCGAAGATGCGCTCACAGGGCCAGTAGCATCAGAAACTGTGGCTGTTCTCAAAACAATTTGCACAGATGAACAAGGTATGCAGAGAGAACCGCCCCTTATTCACACATGTGGGGATACAGCTAAAACGGACCATAACAAATTAGATTGGCACAAGCTCAAATTGAAACAGGCCATCGCGGCAATTGTAGCCCAGGTGACAGGGCGAGCGTTTCTTGGTCATGACTTCTGCAGGGAGCCAGCCTGGCGAGATGATATCGTTAGATGGTCACATCAGATGATCACAGCGGCTAGAGAGCTACATACCTGGCCAAAGTTCTTGCGACCTATCGTTGTATGGATGCTGCCTTCGTGCAAAAGACTTCGGGAGACGGTGGAGGTTGCTCGACGGAACCTTGAACCGGTTATCAAGGAGCGCCATGCAATAATAGCTGCTCGCAAAGAAAACGGAGAGACCTCAGAAACAGGCTCGTGTGCATTAGATTGGCTGGAGGAGGTTGCTCAAGGCCGTCAGTACGATCCCATTGCTATGCAAATCTGTCTTGCATTTGTTGGTATGGATACCACCGCCGACTTAGTTTTCCACGTCATTTCGGATCTGTCGCAGGATCAAGAATTGGTCAATGCGCTGCGAGAAGAGATAAAGTCTAATCTGGATGGAAAAAGATTTACCAAACAAGAGCTGCAAAATTTGAAGCTCTTAGACAGCGTCATCAAGGAAAGTCAAAGATTGCGGCCAACGGGGAAGGGTAAGGATTCTCATGTTTTCAGAGCTTTGGATTGTCAGCCGATAGCTAACTGCTCTCACATTTTAGTGTCAATGCATCGCATCGCGAATGAGACTCTCACACTACCCGGTGATATTCATGTGCCCAAGGGGACATACCTTGGTATTTCAACCACCCACATGATGGACTCCTCAGTCTGGCCTGATGGTGAAAAGTTTGATGGGTATAGGTTCTTCAACCTGCGGCAAAACCCAGACAAGGCAAATACAGCTTTGCTTGTCTCTACAAGTCCTGATCATTTGGGCTTTGGGTATGGCAAAATGGCATGCCCTGGCAGGTTTTTCGTTGCGAACGAGCTGAAGGTAATTCTTTGTCATTTCTTGATGATGTATGACTTCCAAATTACAGAGCCGTATGAGGAACACTCTGGACTCTACGGTTATATGACATCGCCAAGCTCTGAGACTGAAATTACCCTTCGACGGCGGAACCCCTCTTCCTGTGAAGCTTGGTGAAGAAAAGTTGGCCCCTTCCAGAAAATGATGAATAATCTTTCACGAAGGTTCCGCATCATCTAAACCATAGATGTTTGCCAGAACGTTGATTGCTGTATGATTGCAAATTGATTAGATCAGATCAGAGAACTGTCGTTTTGTCTCCGGGCACCTCGCATAGTGCAATCCATCTTTCATTCACATTCCTCTAGGAGTTTCATCATGTTTCAATAGCATCAAAGCTCTTCGTCCCTCTTCATCACCTGTTTGTATTTAGTGAGGATGGCGATAGGTGACTTCTAGACCTTCCAGATTCGTTCTCAGAGCAGCGGAGAGGCCCCGATGTACTCCCGTAAGATTCACACTTGGGCAAATATACCATAGGGGTTCAGATGTTCTTACCCACTCCACTTTTTCGGGTCCCCATGCAAAATATATATATCATTTTCATAGTATATAGCACCACCATTTCATGGTCTACAGTAATATAATTAAATTTTAGGGTTGCTTAATAATAGCACTTTCGAAACTCGCTTAATATTTTGTGTAATACCCCTTGGCCTTCCTCACTGCCTTCAAACGTCTTCCTATGCTCAATATCAGCGTATCTATCTTTGCCTGATCTAATGCCTTCTAAGCTTCCACTAGGCATTTTTTAAAATAAAGCTAGTCTACCTCCGACCTTCCTATGCCAATAATCTCTAGAAACATCGCAAAAAGCTTCAATTTAACCGCGCTATACCGGTTCAATTGGGTTCAAATCGGGTGAGTGTGTGGGGCCAGTCCTCGACGTAAATTCTATGCGTTTCAAACCACTTTTGCGTCGCCACCGCTAGATAAATCTTTGCGTTATCTTGCTGAAATACTAAATTAGGGGTATAGATTAGCATTAGACCTTTTTTAAGCGCTTTACTATACGATTTTGAAGTATAACCCCTCCCCGAAGGCGATTCTTCGTCCTATTCTATAATAATTAATTCTGTCCGACCACCTAGCTAGATTCTAGCCTAAACTATTTGCGAAATATCTTTAACGTATACTTTAGCATTCATAAGGTCGTGGCGAAGACCTTCGGAGTCCGTACGAAAGCACTATTGTGGTCTAAATTTCGAGGTTCGCTACACCGAACACTCGTCCGAGAAGATCCACGATTAGAAGCTTTCACGCCGCTATTTTCGCGTAAATCTTAGCCGTTTCCTTATAAGAGAGGGCTTAATTAGTATCTTTTTTCGAACGCCGTTTTCCGACACTAAATCGCTTTAAAATCCGCTGTATAGTGGACCGAGAGGGGTAGCTAGGTGTCGTAGCACTTAGCTATTTATAGGTCTAAAACGGGTGCTAACGGGCTTAAAGATATAGGTAGTGTAAAGCGCGCTAGCTAATAATAGGCGTAAGGCCAGCTTTTTCACGATTCTCGAGGGTGTCTTCTTCGTGGTAGCGCTTAAGCGTATTATAGATTGTCTTACGAGAACAGCCGAAATCATTAGCTAATTTCACTTACGAAATACCAGACTTATGAGCAGATACAATAGCTAACCTTTGTATAGCAGTAAGCTGCGCCGTTTTGCTAATTTTTGCATCAATTTTCATTGCAATCGGAGCAATAGGGGAGGTGTAGGAAGAAAAATCAAAAGATGAGTTGGTTGCCGGGTCAAATTGTAGTGGGGCAGTGGGTAAGAACATATGACTAGTATCTGTACATCCAACATCAAAACATCAACTCTACACTTTTACCCGATTTTTCGACTTCCACTGGTCAGATTTTATTCAATATCAAAACGTATACTCAAGGTTTCTTACTCTAATCTCAAATTTGAGTTCCATGCGATCAGTGGAAGGTCGTAGTACAGTGATTACAAGAGGTATGGTTGGGCCCTGGGCCCGGGGTCTGGACCTAACCCCGCCCCTTGCGGAGGTCTATTGGTCACAGAGAACAACTAAAGATGGGGATGAAGATAGGAGGAAAGGAGAACGCGCGAGAGAGCTCTCTGAAACGAAAGAAGGAAATTCTACCGAAAGGCACAGATAGCCGTGTCACAGGAGCGCTCCCCCGCCCTCGCGGGTAGGGGGCTGTCCCACAGCCATAATACAATTAACCTCCAAAATGCAAAATTTCAATTTCTTCAAATTCTAGCTCATTTATTAGACGTATAAGGTCCAGCATCATGAAATAAAGCCTATCAATAGCCTCATTAGCCAGTAATATATCATCCTCCTCACTTTCAAGCGTTTCCTCTAATTCCTTAGCCGCTAACTTAGCCGCCATTTTCACTGCGTCTTTCCGCCAAGCACGAAGCTTCGACTTATCTTCCTTCTCACACCTACGCTGTACTAGCCTATTGCCTAAAATCAATGAAAGGGGACTATTTGTGGCGCCCTTTACCTATTGCTTGCTTTTTGTACGGTTTTTCCTAGGCGTTTTATGGCTAAGGGCGCGCGTAAGCCTCATCTCAGCAAGTTCCGTATTGTGTAGACGATTTTCCGGCATCAATTGCGCGCCGTATATACTTCCGATTTTTTTGTAAATCAGGATCCGGGTTAAGTAGTGGGAAAACTGACTTCTCCAATTTTTCAATGCACGTATAAGAAGTAGGCGGAGAATTGGTCGCTAAACGTAGGAATTCGCGGGCGGGTGACAACTCGTTATACATACGTAAGATCTCTTTATCCGAATACTACCCTAAATTATCTAAAACTTATATCGGATCTAGTGGCTAGATACTAGTAGATCTAAACGAGGTTTAGATAGTTTCAGACCGTAGGGCGCGGCGTCGGACGGTATTAATATCGTGGAAGAAGTCGCGTTTTTTATTGCTTCCACCCCACGCTATAACCTCGCTATTCGCGATCTTAAAATAAAGCTTTAGGCTTAAAAATGCCTTAGCATTAAGCGGCTAATATAGAGAAGTTGTGTAAGGTGTAAAATACTAAGGAATAATCAAGCTTTCCTTATAAATTTGAAAAATTCGATAGTTATATGAGACGTATAATTATCTATTAGAAAAAGCCTCGGTCGCCCGCGCCGTACGCCGTTTTTGATGGCTCTATAAAACGAGTAGAGCTATCGGCAAATAGTCTATCTAGCTATTAGATGTTAAGTGGATACTTTTGTACGCCGAAGAAGAGGTAGTGCTATACTAGTCTTCTATATAGACGCTACCTTTAACTAGAAACCATAGAAATATTACCTAACCATTAGCGGCAATATATTTAATGCTAGTAATAGTTTTACCTCGATCTCTAGTAGCAATAGTAGTAGTTTAACGCATAGAGATAACGTGTTAGTTAAGTCCTTGGCCAATTTAAAAGCCGGTTTTATCCTAATTATAGATCTCATAAGGTTCGAAGTCATGCTTACGATAGAGATACGCAAGCCAATCGTACCAATGACTAATAACTCCAGAATCCTTGGCCTAAATTCGTAACGTACCTATTTCACATGCGAGTGGCACACCCCACCTAAAAACGCGTCAATTAATTAGACCTTCCTTCTTTAACCACCTACCATGCCACCAATTCGCACTCAATCTTCTCAAAATTCAATTGAGCAAGAGGGTAGGATCTTATTAGCTATCTAGGCTATTAAGAATCAAGAAATCAGGAATATTTCTCGCGCTGCTTATACTTTTAATGTGCCGCGTTTAACTCTCCGTCGCCGCCTACAAGGGGTTCAAAACCGCGTCGAATCTCGCGCAAATTCATATAAATTGACTGGAATTAAGGAGGAATTGCTTTAAAAATATATTCTCTCTATAGACTCTCGCGGAGCAGACCCTCGGCCTTCTACCGTACGAGAAATAGCTAATCTATTACTCGCGACGCGTGGATCTAACCCCCCTTTTTCGGTCGGTAATATTTAGGTTATAAACTTCGTGAAAAGGTATCCCGACCTCTCGACCCGATTCTCGAAAGGCTATAATTACGCGCGCGCAAAATATGAAGATCCTTAAATTATTTCCGAATGGTTTTGTCTCGTTTAAAAAACGATCCTTTCGTACGGTATCGATCCCGACGATATCTATAACTTTAATAAGACCGGTTTCGTAATAGGCTTAATCGCGACCGCGAAGGTTATTACGAGGAAGGAATACTGCGGTCGGCGATCGCTTTTGTAGCCCGGAAACCGCGCGTAGGCAACTACAATCGAGTGTATAAACGTGTCGGGGAGGCGCTTCCTCCGTGCGTGATTTTTAAAGGCAATGTCTTTATCGAATCTTGGTTCGATAGCCTTCCGGGCGATTAGAGACTCGAGGTTAGCTCTAATAGGTAGACTTCTAATCAAATTAGACTTCGGTAGCTCGAAAAGCTCTTTATTCCGTCTACTTCTTCGCGTATAAAAGGGAAGTATAGACTTTTAATACTCGACGGCTATAGGAGTACTTAACTCCGAAATTTAACGAAATTTGCGAAAAAAACGATATTATCGCAATTTATATGCCTCCGTATTTATCTTACCTTTTATAGCCTCTCGATATTAGCTATTTTACGGTGTTAAAGCGCGCGTAGGGTCGGCTAGTCGAATCGAAAATACGTGCTAGAATTAACTATATTAATAAGCTAGACTTCCTCGAAGCCTACCCGTCCGCGCGAATCAAGGAATTTAAACTAGAGACTATTAAGAATAGCTTCGCTACCGCCGGTTTAATACCTTATAACCCCGATCGAGTGATCTCAAAGCTCGATATTCGCCATCGAACCCCGACACCCCCCTCGAGCCGGGGAAGCGAGTAGGAGCTAAAAACGCCGTCGAACTACGTCTAATTACAAAAATAAGCTTCCTTAATTAAAGCTTTGCTAAAACAGCGCTTAAAAAGCCTACCGAGCCCGCTTAATTCCGCGATAAATCAGGTTTTAAAAGCCTATTAAATCACAATATAATCGGCAGCTATTCTTAAGAAAGAAGTAAGCGATTTACGCGCTAAGAACGAGAAGAAGAAGCGTAAAAAAGCTCGGTCTACAAGGCAGATAGCTCGAGAGGAAGGCCTATCAGTTTCAGAGGCTCTCGAGCTTATTTAAGTAGAAGAACCAGCAATTAAAGCGCCGATACCCCGTGAGGCAGGGCTAGCTCCGGCACCTTCTCAGCCGCGTACGAGGGCAAAAACGAAGTGTAGTGTATATGGAATTCAGGGCCATAGAATGACTATATGTTCTAATAGACCTCGAGTTTAGCTGATTGAATTTAATGGCGTTTTGGTTGAGATAATTGCATTTAAAGTGAATAGATAGTGGTGGGGTGGCCACTCGCATGTGAAATACGTTAGAGAGGTAGACGCCGTATAAGCCGATAGCTATATATCGAACTAATAACTCTCTCTGAACCCGCTATTTTCAATAGGCGATTCCCGGCAATTTCAATGTCTTTGTAGTTATAGGTGTATAGCAAGCTAGCTAATTAATGCATTTTCCTGATTCGAATCCAATGCATTGTTAGTGGTAGGGCGATCGGAGAGAGACGGCCGTCCGTTTTCGCGACCGCGAAGCTTCGAATAAGACATGCGACAATGGTCCGCAGCCTTACGTAGGGATGAAAATTCTCGCGCATTAAATGCATGTAATGCCTTGGCTAGCAGATCCTCTTCATCACGAGGCTTTTAGGCATTTTCGGAGGGAAGGAATACGCGTAAAAATTGAAAAAGTAGGAAATTTGCATTATGAGGTTAATTGCATTATGGCTGTGGGACACCCCTTACCCGAGAGGGTGGGAGTCGTCCCGTGACACGGCTATTGAGTTAAGTGGGCAGGGACTGTGTGAGATGGAATGACGTTGGAAAATGAGATTGTGATAAGGCACCGTAGAAGGTGACGGGAGGAATCCGACACTGCGAGTCCGAGTGGTGGACCTCACGTGACCACTCCCACTCCCACGACTCCACAACGTCTTCCTCTCGCCGAATTCTTCTCAGGGTTCCTCTCTGGAGGATTTACTGATGCTCTGATAGTCAAGAGAGATGAATTGAGGCCATGGGATGATGAAATTAGTCCTTGTGAGATGCACGAAGGAGGAAAAGCTAAGAATACAATTATTGGGAAGGAGATAGCTCGAGTCCCGTGACTAGACCTAAACTTCTCGGTCCTCTTGGCCTTAGGCCCTTTTCTGCCCGTCAGAAGGAACCGTGTAACCGTGCGTCATATGTTGCGGACCAGGGGATTGGTTTCTGCCATATTCGTAACCTTGCGAAAATTATGCAAAAGAAGTTTGAAATAAACCATAGATTTTGTATATTCATTTCTGATATGTTGCTTCACAGAGACGAATTCCAAGGTTAATGGCAAATTATACTAGGTAGATCTCCAGGGAACCTCCGGACTACATGGAAACGCCCTTTGCCTTGTTTTAGGCCCGAGTACTGTTACAGCACTTGGGGGCCATGCGTAATTACTTGTGACCGGTGCTACGGTATCGCTTTTTTTTTTGTGGGTCCCTGCTAGCCCCTGAAATAATCGAAAGTACAGTAGACGGATCTGTTGACCCCGCCTAGTTACGGTATATGCTTATTCTTCGTCGGCATAGCATGGTTACTGAGACTGAGACGACGTGTCACAGGCCGGTTCGCGCATAACTAAATGTCGCGATTACCTTACGAATACTGCATGAAACCGGTCGATAGATGATCCGTCGGCATAGCTTATGTAACTAGAATGGACCCATAAATAGTGAGAAATAGGGGTAATGGAAATACAGAGTCATTTACATCTCCAATTGGGTGGAGACAGGACAAATCGTGACACTAAACTAGTTGACACGTCACTAGCCAAGCATTTTCTTATACTAATTCACAATTTGTCAGACACTCGACTGATGAAGTCATTTGCCTGTAGAAGCTATGATCTATAAGACACAGCAAAACCCCGCAAGGTTTCATCTTTCAGTACTACTCAGTTTTGTGTTGGACTCATACGCTTCAAAGTTCTACCATTGGAATTACCTTTCTCCCATTGATTTACCTGTTTGATTTCCACACCTAGGTTTCCGCCTATACTCGATTCGTTCACAGACGAAATGGATATCAAACAGGTCGAATGGATCAACAGCTCTGATCTCCCGCCCTTTTTTCGCGATGAAGTTCTTGGACCGGCGGCACACGTCACAAAGCGGTACTTTCGTACTGCGAAAGGCCAACTCGACCCTGCACGTGTCAAGATGGCAACCCCCTTTGTCGTTTCTATTGTAGGAACTGGTAAAAGGGGGATTGGCGTTTCTATTGTGCTTTCCTATGCAAAGGCTGGAGCATCTGGGATCCTATTAAGTTCACGCACTGAAGCGAGCTTGAAGCACGTTGCTGAGCAGGTTAAAGCTATCAACCCAAGTTGTCGCGTGGAGTACCAAGTTTGCGACGTGTGTATAGAGGATGACCTTGTTCGATTGGCCTCTCGCTGCAAAGAATGTTTTGGCCGATTAGATGTTGCAGTACTCAATCAGAGCGATCTACCACGCCTCATCCAAAATAAAGATGGGAGCCTACGCTTCCCCTATGGTCTCTATGAAGAAACACGCGAGGACGTCTCCAATAGCTGGGATACTAATTACCATGGTTCTTATCTGGCTATTAAAGCACTGCTCCCTCTGATTCGAATCTCCGTTGATGGCCCCCAGTCGATTATCATACTTTCTTCTATCGGGGCACTCTCCTCTGAAACGTCTCCCACGACCTGCACGGCCTCTTACATTACGAGCAAATTTGCAGTTACCCGTCTGGCGGAATTTGTCCACAATGAATTTAAATCAGATGGCGTGCTGTGCTTTGCTATTCATCCTGGATGTATTAAGATCAACGACGATTTTCCAATTCCGTGGGACTGTAAGTCTTGTGACTGCCTATTGCGTATTTGTGCCACTGCTAATCAAATAATTATGCATAGTCCTCATAGACGATGTTAGCCTACCTGGTGGATTTTGTGTCTGGCTTACAAAGATGAAGCGTGCCTGGCTCTCGGGTCGTTTTCTGGTCTCAGGATGGGATGTTACTGAGCTGGAAAGCCAGAAGGAAAGAATTGTGGCCGAAGACAAATTCAAGTTTCGATTGGTAGTATAGACGGGGTTTGCATTTTCTCATGGACTATTAGAGCGTGTGTGTCCAGATACGTTAGTCAGTGCTGTATAGCCGAGTCCTCGCTTTGAGAATACATTTCTATCTCCTTGGTTTCCATCAACCCTCCTGCCCAATACCTGCAGCAAGACATTGAGCAGTTGGTTGAAAACAAAAATTTTAGCAGATTCCGGGCCAAGAATCGTGGCTGAAATGAAGATAGGATGTGTCATTTTCTGCGATAATTTTCTTTAAGGGACATTCTTGGTGGCGCAAGGCACAGGATGGTAATAAATAGAGGTATCGAACGACGTTATATCTCAATGAAGCAGCAACCTTCAGATGACAACCCAAGCATCACCCTAGCATAATGAAAAGCTTCTTTCCTCCATACGGCAAGCTAAAATTATTTTCTAGACAGCATGACAAGACTTCTGGCAGGAGTGACTGTTCCAACAATTGAACTTAGCTGACAAATTTAAGTTGACTTAACCTCTCTCTGTCTGAAGCAAACAAAAAGAACCAGGAGTAGAGAGCCGATTGAGACCGCTTTGTAACAGGACTATGTCAGCGAAAAACCAACTTTTTGGAGACAATACGGGCAAGCTTCTCACCTGGAGGTACGTAATAGCTCCGCTGGATCGTCGTTCGCACAGTGTTTTGAAGATGAGGTGGGACAAATTGCAATGATCGCCGATGACTCAGTACTTGAGTAATCAACTATTCGTCATTGAAATCGTAAGTCTTTTGCAGTGATAGGATCGGTAGATGTTGACTTACCTCCCGGCTTCCAGTGTTGTTCCCAAGAGCAGCTTTCAGTCCACTTTCAATGGCGCTCCTGACCAAGGCCCTTGATGAGGTTACACCTGCCATAAAGCCTATCTGCTGGCAAAGGTAGAAAGTCGTGACGGATGTAGCCGCATTTGCCTCCGGTTTGGCGGCTGATAGGGCAACAAATTGAGAAGAAAGAATCATTCCGAGTCCCACCGACGAGGCAAATGAATACGTGATCTCCCACATATTCGGTTCATACAATGCCCATCGTATCAGCATAAGGAGAAAACTCGAACAAGCCAGCGGAACGCCGATCTTTGTGTAAAGAAGATATCTGCCCGAGCTGTCGTCAAAGTGTGAGTTAAGAAGCAACATTTCAGGTTTAGGTAGATAGACTATTGAAGCCTTACCTTTGTATCAACCTGCCAGCTATTAGTGAGCCAACCGCAAATCCAAAGGTAGATGGCGCCCAGCACATTGCGCCCTCCACGGCTGAGAACCCTCGAGTGGTGACCCAGTAGTCCGAAACTATCGGTATTGACTATAAAACGACGAGAGAGTCAGAAATCCATGCTGCGAGTCGCTTTCATCAGAGCTCAGGGGCCTTACAGCAGAGTTTGTCAGTCCAATAAGCACTTGAGCGGCATAAATCAAGCCGAGGTTGTGTGGCTTGAGGAGGAAAAGCGGGATCAATGGGTTTTGGGCCACATAGGCTTCGTTGATGAAGAACGCCGCAAAGCATGTCAAGCAAGCGACCCCTAGAGTGACCAGAGAGTTTGACCTATTCTCCATATCTTGCGCTGGGATCACTTGAATTAGGCCAAGCAAGCATACGATTGCGGCCATGAGAAAAACAAGCCCTGCAACATCGAAAGACCTCTGTTTCAACTTAGCGCCACCATCCTTACTCGCATCAATCGCTCCATATGTTTGTCCAGTGGGGATATTAGACTGCGGCTTCTCAATGCGAAGTGTAAGAAAGATCACGGCGATACACAGGATCGCAAATGGGACATGTATCAAGAATGCCCTGAGTTAAGATGAAAAACGCCCGTTAGCCGTCAGATGGAATGAGTTCAATATCCGGGTCTCACCATTGCCAGCCAAGGTAGCTAGTGAGCAGAGCACCCAAGGGAGCACCGCAAGTAATTCCCATTATCGAAGACGTGGTAACATAAGAGCGCAACACCGCGACGCGATGAAAGCTGCCCATTTCTGTAGTCAAGTTCGACGTCTCAGTAAAGCCATCATTCAGGATGTCCACACCACAAGTTCAGATAGACATACCATTTACCAGAACGGAGACTAGTTCAACCATTCCAGAACCGCCGATTCCTGAGATAACACGACCAGCGAGGGCGACGTGGATTGAACCCGAGATTCCCCTATCGCTGCGTCAGATATGGCTTTTCACATAACTTTCACAGGGTCGTGCATGGGATAGCTCACGTCATAATGCAGCCAGATCCATACATGACCAAGGCTAATAGAATGGCTCTTTTGGGTCCAGTCAAATCGCATATTTGACCGTGCTTGGATTGTCAGCCACCGAGTCAGCATTCAGCTGAGAAGGTCTCACCAATGGAAGCGCAGTTGTATAGCCCAGATTATACGAAGTAATAAGCCACGAGGTATAGTCCGGTGCTTCGAGAGCGGCGGCGACATCACTGCCTGTCGTAAGGATAAAGGATTCATCCGCATTGGCTAGAAAACAAGCTGTGTTCCCAGGTGTCAGTCATGAAAGTCTTGATTTGCCATCACAGCAAAGCAGCTCACCTAGTAAGAGCGATGCGAGCGCCAACTTGCCAATCCGGAGATGCTTTGACTTGGTCATGGACTCTTCATCATCAACTCCAAATGGCCTATCAAGGAGTGCCTTCTGGTCATCGACGGTCATTTTCGAGCCTGTGATGACCTTTGTATCGGCTTTATGACAATCAGAAATGAAGAAAATCCTAGGACAGCAACACTTGCAAGAGTGCAAAACGTTACTTAAAATTCAGTCACATAGGGAGAACACCCTAGCTGAAAACCCTTTGATCACACCCATCATTTTGGTTGATCGACTGCAGGATCGATGCATGAAAGTGGAGGGGTTTGTCTCACTGTTTGAAATAGCCAATAATTGCTCCCACTGGGTATGTGGCTCCGCTCTGTCGCACGAGCGCACGATTCAAGTAGTAATTGCGCCCCTTGCGGACCTTCTACATTTGTTTTAGTGGGAGAAAGCGCTGATTGGGATTCGGCTTGAAGATTGCTTACGGAGTAGTCACGTAAACATATGCATTTTGCACGAAACACATAATAAGGACTGATTCTTACCTGGCCCAGCTAGAGTAGGATATTGTGGCTTAGGCATTGCCTCGATGCGGGTCGGTGGCAATGTGTGGCGATCGAACTTCGAGATCTGAAAACAAGCAAATACCAATAATTGAAATATTCAGCCGTCCTCTAAGCCAACCGAAACGTAGGATTTAGCAGAGGTTCTTATCAATAATCTGCTCACCCCTTGATCCGCGTGTATATGGGAACTTTAATTTTTAATTTTTAATTTATTTTAATTTAATTTATTTTTTTGGAAAAAATAAAAATTAAAGACGCAAGCCTTTGTTTCAGAGGGATCTCTCCGCGTCCCTTACTTAATCTAGACGAGTAGAGCCTTTCGCCAAGATGATTACTACAATAGCGCGCGAAATTTCTGCCGTTCATGGGTCGCGGGTCTCAGCTCCTCTTCTATGTGGCGAAAAGAGAAATTGTAAACACACGAATCACGATAACGGATGTAAGTATTGAAATTGCACATGAGTTGACAGAGCGATGCGGGAAGAAAGAGCATTCTAATGGAACTCTAAAAAGGGAACTGCCAGTCAAAGGCACGAATATCAAAATATTGAGATGCGTGAGGAAGAGAAGAGAAAACTAAAAGAGAGGGAGATGGGGAAATGTTCACCAAGATCACTTGATCTCTGACAGAAAACATGATCCATCAGAATGAGAATGATGTTGGTCCAATTCTCCAGGATTTGGATATTGAAGAGGGGAGCCCGTAAGGGAAACCCGACTATTCCCTGTCTGCGAACCAGGTCCTGGCCACTAGGGGTAGTAGGAGATGTAAGAGAGGAGAACACGTAGAGGTGGTAGAAGAAGAGAAGTGTGTCTGAATTGCTATCTTGCGAACAGGGAAGTCTTATATGTCACATAGTCCTGATACACCGCTACTTCACGTGGCTTTATGCAGTCAGCAATTCCCCCACTACAATATATGTATATATATTTTTTGCTCCTTGTCCTTCTTCTTTCCCCAGTTCAGTGACTTGCTACAGAGTAGGTCAATACGGTCGTTTTGCTTACCCTCCTTCCTAATTTCTGCAAGTTTCTGGGCCCTGTTGTCGCTTTTGTTGTAGTTCAGAGGTATGAATCGACTTATTAGATCAGAGAGAGACATGAAGCTACATATACAACATTGAGCCAAGTTGATTTCCATCAACTTGGTTATCCGTATAGATGCCTCGGAGTTGATTCCGACGGTGCGGCTTGGTTCCTGATCCACACCAGCTTCATATCACAACAACTCTTCATCCTTCTGAGAGTTCCTCAGGGATCTCCAATACAGAAATTGATCCTCAGATACAGGGTTGTATTGCTATCACAAAAAGCAGACAGAGAGAAAAGGAAGAAAAGAAGAGAGAACAAGCTATCTATCCCTCGATCCTATCCCATAGGGGGGTCACCTAATAGGTCACCAACCCAACAGTATCACGCTTATTACCTTCGACAAACCGTGGTAGTACGGAGTAGTCTCTCTAGACTCGCTACCCCCGGGAACCTACCAACCAGCTCAGCAATCAACGCACACAAGGAACTGCCACAGGGAAGACCCCTCTGCCAACCGAATTTCTACGCCACCGAACATACCTCGATGTAAGCCTTAGCGTCGCCGAGGAAGGACCTCACAGTCGGCCACTTCATACACTTTCGCCGCGCCGAGGCACGCAACACCTCACAGTCGTTACGTCTAACCTGCGATCGAGCGTCACCATCAATGATATATGAAATCCATGATAATTCCTTGACATGCCAGATCCAAGTTCCAGTGCCAGCCCTTATTTCCCTGACGCCAGAGCCCGATGTACGGAGCCTATGCCGATACCCGATACCAGTGCCTTGCACAATAGACCATACTAGTGCCAGACCTAATCAATAATTCTCACCTGAGCAGTTCTTGGTTACCTGACAAGTCATTCGCATGTTAATGCCACCAGCCTGATCCTACATATCGCAAGACCACCAAGATATGTGAAAAATTAACGAAGTCCGTCGATATGTACATAGTATATATTCTGAATCTTTCGCTTCACCCCGACGTGTCGATTCCAAGGAACTACTATAGATCACGTTAAGAGCAAGCTAATCGGTATAATTTGAGCTAGATCGGCAGTGGTTCACTTCTACCTAGTTATGAGAGCCCTGGAGAAGATCGATACAAATCAAATAACTCACTAGGTTTCTAACTTTTCGATGAATGTATAAAAAGGTAAACCAGAACAGAAGATACAACCTTGGATGTATACTGCCCAGGTGGAGAGCGATTATCAAATTTCACTAGAATACCGTGCATCAGACTTCCAGGCTCTCGCTTGTTTCTCCATTTTCCTGCCTCTCTACTTCAGAGGAGCTGTGAATGGCTCTACACACTCCCAATTCAGGCGAGGTATATGTGGCACCCCGAAGGGCTCTGGTGGTTGCTTTCGTCTGAATATCAAAGAATTCTATGGTAACAACTCGCTTCATGTAATGACAGAGCACGTGAAGGGTCGACCGAAACTGGTATCTTTGGATTCTCGTATCTTTTTAAGGGATTAGCAGAAAGCGGGAAGTCCGAAGTATACAAAGAACGACTCACCAAATCCACAATAGTTCCATACAGCCCGGCTACAAGAATGATGATGCCAAAAAGAAAGACAATACCGTTGTAAATGGACCGTTGAATATTTTGTCGGGAGAACCAGCTGCCTTCTTTAACAAGAACAAACCACATAATTGCAGGAATGTAGAACGACAGCCCTGAATTGAACAAGGACGTACTGATTGATAGCAAGAGTGAGAACACTGGAATAGCCTCCGCAACTACCCACGAAAGAAGCGTTAGGACTATCACAAGCAAACACCAGGTTACCCAACCCATCCTCGTATTCACGTAGCGGTGAATGGAATCACGATATACGTGTGTATGGATATAGCGAGCAACAATATTGGTGTTGATGGATCCAGATATGAAGATGACTGGAAGGGCAACACCAAAAGCGATTCTCGATAAAAGCGGTCCGGCTGAGAGTAAGGCAGGGGATTGCACATCCATTCCCACAAATGAATAGACAAGAGAGCCAATAAGCGTGTAAAGAACGATCTCAATGATGCCCAGTGCATATAATGCTTTGGTGTAGTCCTCTGGGGTGTGCATTTCATTGACAAATGATGGTATTGCGGGTGCAAACGAATATGCAAAAACAATGTTATTAATTGCCACCATGGCTGTCGCGAAATCGGTGCCTTCTGGAGGCCACGCTGACCAATTTGCCCGCGATGAGGAATTATTCTCTTGAGAGCTTTGTACGCCTGTTGCGATGATTGTGATCCCGATAGCTGTGAGGATTGAGACGACATCGATATACCCAAGTATAGCGATATCGGCAAAAGTTGGTGGAATGGCCAGTAAAAGTATAATCAAGGCTGAGGCCATTCCGAATACCACATTACAAACGTCACTTCGCGTGATATCAGCCAAGGCAATGATACCAGTCAAACAGTGCGACCCCACGCTTAATATCAGCTGAAAGATAAAGACAACTGTGATGATCCAGAAACCCTTTTCTCCCAGAATAAGCCTCCCGATATCTCCATAGTGCTCAACCTCTGGATATTTGACCTTTACCGCCCCAACCTCATAGCTAGCATATGTGGCAATGAGACCGATCCCAACGGAACAGACAACGCCTCCGACCATACCGAGAGTCATGAATGACTTGGGGAGACTTAGACTCCCGAGAGCAACGGCTTCCACGATGAGAATAATGACGAGACGTTTCCAACCGAGGCGAGAGAACTTTTTGTGACCGTCAATTTTCTTAGATCTTTCCAATTCTGCCTGGGGAGAATCTAATGAGGTGTTTTCGTTTGAGATGGAGTTTGATGGTTGGATCATAGTCTGGCTTTCTTTCTCACACAATTCAGAAGAGCCGTGCTGGGAATGAAGGCGTGTTTGCTTTGTGTGAATTTCCATTGCGTGTGAATAGGCTCACTCAGGTATAATTCAGATAAATTAGAAGGGAACGATTGAGTCAAATTCTTTCGGTATATTAAATTGTAGTCACGCATAGTCCACGCATAGTGCTCTGACCCCGCCTATTGCGATACTGGTGTCGATCGCAGAGAGGTAATGATAACAGTGCGCAAACATCCCTGCAACAAATGATGGGAAATATACTGAATGGGGGACATAGACTCACTGCGCTTTTCGGAGGGGATTTTCTCATGATTGAACACTAAGGTACCTAAGTAAGCGAGCCAAACAAGTTCATCAATCTAACCTATCAAGATATCTATAACGGAGCTGAGCTAGCCACAAAATATGCATTATGTAAGGTTTGTGTAACGCCAGCGATCAGCGGTGAAGAAGCAAGTGTTGAAGGCGGGATATGGAAATTAAGCTAAAGATCTAGAGGTATGGTTGAAATGGATGAGCAAAAAGTGGCAAAAAAAAGAGCTAATATACAAAAGACAGCCAGTGAACAAAAAGGTGCTCCGAGGCGAAAGAAATGTATACGAGCGCAGGTCAGTAGGGGCGGTCGCTGGGGTGGAGCCTATCACAATCACAGCGCCCGAAGCGCAAAAAAGCCCACCAGCATGGTGCTGTGTCACACTACATTGGCGGTCTAGGTCCGTTTGATCACTGGTCTTTATTGGTTCAAGGGAAATTGACCTTGTGATTGATGGGATCAAACAGTAGTATCCTTGAGCCTGATAAGCAAAAGCAAGGCCGAGGATAAGGCTACTATGCTAAGAACTGGAACGAGAATATTGTAAGTATAAGAGGTTGGGTATCTGGAGACTGAAGGCAGGCCATGAATTTACCGGGGCTAATTAAATAACTCTCACGGAAGCAAAAATTTACCACTCCACGTAGAGTGTTCGGCAGTGACCACGAAAATTTGACGTTGTCCAGTATATGCTTGATAGTCTGTCAAGTGATGTTAATATCTTTGAAAATGTCCACAGAGAATAGCGTCCTTTCTCATACCTTTGCTGTTTCCAAATCTGCTCCAATTTTTCTTCCAAGCAGTTTTTGGAACAAGAGACGCTGCAGAGGTTGTGTCAAAGCAACACCAATCATGTTCCCAATTTGCTGGAAAAGATAGTACGATGTGATGGATACGGTAATGTGTTGCTCAGAAACAGCAGAGCTCAGCGCAACAAATTGGGCTGAGCAGCTCATTGTAGCCCCGAACCCAGCAGTTGCTGTGTATATCAACTCCCACATAAATGGCTGGAAGATTGACCAACGAATGATAATTATTACGTGACTCATAATGGCGACACAGAGTCCGACTATGGAACACGCCTTATGACGCCCCTTGCTGTGAAGTAGGGAGAACTGTTAGACTTGGGCTGAAGGGGGATCAGGAAGCGATTCGTACCGTTTCACAATCATGCCAGTCAGGATTGCCCCAATAGTAGCTCCCACTGAGAGAGGTATAAGGCAGAGTCCGCTCTGCGCTGTTGTTAACTCGTGAGTTTGGACAAAATATGGACTGATAGTAGAAGCCAGCTTATAGGAGAGAGAGGTCAGCTTTCCTGATCAAGCCCATTCGAATGAGTTATGGTCAATAACTCACAACAAAGTTCGCCATCGAGGAGAAGAAGGTGGCACCCCATATCAGACCAACTTGAGTGGTCTTCACAAGATGGAACGGAATCACAGGGTTGCTAGTCCAGTTGACTTCAACGATGCCGAAGAGTGTGGCACAGACCAGAAAAGCAATCCCAAGACCTATAGGAATACCCATGCGAGCACCGCTCAGATCGTACTCCGATGAAAACTGAATAAGAAGAACAAAGGCGACGATAGTGCAACTCAAGGTGATGATTCCTCCCATGTCGAGCGACGGGCGATCTGTAGTCGGCTTCTTTGGCCATTTCTCTTCATCCCCGAGGCCCGTTTCTTGGGACGAGGCCCTGGAATCGGCAAGGAGCTTGAATGTAGTGACGATAGCACAAATAAATACCAACGGTATATGGAGGAAAAACGATCTATCTCAAGAAGCTTGCAATTAGCATTGACGCATTGAGCGTTCTATCAGCGCACGGGGCTTACATTCTCCATCCCAATACACTGGTAAGAAAGGCCCCCAAAGGGGCACCAACAAGTCCCCCAAGAACGATGCAGGCAGTAAGATAACTTCTCAGGACAGCCACCTCACGTAGATCCGCCATCTCTGTGGCGTGGAAATTTACCGTCAGAAAAGCAGGGCGTGGGGATCAATGTTAGAAGTCATACCGTTCAAAGCAACTGACGCAAGATCTACCATCCCGGCGCCACCAAGGCCCGCCAAGAGCCGCCCGAGAATTGCTACAGGCAAAGGATTTGCGGAGCCCCTATTCATGTGAGCAGCTGAGTGGTAAAGGGATTGCGGGTAGTAGTCATCGCTATCTTACATCACGGCGGCCCCAACTGCATATAACAAGTAGGCAAGCAGGAAGGCCTTTCGTTGGCCTACAATCTCATAGACCCTACCGTAGATTGGCAGTGCCATCGAATAACCAAGGTTGTACCCTGTGATGAGCCAAAATGCAGACGAAGCTTGCCCTAAACTTTCTGCGATCTGGTGGGCGGTAATAAGCACGAAGCTCTCATCGGTTGTTCCTAGAAATGCACCTAGAAAAGGAGGAACAAGCCATGTAATCAGCACCAGAATAACAAATGGCTCAGTATTTGTGAGTGAATACCAAAGTACAAGGTTGCCAAAAGCAATTTGCTTCTCTTCAAAGGTTTTTTGTGCTCATAATTGTCACATGCTGTGGATCCATCAGAGAGAGACTCGGGCTGATTTCGGTCCATGGTGATGATGGACAATGAAACGGGAGTTTCTGATAGAAAGGTTGGAAAAATAGATGACTGGAAGTGCAAGACCGATCGGTTTTTGAGAACGCAACGATACCTCATCATCTGCGAGACGTTGGAATGCAAGGTATTGTGTGACCTTCTAGATGACGCAAGACTACGTAGAGAAACCAATTATCGCGTATAAATTGCATAGAAGTAAGCATTCTGATCAGCCCTGGAGCCTTCTTTTCCGGTTCCGGACTGGGAGGAATTGTTAGATCGGCTTCTCGGTATGGAGTGGGCCACCTGAATTCCAGAAGGAAGATCACCACTCCTTGCTTATGAGACCCGCGTAAGAAGTATCTGTAACAAGAACTGATACGTCCGATGAAGCTCCAGCCACCGCATTCAATAATTTGTTCATTGCTGTTATCAAAACTGTCCACGTGGTGACCAGAGGAGAGAATGTTTGCGTTACGTGGAGTGCAAACTAGGGGGAATCGCGACCGGCTTGCTGGGTATCTCTGCATTGATAAATCAAGGTCGCTTTCGTGGAGATGGGTGTGTTGAATGGTGGGTGTGTGGGTGTGATAGTCTTTAATTTCCCTTACCTTGCACTGAATAGGACTCCTCGCTAGGTATCATATCAGCGGCTTCGTTTCAGTTCGAGATGAGGATCAACTCCATGAAATGAGATGCTCATAGAGCTACCCTCCTGGGATCGTCAATCGCACTGCACAAACAGAATTCGACGAACTTGAAGCCCCCCTTCCTCCAAAAAAAAAAAAGAAAAAGAAAAAAAGAAAAAGGGGATCGAAGAGATAAGTAAACAAATGAAAAGGAAAGGAAATCAGAAATTGCGATCAAACCGCCGAAAACCCCCTCCATGGAGCCTATCACAGTGTATTTGTTTTTATATACATGCTGGCAAGGAGCAAACCCCCTATGGTTGTTGACAATAACATAAACAAAGGCGCCGGATAGAGTCCTATCGTCATGCTGTACGTAGCATTCAGGAGCGCAGGAATCACAACTCGAGCAATTGAATGAAGAAAACTCAAAGCTCCTAGTAATTGCCCTGATTTAAAGTGAGGCGTTTGCGCTGTGAGACATGATGTTAACAGAGGCGTAATGGATGTAGTAGATGCAAGGATCAAGGAGGATACGATGTAATGGCTAGGCGCTTGTGAGAAGGCGATGCCCATATAGCCTACCATCTGTAGTACAAAGTTCACCTGGATCAAACCCACCTCCCCAGAATTGGAGGCAGTCGACTGACTCGGCATATCCACCCTCCTCTTCCATCGACGTACCTGAGCCAGTACCGGAGGAAATACCAACGTCAAAACCAGAACACTGCATGAACAGGTGATGGAGAAAAAGAAGCTTTGCGTGGTCGGTGCCCATCCGAATAAGAATGCCGGGTATGCCAATTGTAGCGTGGGCAGGCCTATTATATTCCCAAATACAATCATGTCCATCACGGCCAGAATGATCATATTCTTCTGTCGGAACACTCGGGATTCCCAAATGGACCTGATCGACATCAGACACCCGCGGAGGTTCCTCTCGTCGGGGGGTGATTCTAAGATGTCTCCGTCTCGGTCGCGACGACTAATTGAGTCTGGGCTGCGCGATTCGGGCAAGACAAAAAGAATCAACAGCAAGAGGGATATGTGAGCACCCACAGCAAGCTGGTAGATCAGCTGCATGCCATTAGGCGTCGTCAGCAGTAAGCCGGCAACGACAGGCCCTCCCGCGCCCGCGAATGAAAACGCTGCCTGCAAATAACTGAACCAGCGCGCCCGGGCGCTGTGGCGTGTGAGGTCGGTGATGTATGTCTGCGAGGTCGCTGTTGCGGTAATCATGGTCCCGCTGAGGCCTTCCATTGCATATCCCACGAGCAGCCAGTGGATATCTATCCAATCTGGATAGCGGAGGACTAATACCATGAGTGTCTCATATAGCAGCGGTCCCACTACGGTACAGGCGAGGATCGGCTTGCGACCGACGCGATCTGACAGCGAGCTCAGCATTGGGGTTGAAAAGGCACCCAGGAGACCGGCTGTCGCTTGGCCATAGATGAGAAAGCGAGACAGATCGGATTGCGCTTGTTTGTTGGCGAAACATTGCTTGAGTTCCTCGGTAGGTTCGCGGGCGGGTCGGCCGAGTGGGTATCGCTGGTGACAGATCAAGGAGAGAGTCGCATTAAACTCTGGGATGGCCAAGACTCCGAAAATGAACATGTAATTGGTGTAAAAACACACGACCCAGGATGGCTATGAATCGGTCAGAAATCCTCTTTTTTTTTTTCAGAAACCTTGGGGTGTGTAGCACACCGAAGGTTGTCGAAAGTGCGGCGACTTGGGAAGAGTTTGGCTCTTCTGGCGTCCACTCTGCTCGATTAAAAGTGGCAAGTTCTCATGCTCGCCATCTGATAGACATTGATTCATCGTTTGGTGATAAATGTGTGATAATGGATGACAAATGGGTGATAAATGTGCGAGAATAAGTGAAAATGAATGAAAATGAGTGAAAATGAGTGAAAAAAAGATATAAACACAGAGAAATGGGAGGAGGTAAGATTTGGACGGGGGAAGAGGAAAAAGAGGTGAGCGTGTGAGCAAGGGCCGTGGGGAATGCTAACTGTACAATCTATTTGCGTACGAGTAGCCAAGACACTATGTGTATCAGACTGTTTACCGCTGGGGGCGGCAAAAGAACAATTCGAAAAAGAAAACGAGGGGGAAAATGCAAATGAAATGACATCAAGATCAGCGCTACACCGCACGAGACATGCCTATCTCTCTCCACTCTCTTCGGGGATCGGGCCGCCTCGAACTAATGGCTTGCTTGGACCCCTGCTACTATTTTTGGCGACTTTCGGGAAATGGCTCCTACGGCGGCTATTGCAAACTGTTCGATCATAAGACAGCCTCAGGTTGGAGAAAATGCTACGTAGGTGTAAGTCAATAGTTTCAACGAAAAACATGGTGGCACCCTAGGGAAGGCCATGCTTGCGTTACAGTTAGGATAAAATTGATCAGGACTGGGGGGAATATTGGGGTTTTCTAGCCTCTGTAGAAGTAGGTCAATGATGATCTAAATGTACGAAGCAGATTGTCCATAGCGCACCCAATACTATCCTAACAGCCATTCCGCATTCAAAATTCTAGATAGTCTCAGTTACAATGTGTCATGAGGACAAGACAGTGTTTTATCACTTGACATCCATGCCGACTTTTTCTTTTTCTGTAGATTAAGGCCACGCGAACAGGATATTTAGTGAGCCCGAAAAGTGTTCTGAAATTTGTGAATGATCAATGCATCGTTACGCAGACTATAGCCTATGCAACACATTCAGCGGCCTGAGCTTTCGCATTGTCCAATTTCTTCCCCTCTTCCTGCTTTTTCAGGGCTTCAGTCAGGGCTTCAGGATACCATCGTTTGCCCACCTCCGGATGGCTCGTCAGCGCGTTGATCATGAAGGCCTCCCCAATGACAGTTTTGAAGAGATCCCCGAAGAATGACTCAGCATCAGACCGGACACTTTCATCACGCAAGCTTGTGATGTGATCTGGAATGTCTAATCGGATATCTTCCTGTGTCACATCAAAGCCAAACATCTGGAAAAAGGGGAAGCTAAGCCGTGTACCAAGCTGCCCACGGCCCGACTGTCGTCCTGAATATTGTTCGCTCGTTAGGTTGACTCGATGCGTAGTTGCAACACACACGCCTTGAGTCAGAGCCTCCAACGAGCGACCGATATTTACCACTAATGTGCCTGGTACTGGGGGGCTGCGATCCATTCGCCCGATTTGTTCTGTACTTCAAGGCTGGAATGCTCCGTTCCTTGTAGTAGGTAAGTCAAGAACGAGCCATCCTTATGAGGCCCAACCCCTTGAAACTCAGTTTTGGTGCCTTGTGAAGCGTCTGGTGCAGGGTATGCCGCGATTTTCATACCGCTCATACATGGCTTCTTAAAGAATTTGGCGAATACCGAGGGGTCCGTATCTAGCGCTTCAGCAACCAGGCCTGTGAACCTCTCCGAAAGATGTTCGATTTCTGCCAAGTATGCTTCCACGGACTTGCGAAAGCCAACCGCTGAGGTTTCTGCTGGCCACTATGAACAAAGTTAGCTTAGCCTTTCAGAAGATATGGCTCTTGGAAATACCTGATTAGGCCCCACGAGATTATACCAAACAGGGAGCTCGGAACTGTCCAGAATTTCGTGCAATCCAGCCTATTAGATGTGTGTCCACGTTAGCAATCATTTCATTTCAACCACGTCAGGGGGAATGTAAAATACCCAGAAGGTTTCTCTTTCGTCAGCCTTCGCAGCCGTTCGTTCATTTCCCAAACCAGTATATCCACGAAATGATTTGGTATTGGCCATGTTCACTTCTGCCTTTATATCGGAAGGCAGGCTGAAAAAATCACCCGATGTTCGTAATAGATCTTGTTGCACTTGGACCGGAACAGAATGATTTTTCAAGTAGAAAAATCCGACCTTGACAAGTGCATGTCTAAGTTCAGACAAAAATTGGGGTTTTGTGGCGGGCGAAAGGGCATCTTGAAAGTCAATAATGGGAAGAGATGAAAAATTCTCCGACATTGTAAAAAGGATTCGCGTTTATTCTAGTCAGATTTAGATAGTATAAGAGTAAAAGTTTCAAGCACCAACAATGGCATTTATTTAACTGTATAATAAGAGGTTGGCACGAGCTATATGACGTGGGAAATCTATTAGCCCATGTATGTTTAATGTTGAATGAACATCTTATTGGTTTATGCGTGCAACCCCGCCTAACCTGGCCACGGCTGAGCTATTCCAAAGTTGAGGGGAAAGCGAATCGGACCAAAACTTGTAAGCCTTTCAAGTGGCACCACCTTCAAGGTACAATCGACGCGAGATGTTTTAGATTACATGATTACATGTACGGGAAGTTTCGGTGGTCGGTCAATTTAGTGCGTAACTCAGAATTTGTCAACCAATAAAAATAAAAAATAAAAATTAGTTACTAGTAAATACTAGTCGCGTATTTCCCTTGTTCTGAGATAGAAAGTTTAAAGTCTTGCATAAGTATCCATTATTCTGCAAATATGTAGTCTTGCTCATAGCGCAAAACGGCGGTAATACAGCCGTATTTGTTAAGTCTATTACCCGGGTATTGGAATTTCAGAGTCATTACATACACATACCGGGCTGAGGTCCGAGTGTTTTTGTGGTTGAAGGTTAAGTCGTATACTTCACGCCCAAGTGCTGCTGCATTTGCCGCTGTATACGCAACGTTGACGTGTACTGAACATATTCACATGATTGGCCATTGTAAGACATATATATCCCGAAGTATCCGGCGTTATGCATTACTAGGAGCTCGTGTCTGCCCAGCATGTACTCAATGCTCGCCAGCTGGCTCGGAGTGTGTATGTGGATCTTGACATATTAGTGCAATTATTCCCAGATGAATGCAGCTATGGAGCAAGACATGCACAGTGCTGTCCAGCCCATGCTCGTTCATCACTCCGAGCTGTACGCTACGTGGAGTCCTTTCATGCCTCGGCCGTCCCTACGTCTGCGAAAATGATTTTCCAAAGCTTTTCCCAACTGAATCGTGACTCAAATGCAAATTCTACCAGAGATCAAAGCCCCGGGGAATACAGCGCATTGCTACCCGCTCAGCCCGTGTCTATTCGCATGCCAATATGTAGGCTGTACTGCTCTTTAATATTCCTCATACCACAATGGCCCGTTAGCTGCACCAACGGAGAGTTTCCATGCTACCTCATAGGGAAATTGAACCAGGCAGCAACGGGATCAGCAGCCACCAAGGCCGCAAACAGAACGCACGCCGAGGTGGCCTCGAGAGAGAAGAGAGGGAAGTGGAGATGTGGAGCTTTTGGAAATGGACACCACTACTCACACATATCCATCTGGTTATGCGATTTCTGAGCTGCCTAGGTGTGAGGTTTAGGACCTAAAAGATTTCCGGAGCAAATATCTTGTACATGCCTAGGTGCGCATATTGGTCCCGAAGTCTCAACATTTCCTTGCCTTAGTCATACCAATCTGCACATCTCCAAATATCTCGGCAGATTTGCTGAGGCTTTGGTTGTTTTCAACCTTGGAATGAATACTAATAGGCGGACAGCGAGCACTTGAAAACCCCGGATGAAAAGTAAATTTAGACGACAGTGAGAAGCATGGAATTTTTAAATGATCTATATTCATTGCCTGCGCTATACTTCAAAAAAAGCCCCCAAAATGAAAAGGAATGAGAAAGCTTGGTCGTAAAACAGTAAGACAGCAGTAAAAGAAGAACGAAAAGGAAACATATGATCTGGCCACAAGAGGTCAAACCCCATGGACCTAGCATCCATCTCCTCAATTAGTGTAGCATTTTGAAGGCTGTTGCCATTGCAATCATGGCCGCTGTTTAGTGACTCGAGATTCAAACCACCTACCAGTATGGCGGGCCATCTGATCAATGTGTCGCTCAAATAAGTCTGCTAGAATAATCATAATGGTGAAGCAGGTAAGAAGCGAGCCGATCCAAGTGAATATGAATGCGCCTTTGTGTAAGCAGGCTGCCTCCGATCGAGGATACCACTCGCCTCTGGCAATGGACCAGAACAAGTTTTGCATTGGCCACTTCAAGGAAAAATAAACCGCAAAGTGAATGACATATAGTGGATAAGAGATCCGGCCCAAGAACTGCAATGGTCGCGAGTTGAGCGGGTATTGTAGCCATCTTGTATTGGCAATAGTGATAATCAAAAAGGTTGCTCCGAGCCCGGTCCAGCACCTGTTGAAAATCTCATTCACGGTCCACCATGGGGAGGTTGAGATGGCAAGCAGAAAATGGTATTCGGCGCCAAGGGGCCCATCGTCCGGAATAGACAGCAGAAATAATGCCACGAGTAAGGATAGATTTGTCCACAGGTAGTGGAAAGAAGTCGATGACTTGATTGTGTTCCAGTTCCAGTTGATACGCTTCCAGAAAGAGTGGTCGGAGGCAAGGTCAGAGTCAGAAGACAGGTGGATCTCGCCCTTTGCTTCTTCCGTTTCTCCATAGAGATGTTCTGCAACGCACAGGCCTGAAGTAAATGCGAATATATCCCACTGCCCAAGGAAAAACCACCAAAAAGTGACTAGTATGAACAAGAGGCGACGGGGAAGGGGCCTCCAAAATCCAGTGACAAGGAGTAAAAAGTAAACCACCAACGAGCCACGGAATTCAACTGGAATTGACCAAAATTGCGGATTGAGCACACTTTCCAAATCGTCTCGCTCCATTGTGTTGGCGATGTCAAGATCGTATCGAACAAAAGTCAGCAGATGAAGCAACTGCCACAGCGAGAATTTGATGTGCGCCCAGGGTGCTGTCAGCGGCTGCAGATTCCATGCTCGTTTCATCATTTGAAGCGCTTGTGGGTAGGTTACAAAGTCGCAAAAGAATAAGAGATTTGATACAAGTGAGACGCAGAATACTGGCAGATAGAGACGGAAAACCCGACGAGTAGCCTGCGAGCATAAAACCTTGACCCAAGATCCGTCCTTGTCGACGGGGAGATTCCGGGATTCCATGACGGGTATTGAAATTGCAACTCCGTACAATACCATGAAGCAGGTGACCCATGAGCTTGAGGCAAAGATGAGTCGAAGTGGTGGAAGTTCAATAAAGTGGCGATTTTCTTCACGAGGCTCGGCCCAGTACGAGCGAAACAAAATTCCAAACACACTTTTGGGTTCCATGAAGAAAGCATGTCGAAGAACAGAATTGGCAGCAGCTAGACCTCGCAGGCCGTCTAACCAAGTGGTTCTCGTCATGATCAAGTGCCTTGTGGTTGGTCATGGACAAGTATCGACCGGAAAGAGCGTGGGGGAGGAGGAAAGGCCTGAGACGAGGCGAAGCTGCGATATGCTATTGCTATCTGGCGCTCACTGGCAACGACAAAGATACCTAATATTCCGGGGATATGGTGTGTTGCCTGCCAACAGAGGGAAGGGACAATTCGGTCTGGGGGGTATTAGACTGAAGGCGCACCTGTGACTTGACAAGATTGGGAGAAATCTGTTAGGAAGGGGTAAATTAGAAAGTTCAGCTTATTACAAATATGCATCGGCCTAGGTGGCTGGCTGGTTGCTGATCGGTGACGTTTTAGGCTAGGTAATGTGCATACAAATTGCATTAGTCCACTTGATTAGTTCCGTTACAGTGCATGTACGGAGTAGATAGATAGCTGGGCGTTGGCGGCCGCGAGTTGACCGCCCACCGTCCTACATGGCTCTCTCAGCAGGCCTTTCCTCTCTTCCTCCATGCGCCTCTGAACTCGTCGAGCTCTTCCCCCTTTAGGGTCTGAGTAGATCTCGCCATTCGCTTTTTGGGTACCCGTGAACCCGCCGAGAGCCCATTAGCCTGTACATTACATAATTATAAGTGTAATAACGTATTTCATATGCGAGCCGCCCACCCAAGCGAGCCGCCCACCCCAAAACACCATAGTAAATGCGATATATTCTACACTTATATCTCAACAGCCACGTCTTAATTATATTTCATTGCTTACCGATAGCTATTGATAAGATGTATTAGCACTATGCTTCAATTTCAAGGAAATAAAAAAGCCATATTATCCTCATTTCAAAAATTACCGAAAATTACACTGCTATGAGCTATAAATATATATCTCTCAATCACAAAGTCATAAAAGTTTTCCAATCTCCATAAAGAGGCTAGATATCACCTGAAAAACATTCTGTTAAGAAGAAAAATACTCATAGGCCATGGTTGTTGAGATGTAAAGCTGTAATTTATCGCATTTACTATGGTGTTTTGGGGTGGGCGGCTCGCTTGGGTGGGCGGCTCGCATGTGAAATACGTTAACTTATAACTTGATTGCCACCCGAGCTGCGCACCCCAAAACAGATAGTAAATGCGATAAATTACTACTTCATATCTCAACAGCCATAGGCTATTTTTACTTAGACATTAGGATATAGGCTTTTCTTAGCATTTGAAATAACATACCTTAGTTTTAAGCAATTTAGATGATTATTTCGATGCTTTACAATAAAATACGGCATAATTTTGACATGGGGAACATAAATATATATATCTCCATCAATGCTTCTAGTAATTTTTCTATACTTCCCCAGTAGGTTATAAATACTATCTATATTATATACTTTTGGTATCTTATCATAAATAGATAAGATTGTTGAGATATAAAGTGGTAATTTATCGCATTTACTATCTGTTTTGGGGTGCGCAGCTCGACCGGATGCGCAGCTCGGGCGGGAATCACGTTAGAGAGTACCCTAAAAAATACGTAATTTAGTATATTTCACCTGTCAAGGGTCGACGCCGAACCGCGATCTTGGCGAGGTCTAGCTAGGTTTGATAATGAGTCTTTATTGTACTCCTGCTCTCACCGTAGTGAAAAATAAGCTATCCTGATTTTCATCTTTCGTTTGCTTTCTATCATTGGTCTGCTATTTAGGAAGTGTCCAAGGGGGAGTGAAACTGTCCAGGAGCAGCCTTCCAAAGGTAGCCCAAAAGACCACGATACTCAAGCCTCCGCTCGATTATCTTGGTACCGGCTTATATACCAGAGCCCGCTTTCTGCGTTTCATGACAGCTCGCCATCATGGACGAAAGTGATCCACTCTACGCAATAAGATCCATGTGGTTTCTTTACATACATTAACTCCCAGTAGCACTACATTTCCATGGATTTCATTTAGCTCATTCAAATTTATTGTGGTTATTCTGCTCCCCTTACTCCGCACTTCCATTGACAACTTCGCGATAGTAAGTCTTCAGGCTTTTCCCCTTTGGAAAGTCAGGGAAGAGCTGGGTGAAATCCAGGTACCCAAGGTACTCTCCGTACTCTGGCGTATTATATCCTCGGACACACCAGGATATTCGAAACTGTGCCATATTGAAATTCACAGTGTCTTGTATCCTGCTCGGATGATACGCTGTCTCGGGATTATTCTCAACTTTTTTGGGATAATCTTGGATAATCGCTTCAAGCTCCTCGACCATGACCTGCTCGCGTCTAATTTAGCATGTTTGTAGAGAAAGTAGGTCTCCCGGGCTTGTCTACTTACATGGTCCTTTACGGGCTCTTCTCCGCTTACAATAGTCATAGTGTCCCATATCTCGTTCATACTCAGGACTTCGGTATACGCAAAGACATGCTTATTGATGGTTCGGGGGTCGGTGATGATTTGAGCCACATACTTACCAATATCAGTCCGATCAATCAAAGCGAACTTTTGGTTTCCATCACCGACAATTCGGTGGTCGACAAGGCTCCAATGGGCGTGATCTGACCTGCCAGACGGGATCTTAGGAACAAAGACTTCAAACCAGCAACCCACGTCGATGACGGTATATGACAGATGAGCGCGTTGAATAGCAGCCAGAATATCAAGCTTCTATACAAACTAATTAGCCATTGAACTTGACCGTAAGCAAGGTGCTCCATGGCAACCGCACCGTATCTTGGACATCACTGATGCCTGGTGGCGTAGGCGCGACCCACTCCGAGGGTACAAACCGCTTGACACCCGCTGATTTTGCGGGTTCAACCCAGTGTTTTTGGAGATGTAAATTCTCCCAATTCATACAAGAAATGAGGATATCAATTCCTCGCAGCTTATTCACGAGGGTTTCTTGTGGCTGAGCCAAGTCATAGCCGGTGATAGCAAGGCCATCCTTTCGTAAGTTTTGATTGATGGGGCTGTCGATCGAGGTTTGACGGGTGAAGGATGTAATACTCTTTAAAAATTCTCAGTAAGATCAAACGAAAAGAGTGGCTGGGTGGGTTCGTACAAAATTGATTTCTGAAGAAAGTAGCCCTTTAACGACGGACTGACCAACGCTTCCAGTGGCACCAATGACACCAACTGTAATAGGGGAGCTCATAGAGGAAAACATTCTCTGTAAAGATTTGCAATATGCAAGCACTATCATGTATTTGAATGAACGGCCCGGGGGTCCATCAGATACCTATACTCTAGTCCCAAGGAGCAGTTATGGTGCGGTGAGGGTGAGGGGAAGGTCAGAATATAGAATTGCTGACGGAAAATACTCCGTAGAGCTAGCTGAATTGAAACTAGATGACAAATGTGCAGGTATGTAAAAATCGAACCAGAAAGCAATAATATTAAGCTATTTGAATCGTCCTGTAGTGCTAGAGTAATAATGTTGTTGATGGTCCATTCCCCTGCGAGTCTCGAAATTAGCGGTGTGAAAAAATACTTATCTGTCTCCGACTGATCTAGACAAAACGCAGGGATCGTTGCACGGAATCTGACGCTGAGCAGCCAAGCAGCTTGAGTGGGGACCTAAATTTTGGCGCTTGCCGATCTCCTTTTTGAAAATTGAAAATTGGTAAGTCAACATACTTCCTGCAGACGACATGATCGGCTCCACCAATCAGATTCTTAGTATTTGCTAGTGCCACGTATACCTGAAATAATTCTTTGTGCCAGTTTTTGATTCGGATAGAAAAGTATTATGGGGTATGTGCCCGATTCGAGGATATATCAATATGACCATTTAGATGCCCAAAATATTCAGATGTAGCACACGCCGTGTATCTAAATGCTAGTACTCCGCAGATGGTAAACACATTTACGGCTGAAGTATTTGAGGGTCCAGGTGTTTCCTTTTCCAAAGCTTTCCATCACCCCTCAGTCGCTAGGCATTGCATGCATGTGTTGCGGGGCTTACGTTACGTGTATTTTTGTTCTGCTTCTGTCATCATGCTTTCAAGTACTTACGTCAAATTGAGCCAACATTCCCCCTCAGTTTAGATATAAATAGGTATCTTTCTTTGTTTCATATGGAGGTCTCAGCCCTTAAGAGATCCAACTCAGACTACCTTCAAAGCCGAGCCCCTCAAAAGTTAAATTCGAGATTTTGAATTGACATTCAGCTTCGATGTCCGTCCTCACTGGAGTCCTCGACTACTCAGGTGACGCGCTGGTTCGCCCATACGTAGCGTTCTTCGCGCTGTCTATCTTGCCCGTAAGTAATTCTTCGCTGAAATATGAGCAGAGAATAATCTTGAACATTGATTTTCTGTTTCGATCTAGATTACCCTCTACTTCATCGGCGTAATCATTTACAATGTCTACTTCCATCCATTGGCCAAATACCCTGGGCCCAAGGTTATGGCTGCAACACGTCTCCCTTATTTACGCATGGTAGCTTCTGGCAACGCACCCAAAGTCACCACAGCCCTACATCGGAGATATGGCTCCGTTTTCCGTATTGCGCCAGACGAGCTCTCGTTTTTAACCGAAGGCGAAGCCTGGAAGCGAATCTATGCAACTAGGCCGGGTCATGGCCAAAAGCAGAAAGATCATAGATTTTACCAGGGATCTGTCGACGGATACCCCAGTATTCTTCTCTCTGGAGATGCCGATCATGCATTTGTTCGACGCTCGCTCTCACATGCGTTCTCCGATAGTTCACTACGGGGCCAGGAACCTGTCATTCAGGGCTACGTCAATCTTCTCATTCACCGTTTACGACAAAGATCACAAAAAGGGGCTGAGCCCATCGATATCGTCTCATGGTATAACTTTGCCACATTTGATATCATTGGCGATCTTTCATTTGGTGAACCATTTGGTTGTCTCCAAAACTCAAACTATCATCCATGGGTAAGCATGGTCTTCGAAAATGTTAAAGCTGGCACAATTTGTCGTGTGATTAGCCGTTTACCAGGAGGAAACTTTCTTCTTGGTTTATTAGCACCAAGAAGCCTAATTGATGCTAAAGACAACCATGAGAAATTAACGGTAGAGAAAGTCGATGCGAGAATAGAGAAGTCTAATGATCGTCCCGACTTCTTCGCCAATATTCTCAAACATCAAAACACCGAGAAAGAGTTTCCCCGTGGAAAACTTTATTCAAATGCCAGCTTTATCATCGTTGCTGGCTCCGAAACGGTCGCAACAATACTGTCTGGAGCAACATATCTTTTGTTGAAAAATCCGAATGCACTTGCCAAACTGCAACGTGAGGTTCGAACGGCATTCAACTCAGATGAAGAGATTAATATGGACACCTGCAGTCAACTCCGATATACACAGGCTGTTATAAACGAGTCGCTGAGGGTTTTCCCACCGGTCCCGATTGGCCTCCCGCGATTTGTTGATGCTCAAGGAGAAACAATTGATGGACACTGGGTACCCGGAGGGGTATGTCGAGATCTCACCTCAGCGCCAATCTGCTTCATCTCTAACAAGAATCAAGACAGTTGTATCCGTCGCCCCTATAGCCACTTTTCATTCCGAGTCGAACTTCAAACATGCGGATCAGTTCATCCCTGAGCGTCATCTCGGCGATCCTTCCTTTGCATCTGATAATAAAGATGCACTGCAGCCTTTCAGCGTTGGTCCGAGAAACTGTATTGGTCGAAAGTAAGTTCACTTTGAACTCCACCGGAGATTCTTTGTCCTGACATGTCATCATCTAGCCTCGCCTATGTTGAAATGCGCTTGATTCTCACCAGGATCATTTTCAATTTTAACTTGGAGCTGGCGGAGCCAGACATCGATTGGCAAGATCAAAAGTGCTATACTCTTTGGACGAAGAGCCCCTTAATGATCAAGCTCACGCAGAGGAATATGGATCAGCCAGCAGCTTAACATAAGCCGTTCCTTACATCATGGTACTTGGACGCCATGAATCCTGCTTTGCCAAGTTAAACGAGTGCCAACTTTTGGAAATATTTTCATAAGAATCACGCCTGAGAGCCCTGTGCTGAATGTATCCTGGCACTTTGGTCAATTTGGGTTTAATTGGAAATATCTAGTCCTGAGGTCCATTAATGTCGTCGTTATGCGCTTTAGAAGTGGCCGTGATAGAGCTGGTTGATCGTCTGATCCAGTCCAAGTCACTGTCAGTTTCTCTATATAAACTAGCTTGAACCAAAATTGCAAGGTTTTGAGATCACCGGATCAGGTGATCAATCTCATTGTTCTCCAGGAGGATTGAGCCCTTCTCTTTGTTTGTCGTCTGTCTTTCTTTCTTTTCCCCATCACCGATTAGTCAGTAGCCGATGCAGATCTATTGACTCCATGTCCTTCCTGGGTTCCTGACAGGTTGTTTACTTAGCAGTGAATTCACCCCATGAAGCATGTCCCAATGAAGGAACAGAAGTTGATTTGCAAAGAAGTTGTTTTCGGACGTTTCAACAAGCCCTAAGGTCCTTCCTCCCCAGTCCTTGCAATAACCATGATCTAGATCCGTGCCTAGACCATGATGAGGGTCGGAATTGATCAATACCCAGATTCTCAACGAACTTCTTGAAATTGACGGCTCCAATAGGCTTCGTACACCCATCGGCCAATTGTTCCGACGTCTTGACGTATGCAAAACGTCCGTTTCCGCATAGAACTTCATCACATATGAAGTGGAAACGCATTTCAATGGCTTGACCTCGCACCGTATTCCGGATTCTTCACTAGGGTCATCGCCCTTATGTTGTCTCCGAAGATCTCCGCCAGCTTTTGACCCAAATCGCCCATTTGCAGTTCCATCAGCAGTAGGGAAAGCCATTAAGATTCATGTCAAAATACGACGATTCTCGGAGGCAATGAAAACTTCATAGAGAGCCTCTAAAGTCTCAGCATCGGTTTTGGTCGTACTGAGGGTGTATGCGTTCCACCAAGCATTGACGGAAGCATAGGAGCTCCCTGCATCGATGGACATGTAGCTGCATTGGGCAAGTGGCGGATGTTGATCCTCGGTGAACACCGCACGGTAATCCCCCAAATTCTGCCGCGATTTGTTGGCGAAATCAAATGGCTTGGTCTCTTTGTGGATATAGAACATCCATGCACGGAGTCTGTCGCATTTGACTTGATGAGTAGTTGATTCGCTGACCTTTTTCAAGGCTGGAAACACCTCAAAAGCTGACATGCCATCACGGACCTACACCGTCATATTGAAGATACTGTGTTTCAAATCCATGAGATGCATTGATGGTTTCCACGATCCTACTGCTTTTGTTCCATGAGGTGACGATTTTTCACCATAGCCACCGTGATCCGTGGTGGAGCGGTAGCGGTAGTAGCCTGAACACTTGCCTGCGAGTTAGTAGTAGAACTCCTTGTGAATTGATCGGAAGCATCTTTCCTGAATTGATTTGCTGCCGCCTCCGCAGTAGCAGCATCCTGTTCGGTCTGATCTTCAACCCGTTTGACCTCTGCCTGGGTGTTAGTGATGTCAGGGGCACGCTCCAAATCCCCCGTAATTAATTTCCAGCGTTCCTCAGAGTGTCCCAGAATGTAAAACTTCAAATCCTGCACCCATCAATGCCAGTTGCTGGGCCCTTTGAGATTTGAGACGTCATCGGTGAGCTTTACCCCGTCGTCGTACATGAGTGACTACATGGTGTCTCGGTTCATAGGATATTCGGGATCGGGAGGAATCGACGGAATGCGGGGTAGAAAAGTGGGACTGAGCAGTGAAAACTGGGTTTTGAACGCTAGCAGTGAGCTAGTCTTTGGGCAACTTAGGCGCAATTGGAATGCTCAAGCAGATGAACGGGGGACGCAGGAATAGCGTACGAAAAAGAAGACACCAAAAAAGGCCTGGGGATGTCTTGTAACCACGGTGACGATATTTCAAAGTGGTCCAATAAAGACGAGACTAGGATTCGCAGAATTGCAGACGTGAGGGCTTCACAATGATGTAAAGCAATTGATGGTGCTGGTTGAACCGAGCCAGCGAAGTTGGTAGAAAATGTGCTCTTGGAGCGCGCCGGGAGGATTGAGGAAGGACAGGAAATTTCCACCTGACAAAAAGCCAGGGCTCATAACCTCTTTTGGGCTGATTTCAAAGCCCATCCAAAAAAGAGAGCAAACAATCAAGAGAAGTGGTTTTTGGGGGGGGAGCTAGCTGGACTGTGGGAGATATATGGGAAGCCATGCAAACCCATCAAACGAAAGGCAATATCGAAAACAGCGAATAAAAGGATAAAGGTCTATTGAACTCCCACTCCGTGTTGACCGTGGTTGACCGCCGTACTAACAGGACTGCTGTGTAGATAGATAGGTAGATGCTCTCTCCCTCTCTCTCTTCCTCTCAGTCTCTCTCTTTCGCTTGCATCGATACATACAGTATCTCTGCTTGTTTTTGTCGATAGGTTCTGAGCCCTTCGCGAGAAGGCCATTATCCTTGAAGACTTCCTTTGTTTACACTGGACGAGTGTGCCCCACTTTTCCAGTTTGAGCCGCATTCCCAGGATTTTTGGAGACCATCCCGACAAATCAAGATGGCGCCCACCACGGATGACGAATTCTACCGTGATGACGTACTTCTACAATCTCAGCGCGACCGCAATACGCAGTAACAGCAGCAGCAACCACACGGTACGCAACGACAAACGCGCGCCCTCCACCTTCCCTCCTCCACCGCCACCCCGAAGCCGAGCCGGGACATACCTCAATATGGAAGCGATGAAGAGGAGGATGATGAGACAACGTCTACTCACCAGGGTGAGGGCTTGCCTCAGGACACAGAGGCCCATACACTGAGACTTCAATCCATTCAATTTTTGAAACTATCTGGGCACCTACAGGCGTGGAAACATAGGGTGATGAACACTTTGAGGGTGCTTGGGATCTCACAGGTTGCGGACTTAAGAGTCTGCCCCGCCCCGCACTTAGTGACCCTAAGCGTGCACGTTGGAAGGCATGGTCAGCCTTTGCTGGAGCTTGGATGACCACGATGATTGATAACGAGGTGACGGATGCGATCCAGCTGAACCTTGTTGATGGCAAATGGCCGCGTTTTGCGGATAGTCTTCTCTGCCGAGTTGAGAAGGTTATCGGTGGTGGAAACACGTTCTGGAATATTGGCCGACAGATCAAGAAGCTGTGGAATATGGATCGAAAGGACTTTGCCTCCTGCTCACTGTTTATTACTGCGTTTAAGAAGCAAATCACTGTCGTCGGCCAAGTCAAACAGGAACCTACACCGATTACCTGTATTGTTATGCTTGTTGACCGACTTGGTCCTGAGCTCTCACGGGTGCCACTTCTGGAGCAGGAGATCAAGAGAAGGGACCCAGCGGGAGAAGGGACCCAGCAAGTCTCACAATACATGATATCAACGCTTTGTGCGACGAACTTGCTATTTCTGACGAGGATTCTACCAAGGCAGCTACTGCTTCAGCTATCGCAAATCGGCACGATAGTTTGCCCATTATCCGACAACAGCTGAGTTGTGCGCGTTAGATCAACCTGCCAGGGATGCGCGGTGGTTTATGAAAATCGACAAGACATTGCTTTTGCCTGACAGGCCGATCACGAATTTCACTGACAGCGTGAACACTCAGCTTTTGATGACCGGAAAGCCCAAGATTTCCACTCGGTGGCTGGATATGAGATGGTTCTTCGTCCGCGACAGCATCCATCTACGGAAGATCGAATTGCAGCGAGTGGATACGGCTACTAACACCGCAAATGGATTGACAAAGGCACTGGACAGGCACAAATTTGACACATTCGTGAAGATTCTGGAGATGGAAAACGTTAGGGGGGTCGCTGAGGTCTGAAAGGCATGAAAACGAGGTCTTTCAAATCGGACCCTGGTTTCCTCTTTGGGACTAGCTGACATTGGGGGTTGGATGGAGGAGATGTACAGGTGCAGTCCTGTAAGGGGGTTGTCGACGGTGGTTGATGGCCATGTGTTCGGTAACCTTACCTTACGCAAGGCAACCGACGGTCGACTGGTCATATAAGTTATGTATATGTATGCTACAATATATTCAAGCCATTAAGCCATTAAGCCATACAGCCATACAGCCATGTGTTCCATGTCGCGTGGCATCCAGCCCCACTGAATCTCGACCGTATACTCGTCCAGGCAAGTCCTGGGAAAGGGGGTGAGACAGTCGCGTGGCATGGGCCCAGTGCCCCGGAAGCAACGATCAGCGATCACGGCTGACTCCGTTGCCTACCCGGATCTATGACCTAGAGGGGATAGCTCGATCACCACTTACTGTAAGAAGCTCGGTCCATGACTCTTGATTTGAAAAGCAGATACGTACTTACATGTAGATGCAATAGTTCGTATGTGATGGCCCCCAAATGTATCTCTGACAATTAACATTTCAGTTTAACATTTGAAATTAACATTTCAATTTAGCATTTCAATTTAACATTCAGGAAAAAGTCTATACCAGCGGATCACATTTTTCCCGTATTCCTGGTTTCATCATAAAGTTCCACGTAAAGCTTCTCAGACGGGAAACTGTGGGAGATTAGATTCCTTAATCTACGGTAGAATTAAAATTTAACTGAAATAGCCTTCGTGCTGACAGGACTGCTGTGTAGAGAAATAGGTAGATGCTCTCTCCCTCTCTCTCTCTCTTCTTCCTCTCTCTTTTGCTAGCATCAATACACAAAGTCTTGCTTCTTGTTTTTGTCGAAACTCCGCCTATATAAGTACATTCATGCCGGGGGTGCGAACATTCTCTGCTTTAGCAGCCTAAATATTTGAATGATAAACGCAACTAGCACTACAGCAGACACAATGTTAGCCGAAGTCATGGTGTTTATAGCGAGAGACTTATATGATATCAAGGCACACGAAGAACAAGACGATGTGAGGACGGTCAGTCTTTGGTGGGAGCCGTGGCTAGTACCCTCCCCCACCAAATGTTCTTACCCACTCCACTTTTTTCGGGTCCCCATGCAAAATATATATATCACTTTCATACTATATAGCACCATTATTTTATGGTCTATAATGCTATAATTAAATTTCAAGGTTGCTTAATAATAGCACAATAAAATTTTCGCTTAATATTTTGTATAATACCCCTTAGCCTTCCGTACTACCTTCAAACGTCTTCCTATGCTCAATATTAGCGTATCTATCTTTGCCTGATCCAATGCCTTCTAAGCTTCTACTAGGCATTTTTTAAAATAATGCCAGTCTACTTCCGACCTTCCTATGCTAATAAGCTCTAGAAATAATACAAAGAGCTTCACTTTTAACTAGCGCTATGCCGGTTTAATTGGGTTCAAATCGGGTAAGTGCGCGGGCTAATCCTCGACGTATACTCCGTGAGTTTTAAACCACTCTTTCGTGTCCTTCGCTAGATAAATCCTCGCGTTATCTTGCTAAAATACTAAATCAGGGGTGTAGATTGGCATTAGACCTTTTTCGAGCGTCGAAATATACGACTTCGTAGTATAACCCCTCCCTAAATACGAGTCTTCGTCTCTTTCTATAATAATTAGGTCTGTCCGACCTCCGAGCTAAATTCTAGCCTAAACTATTTATAAAATATCTTTTACGTGAGCCTTAGTATTTATAAGCTCTTTTCGAAGGCCCTCCGAGGTCGTACGAAAGCACTATTGTGGTCTAAAGTTCGAGGTTCGCTATACCGAACACTCGTCCGAGAAGATCCACGATTAGAAGCTTTCGCGTCGCTATTTTCGCGTAAATTTTAGGCTTTTCCTTATAAGAGGAGGCTTAATTAGTATTTTCTGTTTCGATCGCCGTTTTCCGAGTCCGAATCGCTTTAAAATTCGACGTATAGTGGAGGGTGACGGATACTAAGCTATAGCAGCACTTAGCTATTTATAGGTCTAAAACGGATACCGACGTACTTATAAATAGAGGTAAGAGTAAGCGCGCTCACTAATAATTACGGGACGGCCACTTTTTTCACGATTTTCGAGGGTGTCTTCTTTGTAGTAGCGCTTAAGCGTATTGTAGATTGTCTTACGAGAACAGCCGAAATCATTAGCTAATTTCACTTACGAAATACCATTCTTATGAGCAGATACAATAGCTGACCTTTATATAACAGTAAGCTGCGCCGTTTTGCTACTTTTTGCATCAATTTTCATTACAATCGGAGCAATAGGGGAGGTGTAGGAAGAAAAATTAAAAGGTGAGTTGGTTGCCGGGTCAAATTGTAGTGGGGCAGTGGGTAAGAACATATGACTAGTATCTGTAGATCCTGAGGTGGCTTCTTTGAGGGTCACCCGGAAGATGTTAACCACGATATAAATGAAGCCTTAAGAGGCGATCAGATGAAAACTGCCAGCAATCAGCCCAGTTAGTGAATATCAGTAGCCAAGTTTAAGGGTCTTTAATATATAATAATTAAAAAAACGTAGACAATAATAGGGGATCTTGATAACCCGCCAATGTATTTACTACCCCTTCTGATCATTACAAGCTGATATAATCGAGGTGATTCGATTCGTCTGGACTGCTAAAGTGACGCCTTAGGTCCGGGTCGCCTCCTGTAATAGGCCATTTTCCCGTATCCTCTTAAAATATCCCGATTTTTTATCGCTCTATGGTCGACAAGTAGAGGGCTTTGTATACTCCAAAGCAAATGCGAGAAGAGGTAGCTTATTATAACTTGCTAAAATTTGAGATAAAAAGGAACTGTATTGAGTAGCTGTAGTCGAACAACACATCGTCTTGTTTGAACTGTTTGCTCAAGAGCTGTTGTTTTGCGCTTTTCCACGACCTTCAAAGCTCCAATCGATCTGCGTGGCCATCCTCACCTTCACTCCCAACTCATTGGCAAAGGCGCGAACCAAGCCAGGATTCTGCTGGAACCAACGTCCCGCCTGGACTGCATCAATACCGGATTGCACCACCTCCTCTGCTAGAGGCCCAGTTTTGATTCCACCGACAGCGGATATCAATATCCTGTCTCCTACAGCTTTCTTGATTTCCTGGGCTAAATGCACCTGATAGGCAGGGCCCGGCTTGATAGCAATCGCAGATTTGGCATGAACACCGCCTGAGCTGACATCCACCAAGTCAACACCACGGTCAGCCAAGAGCGGGACCAGCTGAACCGACTGGTCAACTGTCCAGCTCTCGGAAAACTCTTTCGTCAAGTCATCATCAAACTCGAACCAATCAGTTGCACTGATCCGGATCATTAGAGGCGTTGTTTCCGGAATACTAGCACGGATTGCCTCGGAGACCTCTAAGAGTAGTCTGATCCTGTTATCGAAGCTTCCTCCATACTGATCCGTTCGTTTGTTGCTAACAGGGCTCAAAAATTGGTGTAATAGATATCCATGAGCGGCATGAATCTCGATAGCATCAAAATTGGCTTTTACAGCCCTTTTCGCAGCCTCTGCGAAGTCGTTTATCAAGACTTCGATATCTTCCAAAGTTAGGGCCTTTGGAACGGTGTTGATTCCTTCCTCGTGAGGAATGGCTGACGGGCCAACAATTTCATCCGGCCACCCACCAACTTCCTTCACAGCCATAGCGTTAGCGCTCAACCAGGGGGCGACGGCACTGGCCTTTCGACCCGCGTGAGCTAATTGAATAGCAATCTTCTGACTCTGGCTGTGTGCAAACTCGGTAATCCGCTTCAACGGCTCGATATGGCCATCTTCATAGAGACCAAGGTCTTGAGGCGTGATACGGCCCACTTTCTGTACGGCTGTGGATTCCATGATTGCTATTCCCGGACCGCGCTGGAGAATTCCACCTAGATGCGCTAGATGCCAATCGGTGACATAGCCGTGTTTGGCAGAGTACTGACAAAGGGGAGCAAGGAACAGACGGTTTGGAAGCGTTACACCGCGGATGGTAAGGGGGGTGAACAGTTTGATTGACCCTTCCAGTTGCGTGCCTGCGGGAGGCTCTTGAGCTGGCGTATAGTAGGAGACGCCCGGGGCCGCGACGTTGTCGATTGTTTTTTGTGCCATGATTTGGGTGTTATTCGGCTGGAGGCTTGGAAAGGCGCTAACTAATAACGCGCAGAAAGAACAGTCAAGTATTTTGAGAATTCGAAAGGAGAACTAGCGAATAATTAAGTGCAAGCGACTTGTCGGCATACACCTTACGACCGTATGCACTTACTGATTACAAATTAAGCGTAAATAGTGTGATATTATTAATGTAATGTGAATCACGTAACCTGATCTGCATGCAAGTTATCAGATTCGGATACATGATTGGACATGAACAAAAGAACAAAGAAGTCTAATCCTTATCTACTCCACCGACCCCAACAGCAAGTGGGAAACATGCATCCTTCCGAATCTCGAGTCGGACATTGGCTCCAATTAGACCTTGTGGTTTCTTTGACTGATGCAGATAGCCTTGGGGTCCCAGTACACATGTACGTTTACGTGCTCAGCTCCTCGTTTCACTTTGACGTCACGTACTCCACCACCTTTACCCCTTGAGTAATACTATCCTCGCCCTCAACAAATCGAACAAAAAATGTAACATTTTCAGTTGCACACCCCAAGATGTCATGGAAAGCCATAAGCACAGAAGCCCAAGGCGCGGTCCTTGAGTCCATACCCTCCCGTTGGCGGCTGGATATCGAAAAATACAAATCGGTGAGGGATGTGAGAAGCGTTCCGTATACCAGTGGCATAATGACCAAAGACCAACTTGAAATCACCGAACTCACGGCCGGGGAGATTGTGAAATGTCTTGAATCTCGCGAGTGGAAAGCAGTTCAGGTCTTAGACGCCTTTGCCGCTCGGGCTGCCATTGCTCATCAGCTGGTATGTTTAAAATCCTTGACAACTTTGTTGTCGGGCTAACTTCAGCAACAGGTGAATTGCCTCACTGATTGGTTTTTTGAAGATGGTCTCTGGCAGGCGAAAGAGCTTGACGAGTTTCTTGCCAAGGGTGGGAAATTGAAAGGGCCATTGCATGGTGTTCCTGTGGCTCTCAAGGTGCAAAATATACATTGTCGGATTTGATTTGGTCATCAAGGGGCTGACATAATGACTAAATAGGACTCCCATGAGCTTGAGGGCCATGCTTCAACAATGGGCTACGTTGCAAGGAAGAACAATATCGCCAAGCGGGACTCTGCTCTTATAGCAACATTGCGAGACGCTGGTGCAGTCTTTTTCTGCAAAACAACGATGCCTCAGTCAGGTATGGCCCTAGAGACAGTCAGTAATCTCTGGGGCCGCACTGTAAGCCCGTTCAACAGAGACTTGGGTGCCGGCGGTAGCTCGGGAGGAGATGCAACTTTAGTAGCTCTGAGAGGCTGTCCCATAGCCCCCTCGACTGATATGGGGGGATCTATCCGCGTACCGGCTGCCTTCAACGGGCTATATGGTATCCGACCAACTTCGGATCGCATACCCAAGGGTGACATGCAAAACACTAACACCGGGAATCATACGATAAAACTGTCTTGTGGGCCTGTGTGCCACTCTCTCGACGACCTTGAGTTATTAACTAGAATAATTAATGCGCACCCGAACAACAAATACGATGTGACTTCCGCGCCTGTCCCCTGGAGAAATCTGGATTCTCTAGACCGCAAACTCACGATCGGAATATTGAGGTGGGACGGAGCCGTAATGCCTCATCCACCAGTATTACGATCTCTAGAACACTGTAAACAGACACTGGAAAAGGCCGGACATGAAGGTAGGTTGACTACCCGACCCTCTTCAGTTAAGAGTTCCAATAGAACCATTGTTAATCATATTTACAGTCCTTACATTTGAGCTACCTTTTGATGCCTGGGATGCTATGCAACTTACAGTACGTATTCCAGCAAAATCGTCTGAAGCTGCGGATTTAATGCCAAGTCAGTTCGATATTTATTACCTGTCAGGGTCTCACGGGACTAGGTCGACTCTGGCAGCTTCTGGGGAGCCTATCATGCCAGCTTTTGCTGATCTGCTCAGAGTTTTCAACCCCCGAGAGCACTCTGCTGGAGAAGCTTTACAAGTACGTACTTCTTTCATGTTACTGATAAGGTCATACTGAAAGAGCGGAGAACGCTGATATAGGGAACAGTTGAACCTCAAAACGAGAACCCTCAAAGAGCAATTCGCGGAGGGATGGAACAATACAGTCGGTCCCTTGGGCCATACTATCGATGCACTAATAGTGCCCCCAGCGCCTGCAGTGGGCTATCCTCATGACTTCAACATCTATTGGGGTTATACCTCGTTGTTCAATCTTCTTGACTATCCTTCGGTCATCTTACCAATTCCCAACTTCAAGGTGGATCCTCAGCTAGACCCCGTGGACGACAACTACCGACCGTCGGAAAGGAATCCCTACGACAAGCCCAATTATGAATTGTGTAAGCCTTCCAAGCGTGTTCAATTACATCTCACAAGACAGTATCTAATTTCCCATCGTTAACAGATGATCCGGAGCTGTTTGCAAACCAACCATCCACTGTTCAAATCGTAGGGCGCCCCTTCGAGGACGAAGAAACCATTCGAGTAGGGTCGGTACTAGATACATTGTTCAGGGCTCCTTAAGTAAGGTGAATTTGGGAATGCTAAACATGGATATTTGTTCAATTTTTTTAAGGACTTCCAATTTGATAAACCGCTCTGTATGTCATGCGGCAAACGTCAAACTATGTAAGTCAGGCATCACTCAAGGAAGCATTTACCCTATCCCGGAAATATATTGTCGGCAGAAATGCTCCCCGAGGTTCAAATCCATAGGTTGATCTCGAGCTGATGAAATGGACAGCCCTCAATTAGTTGACATCATTCATTGATCATATAATTAAGCCCTCCCTAGCGGCTTCAAAAGTCTTCCGTCGATGACAATTGGTCCATAGGAGAGAATACAAATCATTGCCACGGGTGTGGGAGCTCCCGAGTGGATTCCGAAGGTGACAAACGAACCTATCATCTACTTGGGAGCTCTAGTCCACAAGGATGGAGTCATCGGTAAACATCATCAATTTCCCATGGGTCATTCTTCTTGGGCCGGTATTTGTAATACTATATTTTCTTGTGCCTCATTTCTAGACCTTTCGTCACTTGTGGGATATAACGGAACGGAGCTTTTGAGGACCACTTAATTTGGCACGGGAGGCTTGCAGACTAGCAATGGCGATGATCAGGCACACGGCATGTTCAAGCAAATAGAGCTTGTTAATTTATACCTAAATGGCCCTGCCAAGTGTGCGGCATGGTCCATGAGACTCACCTTTTGCCAGCAGAGGAATGCTGCCGAATTTATGCAGAGGATATGGCTGGTGTAGATCATGAACCAAGCCGAGATATCAAAAATAATACCTTTATAATATATACAAAGAAACAAGTTTATTTACAACCAATTTGGGCCTCACATTGTATGTATTCCCTTAAGCCCCACCATAATAAAGGAGGAAAAAACATTTCTCTGAAATAAAACACAGATATAGACAGAGCACAATATTGTTTTTAACTTGACCATTGATCATGGCATATTCATTCCCGCCGGAAACTTGTTTGTATGGTAAGACTTCATTGTGCATAGTCGTGGGGTGCGGCTATTGGCTTTTGACACTCAGGGCAACCCCGGACCAAGTTTGACCGTAAATTTTAAGGACTGAAGGTCCACCTTCGAAACAACCAAACCTTCGGTCTTTGTGGGCGGATTCTGTAGCCCAATCACGGCTTATCTCGGCTCTAGAAAGAAGGAAAACGTAGACCCAACGGTATGTGAACCCGATATCAGGATCGGAGCGGTTCAATGACACTCAACCGGCAAATTGGTCTATCTTTACTATATCCTCTACTAGGCGCATCACAAATGAAGTTCCAATGTTCCTACCAAAATCTTGGAGATGTTGGATGATCCACTTTCGGCGTTCACCTTTTTGTGACCGGGCATTTTCCTACCATGTAAAAGACACCATGTCAGGATATACCCGCCCGACACGCTACCACGGAACGAGATATCCACGGAGGGGCGGTGTTCAGATGCCGAGGATAGAAATTCCAAAGCCCGTGATATGGTGACCAGTATATCGTCTCCCGGATTTGACAGGGTTTGCATTGCCATTTGGAGCTTCAGCCTCAGGGACTCCCGAACGGCCGGTGTGAGTGTGATATCTGTGGCGAGAACTTTCTCTCAGGAGAAATAACAAAGTCTTGCAGACAATGATATGAAGAGTTGTCAGGTTGTTCCAAACCCGGATTGCCGAAGGGTCCTTACAGAGGTCAACTCTCCCATTATAAATTATTTTTGACGCCCCACCAGAATATCGGGTAGTTGTATACGGTTCTTGTATGGCGAGGAGCGTAAGGAGGGTTTGGAACTCACGCTCCAACGGAATCGCTTGCTCCAGGTGTTCAGGCCAATGAACTTCCCCGGTATTCTCCCTGACGCCCATGAGGAGATTTGCGCACCCGATTCCTAATACTGCCAGGAGCCAGAATGCACCAGATACGTCTGTGTGCTTGGCTGTCCCTTCTTGCAGCTCAATCATGTTCTCCGGAAACAGTTTCTCACCATGGTAGCAGGCAAGTACCAGATCACTTCACACTTGGTTAAATGTAAAGATTGTGGCCGGAGTGGTGAATTCGTCTTTTCTCCTGGCAACCACCAACGCTGCAGCGCCCTGGACATGTCAAGTCCACGATTTGTGCTCGGAGACGTGCTCAAACACCCCCATCGAGATTACCGACATCAGGGTGCTGTCCTTGATGGACTCGACCGGCGATGACAACGCGGTGTTTCACATTGCGGATGGTCTCCGTATATTTGGCGCGCGCGAGGATTGCCAGCTCGGGGTGTTAAGTCGAATTGGCCAACGCTACGAGGCCTACGGCGGCCATGCTTGCCACCAAAGTTGGGTGCTCTTCATCGTTGTGATAAACAGAGGAATTGTAGTTGAGGCACCCACGTGAAGATGAATGGTTGACAAAGTTGCGGAGGAAATTGTTGACACCTATCTCATCGGCGCTGGGCTTAACGTGCAGGCGGGTGGCATGTCGAAGGTGCTCTTGGGCTTTATTCCCTTGGGACGTTTAATGGTATGGGATAGTATGATCACGGAAGATGAGGTCCCATTCATCTCGGTAATCAGGGCATTCTTCGCGCATTCGAATGCACGTCCACAATGAGGAGACTGCTGGTCGCACTGTGGGAAGACAGGGCAAAATGAGCACTGGTCTAGCAGACATGGGAGAGAAAAAGAAAACAAAAGTAAACACGAAACGGCACCTGCGCGTCGCTTGGCAGCCCGGCAGTTCCCACAACTCCTGGAGACTCGTAGGTGAGACATGTTCGGGGCCATACAGAGTACTAATCCATCAAAAAGCAAGGGAAAGAGTAAGGGAAAAGGCAAGGGAAAAGGGCGTGTGTGTAATCCAATCCGTGCTCTGATCAGTTTGAGAGGCACTCGCCAGGGTTTCAAGAGTTAAAGCCGAAGCTCCAGCTCTCAGCCCTATGTTCAACTGGAGATCTTCTACAATTGGCCCCCACTTACGGCTGCCAGGAAACGCGTCAAGAACAGAGTTCGTTTTAGTGGACAAGATGTGGCAATGAGACAAGCAGACATAAGTTCGCCGACCTATCAAAGGCTGGACTTTCCCATCCGCCACCTCCCCCTCTCCCTTTTTTTCTTTGAAATTCCACTCAGCATTTAGTGGAGAAGCAGATAATATCACTATGGACGAAAATATTGATTCCCCGGTAGACCCACACAATTACACTCGAAGCGAAGCACTCTATCTGTTTGTCCTTGTTCAAGCCGAGGACGCACGAATCGCTTGATACTCTTTCAAAGCAGATAGACCATAATACGGCACATGGAAGATAGAAAATTGAAGCACTCCCGACAATCCAGACATTACATCAGCTGCCTCACCATACCTTTCCGCTGAACAAAACATTCCCGGGTCTACAGTGAGGAGGTCCATTTCTGCCAGTGCCTGGTCCAGCCCCCACGAGTGTCCTATCGTTTTAAGACACTGTATTACCCATCGGCGTTGCGGATGTTTCGGCCCTTCGATTATACCAGCAATGAATAATGGCCAGAGTAGCATGAGGCCACCCAAGTAGCTCTCCGGAGGAAGAATAGGTGTTTCTGGTAGAACTTCGGAGTTACAAGCACCAAGGTGAAAGGGTACACTGCGACAGATGTCGGCACCTAAGCGACGGATGGTTGAGCGCAGTGACTTGCAGTGCAAGCGAAAGTCTTCAGATAAGGAAGTAGCCGAGCCGTTAGACAGCTTGTGGGCATGCGATAATATAATTTCGCTGACTAAGATGCGCGCGCAGCGGTAATGGTTCCAGCAACTTGGCGCCCAGATGTCAGGGTAGAGGTGGTATTCGTTGTTCAAGGGTCGAATTCCGTGGCACCGGCGTTCAAAGGCGCGGTCTAGTGGCATTAATGTATGGCTGCTGTATGTGAAGTCTGGTGGTAGGGTAACCAACCAGGCGATGAGGTCTGCTTCGATGGCACAAGCCGCAGTAAGAACTTCTTGGGGATTGCTGTTCGCTGTTGTGTGGATATCTGCACGTAGATTTGCCAGATTGCCGATGATAGTAATCAGCTTATTACCAAGGGCGTCCTTCACTTGGGGGATCATATCAAGCTTAGCAGTCTCCAGTAGAGAGCCGGGTACCCGTACGTCGCGCTGCAGGCAACTTATGATCTATGAGCGGATTAGCATTGTCTTAGTTATTGAAGGAACGGACGCATGCGCACGATCTGATATCTTAAATGCAAGAACAGCCGAACTCCAGCCTCCGTCAGCAGCTGTCCAAGTCCCCGGTATTCTAGTAGAGCTGCAGCTCCAGAAATATGGTTTGTCCAGCTCTCAATACCCTGCGGAGCCCTCGATATGACGATCTACCAATGTTAGCAATATTGCATTTTGTGAGTTTGGTGGGACATCTTACTTCGTATAGAGACAAAAGCACGACTGCGCCAAGAGTTTGGTTTGTCTTGGCCTCGTCAGTATTAGCCAGCGCCTCGTTGACCATCTTGAGCGCAGAGCCATACTCTTGACGCGCTGTCTGTCTCAGTGATGTGACGTTCTGAACGCGCGAGAGCATGGCGCTGGCAACCGCCACAATGCTAGACTGTATAGCCCGTTGGCCCGACGACCCACCGGACTGCATGAGAAAAGTGGTCAAAGAGTCCGTCATCAGAGATGTACCAGGAATGGCATGTGACTGCAGAAAAAGCAGATAGCCTCTTGCCTCGACAGCCCCGTGTTAGGATGTGTCTCCCGAGGACTCTGTCTTAGCTGGCGCGTCAGAAATTGATTCTCATGGTCGGAACCGAAGTAGACTTCTGTGCCTTCTGAGAAGCTTGTCATTGAAGAGGATACAACATTCTGTCTATGGAAAGCGGTGCGGCCCGGTCGGGCCGGCCCTTGACGTCTGAGAGAACCGGTCGTAGAGGCAGAAGAAGACTGAGAAGAACGCGCCTTGCGTCTGACGGATTCGCTTTGGTCGCGGAACATCAGTGACAGCTCATCGCGATAGCCAGAGCATTCTCGGTTAGTTCGAGTACATTCCCAACACGCTGGGCGGGCTTGGTCGCACCGGATCTTACGCGAGCGGCAGTTACCGCAGCCTTTACTCGGTTTGCCATCGTATACCATAACTCAAAAAAGAAAGCAAAAAGTTTGGATGTTGATGGATGTGACGGGAGAACCATTTCCAAAGGGGGAAGGGAGTCCGTCATTCTGCGGCTGAAGCGCTCGGTTGAGCCGCCCCACAACAACTGACACAGACTAATGACAGGATCTAACCCATAAGGGCCAATTCATAGATTAACGATGCACAGCCCGACGCGTAACCTGCTCTACAGCTTACGTCCACGAATAGAGTGTTTATGAATTTCAGTTTTACTAACATCGGCGTGAAGTGGTGGAAACCTACATGTACGAGCTGTGAAATAAGTTACTTCTCACTTCTGCTGGTGGTGGAAGTTCGCCAACGACCGAGGGAATTGATGTGAGAATATATATAGGGCTGATTTTGCTCTCTAATGGAGTAACAGTGGAATATCATGAAATGGGTTGTTCGACACACACACATATAAATATATATATTAAGCTTGCTCTTGAAACGGGGATGCCACGATAGTAATCGGGCATAGCAGACGGGTCGATATTACCGAAGTGTGGATACAACCAACCACTTCCCTGATCGGTGGAAGTCGTATAGGTTGGCCTCTAATGGCTTAGGCTGCTAGGAGGCCGGTACTGTATCATGAAATCAAGAATCCGAAAAAACGTAGTCATATTGTGGTATTTGGATAATTGTCCTCTTGTAGGATGAAAATGAGTTAGTAGTCCCTGCATTTTGCTGTCTGAGACTGCTATTCTACTGAAGGACGCGGTTCCACCACCACACTACATGAAAACTAACATTCACGAAGCCACCCCCCCCCCCCCCACGTGGTATGCCCAAACCCGTTGCTCTACTGTATCGGTCGGGTAATTCATGTTTCTTTGTCCCAAGAATATCGCCTAGACTTCTGACGCGAGAATAAATCCCCAGTTCAGCATTGAAAGAAACGCCGTTGTCTCCCAAGAGCCTAAGCCAGAACCATATCACTTAAGCCAGCGCCGATGATCAGAAAGTGAGGTTTGCCGATGGATCAAAGCATGGAGGTAATGATTACAAAAATAACACCAAGCTTTTTGAAGATTATCTTTGAGAGCTTATCCGGATCTGTGCTATGAGGCTTGACCTCGACCGTAAGATATTGGTTTGATAATTCACCTAAGCCGGTGTATCAACCTAGTACGGGGTAGGATGCAGCTAAATTTTTAGTGGTATTAGGCAGGTTATATCCGTGTAATCATGTCTTATCTCGATATCCTGGAGCGGGGGGCGCGAAATTAGATATCTTTGGGACCAAAACCTATGTATCATTTCATCATCGTGCTGGGTGTTGACTTGTCTGGATGCAGCACTCACCCGTTTCGGACCACTAGTGCCTGAATAAGCTATTCATAATTACTTTGTGAGTTTTTAGTAACATACATCAACCAAATCAAATCAACCACTCAAGGTAATCGGGAGGTCAAATAAGCACCAGAAAGCTTGGTATCGTCCAGAGTTTGGCGGGCTTCGTCAAGGTCTAACCCCGATTACGAGAGAACACCGTAATGACAAGCCATGAGACACTAACCACGTGTAGTTAGATTCATCGTGTCATTGTTTGGGCGCTATCACGGCTATTGGATAAGTCATCGGGTATCCGAGAGCCTGTATAAAAGTGCCACAAAGCACGAATGCGGAGAGTACGGAGTACGAGGCTCCAAATTATCAAGCATGGACTATGAATAGACTGTAAGATGGCCCCCGAGTTTTAGCTTGGGCGCAAATCCGGTGGGTGTGGAGAAATGAGGCTTTAATCAAGTCCCTTGGCTGGTTTGGGCCCCACGAGCCGCTAAACCGAAGATGGCCACAATTGCGAGGGCTAATCAGAACTTTCATGTTTCTATATTCTTATATATAGAGCAACCGGGGGCTGGTGAGGATCGATCAGTACGCCTATAAATGTCTGAGAACAAGCCGACGGCATCTACAGAATTACAAAAACAACAGCACCTAAAAAAGCCTCGTCCATCATGGGTCAGTCACCTACCACAGTGGCACCTCCATCCTGAAATTGATCGCCTAAATTCCGTCGTTCTTTGTAGCCACTTTTCTAGTCTACCGCCATGGTGTACGAAGGAGTGGTGGTTTTGTCTTCCTCGTTATATTCACGATCGTTCGTATTGTTGGCGCGTGCTGCGAGTTAGCGACCATCAACAGCCCCTCGACTGGTCTCTATACAGCAGCTGCAATTTGCAGTTCTATAGGATTGTCCCCACACCTGATGACATGCTTGGGTCTACTTTCAAGGGCGTATGTATGCTCTGCCTATATCCTTAGAAGCCTTTTCTCACAGGCAACAGAAATGAATGTATGCCTCGGCCTCTTATTCACATGTTTGCTTTTACCTTCTTTCGAGCTGTCACCATTGGGTCTTTGCTCCTCACTGCCTCCGGACTAACATGGAATATAACACTGGACGGGCTGAAGTATCTGAGTGTAGTGGTCAAGGTCGGCATGATTTTATACCTTGTCAGCTGGTTTGTCATGTGCATGTTCTTTGGTATTCTTTTCCTATACCAGTCATCAATTGAAAACGGCAAAAGCCTTGCTTTGGTAGCTGTGGCCATTTCGGCTCCGTTTATACCTGTGCGCATCATTTACGCTATGCTGCTGTTCTTTCTTGCCAACTCCACCTTTAACATGATCGACGGTAGCAATACCGTTCAGCTGGTCATGTCTGTGTTTCATAAGCTCATTGTTCTTTTTGTTTGCTTGCCTGTTGGCTTTACTTTGACGGTTTGGGAACAACACTGGAAATCTGTTCCAGGTCTTGAAGTTGCATGATTGTATGTGTTATGTTGTTGAGTTTAAGTATTTTTCTTTTTCTTTAGATTCTTGCTCGATTATATTGTAGTACGTCGGCTTCACAATAAGAACATCATGAGAAATGAAAATTCCTGATGGTCCCTAATGGTGCATGTGTAGCCCTTTTGTCCTAACGGATTCCCTACGAAGTGGGTGTCGGTTATTCCAATGTATTAGAGATGCCTACACTGCCCTGTCGCCGAGACTTGCTGCGCTGCCAGCTTTTTCCCTAGCCCAAGTTCCCATTTCCTTCCGCATCTGATGCATGTACAATTGCAATAGGTTAGGCCACGACAAACAAAAAAATTAAAATAAATTGAAATTGAAATTGAAAAAATAAAAAGGCCCCAGTGGATTCGAAGTTTAGTATCCACTGCTAGGCCCATTCGAGTACAAGATGCGATTCGGTTCCGGATGTCTCTGATCTGCACGCTGCGGCCACTTTTGAGGTGGGGTCTGGAGGGAGTAGACTACAGTAGTAGAGTGCTGAAAATAGAAACCGATTATAATCAGCGCAGTTTAAAATCGGCATGATCCCGACGTTACTGAACACTCTATTCCCACATCCGTTCTACACTAAAGCCATGGGAAAGCTGGTTGTGAAACTCATAGAGTCAGGCATTGGCTTCACTTCTGAAGCCATCCATGCCGCCCGTAACCGCTCGTCAAACAGAAACCCAACCTCCAATTCTTCCACTCGGGATTCTTGTACCGAGCAGAGCGACCAGTTCCTCATTGACGACGAAGAATTCGCCAAAGAACTTATGCAAGAAGGACGCGCACAACTTCCGGTCTCCAATGAAATCTATATCGATCAGCATTATGCAGAGCTACCGGCAGTCAACGAACCATCTATCCACCAACAATATGCAGAGCTACCAGCAGTAACCGAGCCATCTATCCATCAACAATATGCAGAGCTACCACCAGCCAACGAGCTATCCTACCGCTTGGAAGAGTGCCAGCAGAACAAGTTTATTGGAGTGGATAATTTGATCGACGGAAAGGCAACACCTACTGCCGCTGAGCCAAGGCATGACTTGGACGGGTATAATAACTCAATCTACTCAGTTGGCATGCAGCATGAGTTTGAGCAAGCTGAGGCAGTCTGGACACAAACTGAGAACTTGCAGCATGTGAGGTTGCCAACATATGAAGAGTCAGAATGGGCTCCTGTCGCTTTGGCTAGGGCTGGGACTGGGGAGACAACAGAAGTGCAGGAACAATATATCGGTCACTCTCCAATTCAAATTGAGCAGCCAGTTAATCGCTCGCAAGGGCTTACCTGTCCTGTTGTCATTCCCCACTGCAGGCCCAGCACGAAGTCCCCCACGTTTGGGCGTGCTTATGCACCCATTTTAGCCAATTGTGGGATCTGCCAGGATGTATTCTTGAGGTTTCTGGGGGACTTTGATCAAGCAATTATGGTAGGCTACCACTTACTTCTACGCTCCCGCCTCGTCGGATTTAAGGTTGTTTATTTCTGACGGGAGATTTAGGATTCACAGTCGCTCAATGTTGTCAATGTCGCAGCGGATATATCATACAAGGTCCCTGAGATAGCTTCTTTTGTAACAGGCCTTTCACTTGAAGTTGCAGCAGGAGCAGCTCATGAGATGCAGACCTCTTGCCCTGCAAACGCCTTTCTTGAGTGGGCAAACCACGAGGTATTCATTCCCAATGGCCTCTATGCTGTGGTCTTGCAATTCAAAGACGAAGTCCCCGGTGAACAACAGGGGGCCCTTGGTATACTATCTCAAAAGATTGGCAAAACGCTTTTCACAACCGAGAAGATTGATATCAATCAGCCTGTCTCCGCGACAGTATTTCACCCCTCTTCAACCACCACAAAGGTTGAGTTACCGCAAATTGCGCACTTGGTTTACCCTGACTTGTATTCCGGGCCAACACAGACCGTAAGTGGCAGAAGGGCCAAATCCGAAAGCATGCAGGGGAAGTCGAAGAGCGCAGGAGCCAGGTTGCAGGATCATATGGAGAAAAAGGCTCAGTCCTCAAACGTGAGTACCCTGTCATTCACGCATACTCTTACTTTCAGCATAGCTCATGTCGACTAGGGACTCAAAGATTCCGCATGTTGCCTAGCTGTCCGTGGGTCAAGTGACAGGAGACTTGTCTCGCGCTATAACGACACAAATCATGGAGTAAACAAACGCAAGCTTCTCTCAACACTAAGCGGTGGTCGGCTTGGCAACAAACCAGGCCTAATCGAGCAGGCAGCCAACTCTATCAAGGAATTCCAAGACCTGAAGCGGATCGCTCGATTGGAACTTCCACATGATCCAATCAAAGAGAAGTTGCGGAGGTCTCAGGAGAAGAGAACCGAGATTCCCAGTAAAGCTCTACAGCCGAATGTGCCATATCTGATGATTGTTAACCGGCTTAGCGAAGAGGAGCTACAGCATTCTGTTTCTCTATTGAAGGCAATCTTCTAAACGGGACAGCATGCATTAGCTGAGCCTGGTAGTTGTTGTCGACAGGTATCAATTAAACAAAAGGATTATTTAAAATTAGTCAACAACTGTGTGAACGGACCATTGAACAAGTGTCGATAATTTCTTTCATATCCTACCTTGTGCAGCCTGGGACACCATAGCAAATCCCATAGATTCTACGCTTTTCTTTACTCTTTTTCACACTCAAGTATTACTATATACCTCTCTATCAATAAATGCTTTTCCATAAACATCCACTGCTTCATTTACTTTCAGAATTCCCTTAGGGCCAAAGTATGATTGTTAAGTCCTAAGATGTTGGTTTGTGTCAGGGCGATCAGGCCAATGCAGCGGCTGGCTCATCCGTTGCTACGTAGGGGAGGATGGCATTAACTGTCTTTTGCTCCTGTTCCCTTCTGTCCTCATCGGACTCGCCCAAGAATCATTAACAAATTCCATGGGAATTGTCCATGAGAATTCCCAAAACCGATATGGGTCTGGACTTTACGATCGAATCGCTTGTCATGTAACTTGTAATATTGACTGCATACATACTAAGATGATATTATTCACGTCTGATTGAATACACTCGAATGGGTTCCAACTAAAGATGTGTTCGTACTTTCGGCCTAGATGGGCAATGAGTAATAAAGGTGTTTAGTTTGTTGCAGATGAGAGGCTCTGCTGGTTCCGGAGTCGTGGGATCAATATTCTCTTTGATCTGTTGCAGTCGGGGTAGGTTGGTACCCAAATATGCCTCCGGGCCATTTGGCATCGGAAGATCAACATAAGCCGGGGTAGACAACATAGGAGCGCTTGTCATTGGTAACAAGTTTATTGATATGATCAAGGAAGTCAATCTGGGTCTGTGAGACAGGTCCAAGAAGATTGATTGAGTGCGTAGGATTGCAGCAAGATGAGCACATCGCGATGGGCGTAGGACGTCACGCGAGCTAGAACATCGCTAATGTAGTCTCCCCAGAAATCAAACAGCAAGAACCATGCCAGAGTGCCCTTGTCGGCAGAATCAACATATTCAAACATCTTGCCAATGGTTTCAGATGTCATCAGGTTCTGGGGAGTTCTCGAACTGGATTTGGAGTAGAAATTGGTTGGGACTCGAGCTCCCAAGTCCAGTACCAGGTCCTCGGCCCAATGACCGACAAGACCAAGCCAGGGGGGTCTCCTAGCCTTGATATATACATTTAGCTAGTAGAGCAGAATCTTTGAACGGGGCATAAACCCACTTGGTGATCCTTTGACTTGTTTTCACGCAACGAGTCAGTCTGAAATAGAACCAATGATTGTTCAATGACCAGGGGAACTGAGGGCCAGCGGGACGTGGAGAAAAATGCTCGGCTCAGCTCGGCTCAGTCCACAGACACAATTCTTTACATTGAACGAATGAAGGGATTGATAAGCATTGGAACTCGGTTCCTGGAAAATACGACGAGACTGTCCAATGACAAACTCGATATGAGGTCTAGTGTGTCCACTGAGGGTCGGCGGAAAGTATCCTGATATCACTATGTAGGTTTCGCTCGGACGTGATCGTCACGATAGACAGGGCTATTGCCTGCGGGAGACACTGCTTAACGCTTGTGCTTTATGTCTGTCTTCATGTTGAGGTGAGTAAGGCCTCTAAGCTAAGCAATTAGTGTCATGTGCGTGAACAATGGCAAAGATGCTGGATATCCTCTTTCATACTCATACACTTATGGCTTCAGCTGAACCGTCAAACTTTCACATCGCCTTTAATTCAGTCGCAGCTCTTAGTATACCCATTGAATAGGCACTACCCGGTGATAAGTTGCTTGTATGAGTGGAATCGGCATTGCAGAGCTCTTTGTCCGCTTGACTCCATGAAACAGGCACTTCGGTACAGTACTTGTCAGGTTCGATTCGCGGGTACACGTATTTTCATTGCCGTATATTTTCACGCCACTGGATGCTCCGAAGGAAAATGCACCTAAAGGGAGTGTCTCTGGAGGAGATTTACATATCCAGTCTCCATGTTAGATTAGGTTGATTAATATGTATACTAACACACACTGATCGATCTGTCGATTCGCGATGTGCATCCTCATTATTGATAGCCTAAAAATCCCAGTCAAGCTGATGACATCGTTTCCCAAAGACGATTGGCTCAGACATTGAGAGTGAAGATGTATATTACGAGTATAATTAGTGTCTCACGATTCAAGCAATGTGTCGGGTTATTGCTTTTATCAATTGAATCTTGATTTGTCTAAATATGTAGTGAGAAACGACCTGCGAAGATCACCACGTCGAACGGGTCTTGGTCCACGCCTGGAAGAAATCCATCTTCTCTTTCACTCCCAAGCCTACTCGCTTGACCCGGCCCAGTCGGGCAAGAGACTCCCCCACATTATCCAGCAGGGTCTTATCGCTGGGTGAGGCCTCGCCATCTTGGCTGTCTTGGCCCAATGTATCAAGGTAATTCGTGTTATATGTCGACTTCCGTGTCGAACGACCCAGTGTTTCAATTGCGTTGCCGCCCGTGATACACTCCGCGATTCGAACGCGGAGGCAGTGGGTGGGCTTGCTAAGCAGCGTCCACATGAAGCTCACATAGCTCCCTGGGATGGGAGTCACAACGTCCGGGGAGGTATATCTGATGCTGACAGGGAAGATCTTAGTCTTGGATGGAACGCCCAGGAGCGACTTGCTCAGAGGTAGAATGCCTCGGCCGTTAGTGGTGGTACATTCTGGGAATAGGACAATCGGGCGACTGGGGTATCTCTCGACCAGAGTCGAAAGGTCCACCAGGCGCGAACCAGGCGCCGGTTGTGTAGATGGGGCCTTGAATGCTCGCAAGACAGCCTGAAGCAGGGAAATACGCTCGACTTGGCGGGTGTTGGGGTAGGAGGCTGTGAAGACCGGGTCGAATATAGCTGCCAGATAGATCGCGTCGATGGGTGACGTGAAGGATGACGCAATAACCGAGCCGGGCTGCGGCAGACGGGCTTGCTGTTGCTTCAAGGATCTAAAGGAGAACCATTAGCTACCAGCGCATTGCAAACGAGTTACATTGCAAGCACACGAACCCTTTCCGCACTCCGTCCACTTGCAGGTCAATCCACCAGATGCTCGGAACGCCAAGAATACACCACAAGGCAGCTTTCTTGCCCAGCGATCCGATGGGAAGCCATTGTAGAATTAAAAAGTAGCTGAGAGTGACAAAAATGAATAGCGGGAGGCGAAAGCAAAAGAGGAAGACGCGGAGGGGAGCTTGGAGGCCTAGTGGCTCCGAGGGGATAGGCAGAAAGGGCGCGATGCCCGATCCTGGACATTGTAAGTATGAATCTGTTGAAGAGAGCAGGTAGTGACGTGGAGGGAGGATTACCTCTATCTCGAAATTGTGAGTATTTCTCCATGAGTGATGAGATGAAGAGCGGGATTTTAGCTCAATCATCAACACGGCGCTCAGCCAAGCGAGAGAGCGTTCACGCGACTTCCGAGGTTGCGACTTGGAGTGAAGTTCGCAAATGCTGACATTCGTAGGGGAAACATTCACAGCTGAAGATGATCGTCACATGCGATAATCGCCACGTGACTTCTTGGCTGCCTGAGGCACTAATGTTGTATGTGTTTCTTGTGAATCGACGTAGAATCTCTTTGTCTATAGATAATATACAGTCTATAGAGGATTACCATCCTCTTCATAATTGTTATCCACAAATTCTGGGGCAGGAGGAGCAGGAGGCAGCCTAAAGCACCAGATAGCCACTCCGACAAGGCAGAACAAGGTGCTGGTCATCATCCATGCCAGTCCAATCCAGAACCCACCAAGACGCAGACCAACCTGAAAGACGGTAGTGATGGATAGGCTTGCAATAACGTTGCCGAGAGACTGGATGATCTCAACCGCAGTGAATAGGCGAGCTGTCTCATCTCTTTCAACCAGGGTGGTAATAATTGACCTAGTGATGAACACAAATCCGGATCCCGATGCCTGCACAACCATGCTTGGGATCAAGGTGGCGATGGATGGGGAAAGGCCTATTCCCAGGGTCCCCAATGTCAAGCAGAATATACTTCCACGAGCGAGCCAGAGGTCTTTCTCGGTTGATGAGCGCCGGGGGTTCAGGACCCGACTTTTGAGGTATGGCAAGCCAAAGAGGAATAGTGGGATTGACACAATTGGTCGACAGGCCACCAAAAAGTTGGCTTGGGCTAAGGTCCAAGCATAACGGGTCGAGATGTATTGGGCCAGGAACCAGGACGAACCTCGGCTTAGGCGATATACTAGGAATGCTGTGAGGAGTAGCAGCACTGGTTTTCGGTTGAGAATAAAGATATATGGCTTGAGGTAGAAGCGGTAGTTGGCGCGGAACTTGGCGAGCAAGGACTGATGGGAGTAAGATGGAATACTCCAAGATGGAGGTTCATTTGCACGGTCACCATTGACGTCGGCTTCGTCGTGGTATGATTCCGACTGGTTAGCTTGGTGTATATAAGGCTTCGGCTCGGTTTCATCCGTCAAATCAGAAAGCTCAACAGGGGCCATGTGGACGGGTTTGTCTGGCACAGCATGCTTTGTTTCTGGCAGTAGAAGAATGAGCGTCACGCCGCCCATCACAATTGTGAATCCAATCACCAATGGGATCCACGGGTTTAGGGTCATCAGATAGGAACTGAATGAACTAGAAGCAAAGTCCGCGCCCATTGAGACAATGGCGAATTGAAAGAATATACCCGCTCTAGTAAGCTCGATTAGCCTCTATAAATCCATGACCAATTGGGGCATTTGCCATACCGTTCTGATTCGTTAGTGACATCAGCCATCATAGTCCATATGATAGCAAATGCCGCGACGGGGCCCCCTCCGATAAGCCATGTCAAGGCAGTAAACCAGAGGGCCCGGAGAGGGAATATGTTCGAAAACCATAGAACAGTGAGCGTAAGGACCGTGTTCAACGCAAACCCGGGAAGAGATAATGCGAGCGTGGCTTTGCGGCCACGACGGTCTGCCAGCAGACCATATGGAATTGCTAATAAAGCACCTGCGAAGCAATCAGACCGCATTTCCATACAGGTGTATACAGTTCAACCTACATAAAGTCCCATCAAAGAACATGTGGTACCCTTTCACCGCAGCCAATTCTGCTTGTACCTCTCCAATCTTGCACATAGCCTCTGGCACCTGTCCATCTGCACCGATCTTAGTCGGATCAGCCACCAAAAAGTACTGCCGGCAGGTAATGGCCTCCATGATCCGGGTCATGGGGCCCTCCAAGAAGGCGAAGCCGATTTCCACAGCGAGGATCATGGAGAACAGGATGAGTTTGAAGCGGAATGTGATGGCGCCAGCGGAGCCATTAGCCTCGACAGGGCGGCTGCCGATGCTGGGCTTGGAATGAACATGACGATGTGCTGCTGAGGAGCTCGGGTCGGAGGAGTGGAGGAATGGAGCGTCTTCACGATCTTGATCCTCGTCCAGAGGATGACGTACGTGGGCCATGTGGCATGGATATATAAAAGGAGTGATATCCAGGAGAATAAAGATTAGGCCATGGAAAAGGCGGATGTGTTACGGCGGTACGTGGTCTACTTGACGTCGCAAGCGGAGTCTTGGCACTCTTCACGTTGTCCAGGGGCAGTTCGTTAGTGGCCCGCTGACTATTTCTGCTTACCTCCTTACCTGCGGCTGTAAGATATTCACATATTGTAGAATTATTTGATTTGCTCAATTTACATATCCGTACATTTCTCTCGAATTTATGCATACCCCGCCTCTTCAAATAGACTACCCCGAACTTGTACGACTGCCGACAACTCGAGCATGAACTCATATAGGATCACCACATTGGTCAATACATGGCCAAGAGAGGCGAATGGTGGATCTTCAGGATGGTCTGCTGAATCAGGAGCCTCCTCAGCTGGCGACTCGGGGTCTGTACCAGAAGCAGGTGGGAATGGTGTAGCAAGACGCTGGCGGAGAGCTTCGCCGGCAGCAGCCCGGGCACTGGAAGAGCCGCGTGAGCCTGTCGGAGAAATAGATTCGTGGCTTTCATGGCTAGTTATCATATTCGGATTCACTGCGTGCGGAGACCGACCGTGGGACATTGGGGCGGAAGGATCTGGAGAGCCGGAATATGAGGGACGCGAGCGGTCCGCGGAATGGGGCATTGGAAGCTCCGATGGGTCCAGCGACTCTTGTGGTGTGCAAGGGCGATCCTCTTGGTGCAAAAGCTCTCGTCGGGCGGCGACCAGGACATCGAAATCAGGCAGTTCCTGCTGCCACTGCCGAACTTGTTCCACGAGTTTTTGTAACGCTGATGTGAGGGTTGGGGCAGCTGTGGCAGGCCATGTTGGCCCCTCATATGCCTGTCGGACGGTCTCAAGCCCGTCGGTAGTCGCGAGAGAGGCTGGAGTATCATACTGGTAGGGATCAACCAACACCCAACCGTCCAGGGAGAAAAGATGTGATGAGGCAATGCTCATAAATACGCCTGTGAGCGCCAAGTTGACGATCACACTGTTGGTGAAGAAGGTACGAAGGCACCCAAATAGGGCCTGCACGATCGGATCGTCTTGCTGTAGCTGGAGCGGCATGTGAAGTGTCTCATCGTCCTTTTCCGTTGCAGAAACCGGTAAACACAGGCGAGACTCAAGCACCCATGTAGCATCCGCGACGTAGTTGTCGTACGACTCGTTTAGTGTGGGGTCATTGACAAGAGACGTCCCCATGGAGAAAAGGTGCCCCAGCTCGGAATTCAATGCTCCAACTGGGCGCTGCTGCGCGGGCAGGGTAGGGAGAGTATGGATGAGGGACCGCGCAAACGGATGGTGTCTTTGAAGGACTGTGGTCAGGAGCCGCAAAGTAGCTAGGACAGTCTGGCGATTAGATGACTGAAGCCCTAGTAGTGCCAGGTCGCGCAAGTTGAACAATGATGGGGATGGCGGGGCGGCTTCTTCGGCCAGCGCAGCCAGCACATTGAGCGATTTCCGTCGGCTCGCTGACATGTCCATTTGCTCTTCTGGCTTAGGTGACGATGCCAGTAAAAAGTGTAGGATTCGATGGACTAATTCGCCTTGCTCAATCGAATCAAGGATGCGGCACATGTAGGTCAAAACCGCTGCTGTCGAGCCACCGGCCACATCGGAGGATTCTAATAGTGAGGGATATCTGCGAAAGTCAATGACTGGTGCATCAAAGAGGAACAGGGCATCGTTACAAGAGTTGCTCGAGAAAAAGCACCTGAAAATGGTCGAGTAAGGTGTCGTTCACTTCAGTAGATTTACAATGGTCAATGGTGTCCTGCCAGAACAACAAGTATGACATGAACGCATCCATAGCCTGGCCTAGTGTTGGTTGCAGAGCTGTCTCCTGTTTCGCGTGGTCGGATAAAACAACAATGTGAGGCACGTTCTCGTCGGTCTCAGTATATGTCAAACTTCAGTCGATCAGTAACTTGTCCCAAATCATTGCAAGAGTCAACCTTACTGTCCCAATTGACTGTAAAGTGCACCGAGGCCAGTAGCCATGAGGGTGGCCAGGTCGCTCTCAATCAACCATTTCTCCAGGTTTTTAGACCGTGATGCAGTCTCAATAATGTAGAGCAACCCCGTACGAGCAAAATCACCAGCTCGTCCCTCGTGGTGAACATAGTCGACCAAGAGATAGAACAGCGGGAACTCATCTTTCCTTGTAGCTCCTGCGAATTCCGTCCCGATGGGGCTTGGGGACTCGCCATCCTGGACTGGGGACACCCGAGGCACAAACCACGCGGGCAGAATCACAGGCTGCAGACGGATGTTGTTGGCGATACCGAAGAGCAACTCCACGAGCCTTCCTTCAATTTCATCTGAAGACTTCTCGGCCCGACGAACCAGATCCACCAGTGCGCGGGCGAACAGCCGGTTGTCCACCACCCCGTCCACCTCCGCGTCAATCAGGGTGTTGAAGAATATTGTGGCCGACCGGAGGATACCATCATCATAGAATGAGAGGGCAAGTTTGGTGACTGTGACAAAGACTTGAGAGGACGCTGCGTATGCCACACAGGGATGGGGTGCGGGCCCACGCGATTCCTCACTCAGGATCGAGTTCAGTCGTTCAATGTACGTGCGCGCGTGGGTAACCGATTGCTCGCCAGAGGGAGTATTTGTAGAGCGCCATATTTGCTGGTGAGGTTAGTTGTGGGCTGGGAGGCGGTGTCAGGCGCATCTCGTACCTGAAGAGCATTGCAGGCGCGTTTAAAGGCCGTCAGCCGTTCCGTGGGCGAGGCGGCCCGGGGGGCTTGGACAGGGCACGCGAGCCACCGATGAGACGAGACCACTGGCAATGGATTAGCAGGGAAGTTGGAAGCTGTCAGGGACGCATACAAAGTCCATTCTCGGGCATGATGAAAGGAGGAGGATGAGTGGAGCCGATGATTACGCTGATCTCCGTCGCGGACCTAAAATGTATGGGGTCATGGGGACATGGGGATATTGGTATACATGTACTGTATAGGCATAAGTTATTGGGATGTTTGTCTACGAGTTTTACTTTCTATAAGCTAATGTTAATGATTTTGTTTAATTTTCCTCGAGAAGCCAGTGTTTTTGGTGATCTCCTTCAGGTCTAGGAAATGAACAGGTAGTATCCACGTATATCTATATTGGGCTTGACGAACGCAGAGATTTGGACAGCCCAGTTTTGTATATTTTATGTAGGGTAGAACCAAGTTGCCTGCTATTGTCTCTAGCCTACATGTAATATTGACTGTACTATCAAACTTGGCAGATCAAAGGCAAGGGGTGTCACCGATGTACATATGCAGAGGTACATGTCCTGAAAAAGGCTCTCATAGTGGGATCTTCTACATCCTGTGCGAAATCTTATGTTGGTTTCGTTTTCTGCATGTGGAATGCTTCACAGCTAAATACGAATCATACTGATGTACATCCGACACCAAGGCGAGAGAGACGAGATAGAATCTCGACTTTTGGACCTTACCTCGGAAATTGCAATAGATAATCACCCTTGAAGAAAGCTGCAGCCATTCATTTTGCTTCTATACCCTTTTGTTTCATCTTGAGGCACGTCGACCTCATATTCCACGTGTCTGTCAGGGGAACAAGCAATCTCATACAACACAAGCACCACATGCCTAGACCGCTTTTTCGTATGGCAACTCTCTATTCTTCTTTCAAGTCTAACAGTCAAAAGGTCCCGATAATGACACTGAGCACCCCTCTGAATATTGTCCACCAACTGCTGAGTGTCAGTTGATACGACTCCAGGAGTCCCACAACATCCGTGACAAGCCTCAGGGGCAATACGAGCCAGCAATTTGCAAGGCTGGATAATATTGCCCACCTGGAGGCCAGAGTCAACTGACTGTCCGAGAAAATATTCTCTTCTCAGCTCGCGTCCGGATGGGAAATCTGTGTAGCCCCAAAAGCCTGGAGAAACACGTGGATAATTTGATATCGGCCCTCGATCTTGGAAAGGTTCGAAATCAACTGGTGGGGAACGTGTCAAAGAGAGTATTGTCTGGAGGTGAAAGAAAGCGTGTCAATATCTCATTGGAGTTGGTGACGGCGCCCAAAATTCTTGCTTGGGTTAGTCGACATCAGGCTTGGATCGACAACAGCACTAGACTTGATGAAACTTCTGGAAAAGCTAACTCGCAGCGGCATGAGCATTATATGTGCTCTTCACCAACCGAGAGCTGAAATATTTTCTCTGCTTAATGATGCAGTGCCGGTCCGGCTGGCGTGAGAACGTTTGGGCTTAAAAGTAAGTTTGGGGTCATCTTTCTTTGACTTGAGTATTGAGTTTTTAGAATTAGTGTTCTATAGGGAAGCACACGCTGGATATTCTCAAAGTGCTTATTTTCTTGGAAAGTTCCTTTCCACTGTCCCACGAATCTTTCTGTCCGCAATTCACTACACAGCCTTCTTCATGGTCCTCACAACCCCTGTGATTCCTTTCGGTCTCCAGATGGCGCTCAAATTCCTATATTACTACTGTAAGCTGAACCTTCTCTCTGATGTCTTTACACGAGTGTAATTGCTTACTTGTCTATCTTTGTATATACGGCCTTGGGTGCATCGTGGCTGCTGTTACACAACCACGCGATGGGCCTCTGATGGCTATGTTATTGAGTACCATTATTTCGGCAGTCTCAGGATGTGCTCCTCGCCTGGCGTCTGTCAATACCTGGAACTTGGAGTGGTTTTGGTATATCTGGCCCGCGGTGAGTTCCTACCTTTCTTTCTCTCCTCCTTTCTCATACTATCAGGTTATCTAATCATTTATGTTCACGTCTAGTGGAAATACGAACAAGACGCAGAAAGACTTAGGTTAGGACTGAACACAGTCTATAATATCGCACACACGGCCAGCTATGCTAGCTAAGCACCGACCAGTTCTATTTTGTTCCTAGTATTGATTCTAAGGCATGATAATAGGACAAAAATCCTCGTTAAGCTGACCAGGGAGTGTCCTTCCATAAACCTCTCTTTCTACTCTCTATATCTACTCTTCGGGTGTCTAGATAAGATATTTTTGTTATACCAAGTCTTTCATATTGCCAGATAAAACCGTCTATTGTATCCAATGACATCCAGCGTTCACTGTTTCCGTAATTGGACGGGAATCGATGATAAAAGCTATGATAATCTTCATCGGAGGTGAGGAGACCTACAAGGAAGTTGCCGCGGCGAGTGATCCTGTTTAAGGCTGATTTCCTTGCCAATGAGCCCGAGAATTGACCAGAAACGTTAAATGTAACAATACGAATATTCGCACAAATCCCGCATAGTAGAGGCCACTGAAGTTATCCCAGCCACGGTTTGCCATGGCCGCTGGAATCAAAAGACCGGTGGTCAACAAGGGAGCCGTTTAATACTTCCGCTGCCAACTGCCCACGGGATCGCGTTCGACATTAGAGATATCAACTGAACCCAACGCTCTGCGGTGAATCCAGTCGTCCATCCAACGTAGGAAAAGAAGCGTCCGCGTTAGAATTATACGGACCCTTGTCTGTATCCACGTAGCGATGCTGTGCTGGGTGATGGCTTGCCTAGTAAATGATACTATACTGAGCCCTGCCAGTACTAAGGATGCTAAGAAAGTACCGCAATGGCGTTGATGCTTCAAAGGATTTATGATTCAACAATCTATGATGGCATTGTTCTGTTGAGCAGATGCACAATTTCAGAAAGATTAGCTTTCCTGCTGTGATTCCCAAGCTCAAGATTCTGAAGCCCATAACACTAAATATGGCGATTTTCGTATGTAGCGAAACATGCTATATGACCTAGGGGAGCAGTATTGCAGAAAGAATAAGAACGATCAAAACATGAAACCAGTCAAGTTGGTTATAGCAAAACAGGGTCTCCGAGACAAACAGAAATGGTTGTGGGTACTGCAGCTTAGTCCTCCAGAAGAAAACGATCGTATACCGATAAAAGCTTCGCTTTTCCTGGGCAACCCATGGAAACACTGTTAAGTGATCTTTAAATCGCGCTCTGCCAGGATATGATCTGATTTGTTTGGGATGTGGAATGAAATCTGAGATATCTACATATGACACGCATATCAAGGCGGAACTATTGAATTTACATGAACTTACTCGCCACTGCAAGATGAATTAGTATCTGCAGTGTCAATAGAGTTACAGGGTCCTCATGTCTGCAATATACCTGCAATTCACTGATACAAATTTTCGTGCTCAAGTCCGAACTACAGTATACAGCTGAATACTCCATCTACGTGTCACGACACTCCCAACACATCTAGGTTCACAGAAAAGATGCGACTCAGGTGTGTAATTCACGACCTTGTGCTGGGGTTCGACTAACTCGACCCCGGAAACCCCGATTTATCCACAAGAATATGCTCCCAGATCTGCCTCCCACCGTAACGCCCATGGTAAAAAGAAAGACAGAAATCTATGCGCCGGAATCCCTCGTCTAACACGTCAAATCATTTACAGAGCAAGATGTCAATCACTCTCCTCCTTTGGTCGCCGCCCTCCGCGCTTGCGACGTCCCTCGTTCTGGTCGCTTCCGTCATCTTCGTGTTTCCGGCCGGCTGGTTGATCCGGCACCTTGGCGATGATGTCGGCCAGAAAATCGAGTACCTCGTCCTTGGCGACCGCATGTTTCAGATGTGAGGCGGTGACGCGCTTTGAGTTGCGATCCTTGGCTTCTTGTGCGGCCTTGGTGACGAGGGAGATCATGAAGAGTTCGAGGGCCTTGGCTAAAGGGCATCAGTACTTGATTGCGACGCGTGGGCGCGTTTGAGTAATACTTACACACAGCAATTGGAGTCACTTGGGCAACCTTTCCGACGTCCTCATCCGCCTGCATGATGCGCTTAATGCGCGCCACTGGGAACTTCGTCTTGACTTCGATCCCCGCACCTAAAGGCACCGGAGCCGGAGCCGGAGCCAGTTCTTCCTCCTTCAGTGGCGCAGGCGCCATAGGCTCTGGAACGTACTCGGGGACGGGTTCAGGAACGGGTTCCGTGATCTGTTCAGGCATATATTCGGGCATTGCGATATCAGGCTGGGCAAGACGAGTTGAGCGACGGGCCATGTCCTGAAATGGTGGAACGTACTGCTGCGACACGCTCGGATTGCGGTAGGAGAAGGGAGAGGGAGGAGGATGAGAGGGAGAGGAGAAATCAGGAGAACGCGGCCGATAGTTGTCCTCTGTCATGATATAGAAAAATAAAAAGTGGTTGGTCCAAGCTCCGGTTTGGACGGGGCATCGCGGGCTATTTAAAGTCCGGGGGCGACGGGGTATTTTCACTGTATTATCCGTGTATTTGTAGTGTATTGCCGTATTGGTATGGTGGTATTTGCAATGGATTTTATCGCGACTTCACTTCTCTTATACTCTTCTCTTCTCTTCCCTCTTCTTTCCTTCTCTCTTCTTCTCTATATTCACTTTCGCTTCACTTGTATTACTGTATGTATCCCCTTCCTGTAGCTCGTGTAGCTCCCGATGAAGATACCTTAGCTGGAAAGGGACAGATGAGACCACGCGATGGTATCGCTGTGCCTTGATGAACCCCAATAACTTGATCTAATCTGAGGGAATTTGTGTACCATCATTTCTGGCTTTGGGGCTTTTCTCTGACATTGTCGGCAGAACGATTTCTTCGTGCGACCTTCGCTTTTTTGAGATGCCATCTGTGCTCTGAGTTTCTTTCTAACATCTCCAGCCATGGCGGCTGATGCGCCCGGCTTGATGGACATTGCCAGGTATGTGGACCGGAATGCCGATCTCGAATTCCACGCTCATGATTCTGCAGCACCCTGGCTCAGGAGGATATTCCGTTTAAGTTGCGCTGTGCGATCTGCAACAAGCTTGCTGTAAATGCTTTTCGCCTGCCATGCTGCGACCAGTCAATCTGTGAACCTTGTATGTGCCCTCCAATTGTCGTTTTGATTATCACTGACCTTTGCCCCAGGCCAAGCTTCTCTCTCCGATACCTGTCCTGTCTGCGCGCATACCCCAGTCTCCCCGGATGTCTGCAAACCAAACAAAGCTCTGCGCACAACTCTGAAGGCTTTTCTACGGACCGAGGAGAAGAAACGCGAGAAGGATCGCCAGGCCTCGGCAACATCAACTCCAGCCACCCCTGCGGATACTGTATCCGCACGTCCAGGTCAAAATGGGGAAGATACCGCAGGAGGCGTGAGTGTTGAGGCGCCTGTTACTACAGAACCTCAATCCGAGAACGCCGGAGTAGAGGCTCCCACAGACCCAGTTGGACAGAGTGCTCCGGAACCATTTTCTACAGATGCTGTTGAACAGTCGGCTCCGGTAAGACCCATCCACCGTAGTCCGGTGTTTGCATTTACTAACCTGCTAGGCAGCCCGAGGTAGCCGCTGAACAGATAGCTGATGGTACCGACCAGGCCGTTGAATGCAACGATGATGCTGTCAATGAAGAGCTAGCTCCCCAGGATGCTCCCAAGTCCAACTCCGCTGCGATGACCCCGAATATGGGAGGCTTCCCAATGGGCTGGAATGGAAATGGCATGAATCCTTACATGGCTGGCATGTTCAATTACCCCAACACGATGGGTGAGTCACGTTCCGGGCGATCTCGCTTTCTGATCACTCTTGCTAATGCATCTAGGAATGCCCATGGGGATGGACCTAATGGCAAATCAGGGGATGTTCGGTGACTACGGAATGAACATGACTGGCATGGGCATGAACACGGGGAACTTCAATGGGGGCATGTATGGATCCTTAGGATGGGACGCCCAGAACAACATGTGGCAAGGCCAAGATAAATTCAATCCAAACGCTTTCGCTAATGGCACGGGCCCTCCCTACGGAGGTGCATATGGGTCTAATCTCTATCCGGATCAGTCTGGCTACTATGGATCAGGTTATGGCCGCGGTGCATTCCGAGGCCGTGGCCGTGGCTATGGTCGTGGCTTTGGGCCTACGCAAGGACATTATGCCGCTAATTCAGGATATGCACAAAGCCCAATGGATGTACAGGGTAACCAAAACCAAAATCCGAGTACTGAAAATGCAGAAGGACAAGTTGAGGGATCCAACCTCCAGGTTCCCATCGACCAAGTGCCAAATGGAGGCATGGGAAGCACAGGATATCGGCACGGACGACCTGAAGGACCAGGTGTGGAGGGTGCACCAGCCGCGCCGCGTGCCATGCGGCAGGGCCTACCCAACACGAGCGTGTTGCGGTTCTCTGGCCGTGCTTCGTAAGTTCTCATGACTCTGTTCGTTCTGGTATTCTAACTCTTCTAGTGAGGATATGCGCCAGACCCCTCTGAATGCCTCCCGTGAAACACGGTCTCGCTCTCCGGCAGGTCGAACATCTCGTGCCCACTCGCCATCTATGCATGGTACTGAAGATGGTCGAGAAACTCAACGGGAGGCAGAGGTGAGACGTATGGACCGGGTTGACGAACTACAGTCCGATGCCCGACGCACTCGCTCTCCTTCCCGGGAGTCTTCGCGTCGGTCCTCACGCCACCGTCAACATGGCAGTGATCGTGAGAAAGACCGAAATGGTAGCCATCGTTCTCACCGCTCACGCCGGCACCATGGCCGTGATAGTCGCAGTCGCAGCTCAAGCCGCAATGGACATGTCCGTCCCTCGCGTCGTTTGCATCGGATCGCAGGTCAGGCAGAAACAAGCGGCCGCACAAAGGCATCATCTGAAGATCCAGAGCAACGTGACCTTGCTAGCCGAATTAACAGCAGCTACCGCCCTGGCAACGACAGAGGCAGCCGACGTGAAGACGACCGTATGCGGGGCGATCGAGACACTCGCCGACGAGATCGTGACCGTGACCGCGAGAGAGACCGCCGTCCTCGAGAGCGAGATACCCAGCGTGACAGTCGCAGAGACGGTGCTCGCGATAAGGATCGACCTTCAGAGCGTGAACGCGACCGAGACCATCCCAGAGACCGCAACCGTGACCGCAAGCGCTCTCACCGTGAGCGATCTCCTCCACAAATGGAATCGACCACCAAACCCGACATGTGAAGCGTCGAGCCGATGAAGACCGTAACCGAAGCCACCGAAATGGATCAGTCCAGAAAGCTGAGCCGGAGAAAGACCCTTACACGCTAGAGCGTGAAAAGCGAAACAAAGAACGTCTCGAGCGCGAGCAACAGCACCGCAACCAGGCCAAGTCTGGTCGTCGCCGAGACAGCCGGCAAGATCGTCAGGATCGTGTGGTGGCGGGCCGCCGCATCAATTACAAATACGAGGATGAGCTCTAAGCTTTCATCTCTGGATCTGTCTCTCGTCTCTTGCGACTTGCATACACAAAAGTTCATTCGGGCTTGGGAATGGCGTCGGGACTGGTTGCTTTCTAATTTTCATGCATCTCGTGGCATTTTCCTTGAGAACCAGCTTGGTCTGAAGTAGATATGGTGACATTTGTAAGCTCTTTCGATTAGAGATCTACCTTGATGAATAAGAACACAAACGAAAATCCAATTAACGAACTTTGCTACATTTTTCAACCAACTTCTAGCGTTGTCTTGGAGAAATAATCTGTCGCTCCACATGCATGATATATAAAACAGACCACCCCTTGGCCACACCCATGCATTGAAACCAAATCAATACTATTAATACATCCAGACATGCGCAATAATTATCACCGACTGCAGTTTACACCAATAACTCCTAGAGGCTGCATGTACTGAGGTAGGGCTGAATATCTCATATTTGTGGCTATTGGACTAACATCATAACCAAATTTTGTTTGCAGTGGGCCAATGTATTGACAATTCCGCTAAAAAAAAAAGAAACAAGAAAACATATCCACACTGCACCTCATGTACGTCGAACACCGAATGATTCCAACCCGAAGCACAAGTCAGGAAGAAAGAAAAATATGTGGTCAAAGTTAGTTCATCTTACTCTTCAAGGCCTCAATCTCGGCGGTCAGTGTTTGCATTTGCAAGGCCTGGGATGCAATGGTCTTGGTCTGTTCAGCGATGAGGTTTTTGATCTCTTCGATATCGTTCTTAGGAACGGCAGCTGGGGGAGTGGAGGTTTCGGGAGCCGGGGAAGATGGAGTAGAGATCTGAGACAGTTAGTATGGGGCGCGGTAAGGGATTGATGCAGGGAATGAGGTAACGTACAGTAGTGGCGGCTTGATACTTGGTCTCAACCTCCTTAGGTCTCAACGGACTGCTAACCCGTGGTGAAGAAGTTTCAGCCACGGGAGAACGTGTGGCGCGCTCAACTGGCTTAGGAATCTCCTCGAAACTGGAGTTATCATCGTCTGAGACGTTGCCTTCTTCCTCGCCGTCGGCGAACTTGTTTACCATGGCAGCCATTGAAGCTCCCTGCTCCTTCATGGAGGGAGCTGGGCGTCCAATATGGACAGGCTCTGGGACAGGCTCGGGAGCTGCCTTGGGGGCAGCTGACTCGGGGGTCTTCTTGGGCTCGTCGACGGGCTTAAGGGGTTCGGCTGCCTTGGGGGTGGGGGTATCGATAGCGCCAGTGGGCTTATCCTCCACGCCCGATACCTCCTTGAGACCTTCACCATCGAACAGACTGGCCATAGAGATCTTAGGAGGAATTGCCTCCTTGCCACTGAGCCACTCCGACGACGACATAGCTGGGGCCAGGCCGGTGGTAGGGGGATAAATATCGTCCTGGAAGTTCTCAGACCGACGGGGAACGATGAAGGAAACCGGCTCAATGTAAGAGTCGTTCACGGTCTTATAAGCGCGAGCCACTTCGTTCTCGTGCATGTTCACACCACGCTTTGGCATGAAGGCAACTCCTCGTTGCGGGTCGCCAGACTTGTGCTCAGAGAGGAACTCGAACTTGTCGTTCTCGAGCTCGAAGTAACGGATGTTGCCGTCACCTCGTCCCGCCAGATACAAGCAGTTGGTGCCGTCATCCCAGAAGGGCATGCATACACCGGAGATAGAATCCAAGGTCTTGAACCCATTGATAGGTTCACGCACGGCACGGATATCCCAGAGCGCCAGCTGACGGTCACTCATCTTAGAGAAACCGGTGGTCGCAATGCGGTCGCGTTCTCCCAACCACACAGCACGGCTGTTCTTGGCGCCAGTGTGGCCATTGGTTTCGTGGGCCGGACGCTCCTGGCGCACATCCCAAATGCGGAGCTTCTTGTCGCGAGAAGTGGTGACCAACAAGGACCCGTTGGCACTCCATGACTGGGATTGCACGATGTCGCCGATGTTCAGGGTGAGCTTGGGCGCGCCGGCCTCGATATCCCAAATTTTCACCGTGTAGTCGCCCGAGGCCGTTGCCAGCACGTTCTCTGCCGCGGGGTTGAAGAGCACGTGGCCGATCTTCCTGCAGGGAGGGGTCAATAAAATGCCATAGTGGGATGTGCCAACGAGGATTCTCACTTAGGGTGACCGCTCAGTTTGCCAATAGGCGCGAGGTCCTTGATGTCGTCGGCATCGGCATCGGGGCGGACAGTGAAGTTCTCTGGAACCCGCCAGAGGAAAACCTACACTTGGTCAGTCGCAACGCGGATACCCGTGGCTTGTGGCACTGTACCTTTCCATCATCAGAGCCCGAGGCAATCAGATCGTCATTGAAGGGGTTCCTGCAGAGCTTCAATGAGTCGTGGACATGAATACTTGCGATTCCCACTCCTTACCAGTCGGTGTCCAATACGACCGCAGTATGACCTCGGCACAAAGGAATGCGCTCCGGGAGCTTGCCGCGTTCCTCCAGAGGAATAATCGCAAAGGCTCCACCACCACCTGCTTCCCAGTTCACGGCGATATGTTTCGGGTTGACCTAAATGCGCTGAGCGTTAGAAGAACCGCAGTCGTGAGGGGTCAGGGGTGGCGCAGAAGGCAAAACGCACCTTGAGAAGGTTGGTATCCCAGGCATTTCGCGAGACTCGAAGGTTATCATAACATTGGTCCTACAGTGAGGGTCAGAATAGGAGGACAGGGTTGGAGGTAACCGAGTCTACCTTTCTCGTCGAACGCCCGAAGACGTGGCCTGTAAATGTTAGCGAGGTGGCGCAGTTTGAGGAGGGATAGCACTTACGATATTTGGAGGAACGAACAAAACGTCCGGACATGGTCAAGAGCTCAATAGATGAGAGGTATAGAGAGAAAAGGAGGTGAAAGGGACGTTGAGAACCAAGCTCGGGATGGGACCGGGAATCCGAGTGGAGGCAACACACGCCCCACGAATGGCAACTTTAGAGGCAGAGAGCCCACCCCTAAACAACGAAACAAAGAGCGAATGCCACGAATTCCTTGAATTCCACCTGTAGAGGAATTCGCCAATTGCGAGCTTTTGTCCATATTGCGTCACGTGACTCATTGTATTACCAATACGGCTATGCTCAACCGGGACTAGCGCATTACCCGCTGAGTCAGCGTTTGTTTACCTCCGAGCTGCATCTCGTCCCTCCAGAAACCAGTTTGCGCTCGTTCGATAATCTACTTTACTCCTCAGCTTAGACCATCTTTTGGCATGCCACTGCCCGTTGATTCATCTACCACCCAGTTCCAGTCATAATAGACAGTGGCTGGACGTGAGCTGATCCTTCTTGTCCGGATACTCTACTCGCCGGTAACCTGGCGGTCTCACCCAAACATGGACGGTGAAAACATGGTAAACGCCCCCACTTCGTTTTGATCCCAAGATGTTGCATGGACATGGCTAAATCGTGCGCAGACTCAGACCAGGGCGTCTACTCGGACGCGCATCCCGCAGGGACTCCGGGAGGCCAGCTCCGCGACTACTAACTCGCGCTCCGGCATCATGCCACCAGGATCGATCGCGAGCAAGGCGATGAGCATGTCGCGTATGGAAGACACGGAGCCCATGTTACGACAAGAGCTGACAACCCCTGAAGCAACTCGTCCCAAGACAGCGAACCCAGAAACGAAGAGACCAGGCTCCGTCACCCGACAGCCCACCACCAAGGCGCATACCCGGGGCAACTCGTACGCATCATCAACCACGTCCCGATCCACCACACCTGCGTCGCGCGCCGCGAATGGTCCTTTCTCATCCACAGTCGGCCCCGGCTCCCGCCCCCCTCTGCCATGTCCCGACCCCAAGCATCCTTCAACGGGCGCAAACCTGTCGGCGCATCGATTCCGCGCGCAGCGAGCGCATTGGATACCCATATGGAAGACACCTCCCCAAGTGTACTGGGCAAACGAAAGGGTACGCGAATTTTTTCTTTCTCTCCCAGTCGAATCCCCCTTTACTCCCTTGGACCCGTCACCCCCAGATTGGAAGAGACTTGTGATGAGTTTGGGCAATCGCCCGAAACTTCTTGTCTCGAGGAGGCTGTCTTTTCTCCGAACTTAACGCATGCAATGACCATCCCCGTGGTGCGCCCTACCCCGTCTCTCAATGGACCCAGTGGGATCCCAACCCCACCTGGACTCGTGCAAGCTGTACCTCCTCCCGAATGCTTCATTGTACCTGCCAGACCTTCCAGAACCCCTTCCAGAACCCCTTCCGCTTCTTCAATGCGCTCACCCCCCAAGCCCCCACCACGACCTTTTTTGTCAAAGGGTTCCTCGACCAAAAGTTTTGACCATGTCACAGGCCCCGAATGGGATCAAGACTCCCGCGAACGCAATATGGAGGAATTGATGCAGACATTCATGACCCATATGAACCAACAAGGTCAAGCAAGTTCTGGCCTCAAGGAGACTGTTGAGGTGTACAAGACAAGGAGTAAGTCGATATGGTGGAGAGGGCGATTCGTCCGATGCTGATGGTTTGGTCCAGTCAATGAACTTGAAACTTCTCGCGATAGCCTAAAAGAAATTAACGTCACACAACGCGTGGAGCTGGAGTCTTTGCGAAATCAGTTACAAACGGCAGAGCACGTTCTGAAAGAGGCCAAGCGAGACCAAGAAATCGCAATGGACGACCTCGACCGACGCCAGCGCATTGAAATGGAATCGATCCAACAAGACAACAAGAAGGAGATGGAGGCGATCAACTCTCGACATCAAGAAGAGGTCCGTGAACTAAAAAGGCAGTTCGACCGCGAAATTGAGGATGAAAAGGCGGCCCGAGTACGAGCTCTCGGCCAGCTTACTTCCCAATCTGCCCTGGATACTCAAAAGTCGCAAATCGAATTGGAGCGCAAGGATCGGGAACTCAACACATTGAACATTGAGCTACAAGAGTTGAAGGAAGACCTAGCTCGTGAACGGAAATCTGTCCAAGACCTCAAACAAAACCTGGATATCGCAAGCAGTAACAGCGTCACACTGGAGTCGTCCATCCGGGCTCTCAAAGCACACATCGAGTTCCTTGAGGGTGGAAGAGAAGAGCAGTCTAAAGCCTTTGAACGGTCCAACCAGCAGATGATGGACGCACTTGCTGAGACAGATGCTATCAGGGAAAAGTTGCGTAGAGAGGAGACCCTGCGTCGCAAACTTCACAACCAAGTGCAGGAACTAAAAGGCAACATCCGTGTGTTCTGCCGTGTTCGTCCTTCGCTCAAGAGTGAGCCTGCTTCCCAGCTCACTCTCATGCAATACCCCGACGAAGCCGATGATGCCAAGGAGATCAATATCCTGGGGCCCGAGGAAAAGACCAGCCTTGGAATGGTCAGCCGCAAGAATAATACCTTCTCCTTTGATCGCGTGTTCAATCCAACCACCCAAAACGCCGAGGTTTTCGATGAAATCAGTCAGCTTGTCCAGAGTGCCCTTGACGGATACAATGTTTGCATTTTCTGCTATGGGCAGACTGGTAGTGGTAAGACGCACACAATGTCATCGGCTGATGGCATGATTCCCCGTGCTGTTCACCAGATCTACGAGACCGCCCAGGGCCTGGAGGAGAAGGGTTGGCGGTACTCAATGGCAGGCAACTTTGTCGAAGTTTACAACGAGAACCTCAACGATCTCCTGGGTAACCCCGATGAGTTGGACAAGAAGAAGCATGAGATCCGTCACGACATGCAGCGGGGAAAGACCACCATCACTGACATTACCACCGTCAATCTCGACTCGCCCGAGATGGTGGAGTCCATCCTCAAAAACGCTGATGCCAACCGCTCAGTGGCAGCTACCAAGGCCAACGAGCGCTCATCCCGGTCGCACTCAGTCTTCATTCTCAAGCTCACCGGTGTCAACCACATCACCGGTGAACGAAGCGAGGGCACTCTCAACTTGGTTGACTTGGCAGGAAGTGAACGCCTGAGCCACAGCGGAGCCACAGGTGAGCGCTTGAAGGAGACGCAAAACATTAACCGCAGCCTCAGTTCTCTGGGCGATGTGATTTCGGCCCTTGGCCAAGGCAAAGAGGGAGGCCACATCCCATACCGAAACAGCAAGGTACGTTTTTCCGAACTTGATACTTTTGCGGCACATATTAACTCCCTATTCAGCTTACCTACTTGCTTCAGTTCTCACTAGGTGGAAACTCCAAGACACTCATGTTCGTCATGGTCAGCCCTCTCCAGGCGCACATGTCGGAGACCTTGACCAGCTTGAAATTCGCCACCAAAGTACACAACACCCACATTGGCACTGCCAAACGACAGGCGCGCGTCCGTGACGCTTGAGCATGATGATACCTTCCCCATCCCCCTTTTGCATATATTCCGTCTTCTTTTGGGTAGGGGTCTCTCACGATCCTGTTCCCTACCCTGGCGCCTTCGTTGGGATGGTCTTTCTTTTTTTTGGGCAGCCTTTTGAGATACTCGGTCTGTCTTAGCGTGTGATTTATTGTATGGAGTGTTACATTTATTTGGTTTTTCAATGCACAGTGACTGCTTTTCAGCATATCGGTTTACATCGTAGGAGTCTCTCGGACTTTCTCCATGACGAGGCCTTTCATTATTGGGGATCACAGCGAGTGAAAATACTTGTCCGCTCCCAGCTTCACCTGATGTGCCTTCTCCTTAATAGCCGCAGTATTCAGTACACCCCGTTCACAGATAAAAGCATCTGTGCACCAAGGCGGAATCCACTCGAAGTAGATATTCTTCACTTCAACCGCGCAATTGACATCGTCTTGGTGAGTAGCCTGAAGGGCATCATCAATGGTCTGGGCTGCCTTGATACCGCCGTCTATCCAACAGCCCATCACCTCCCTAGGGCCGTTATCCTCGTAGTCCTGCACATCTCCACTGCCAGGCGCATCCACCTTTTCCAGCTCACTGAGAACCAATACCGAGGCAGATGAGACTCGCTTAACAGCTAAAACGGCTGGGTAGGATCCAACTTTATTGCAGACAGAGCCTTCCACTGAAATACGGTCGGCACCCAGCAGGAGGAAGTCCACACCTTGGCTGGCGATGGCAACCGATGCATCAGTGTAGACCGTCAGTTTCAGGTCCCGACCGGAAGAAGGAGGAAACTTGGTTTGAAATTCGGAGAGGATGGATGAAGCCATGTTGACTCCTTCGCAAAGCGGCCGGGACTCCAGAATTCGCACGTCCAAATGAGAAATGGGAAGAGTGGCAAAGGTATTGAGGATGCTGTCGCGAATGGTAGAGCTGGCTGACAGTGTGAGGATAGCTAGAGAATCCTTGTCTCCACCACGGTCAATTCTGCTAGAAAGAGAGCCTCGGAGATACTCTGCGAAAGCGTTTTTGATGCGAGCCGGCATATCTTTGCGCCTGTCCAGATGGTAGTCGATTACGCCCAGCAAGCGCTCCCATTTCACCTTGCGAGCCAAGTTCTGGTGAACAATTTCTTCCATGTCGGGCATCAAAGCTAGAAATGCGTTCAGTGTGGCTGTTCCCATGCTTTCCCGTCCACTTTTCGAGAGATGCCATGCTGCCATTCGAGCAGTCCTCCACCATTCCGTGTCAATCTTCTCTTGCATCTGGGCTATCACGTCTCGGTATACCCTGACAGCGATGGACGTTAGTTCGTGAGATCCGCTCTGGTGATCTGTCTTCAATTGCCCTAGGCCTGCTACAAGTGCTTTGCTGGCTTCTTTGTTCATGTCGCCTTCGAACCAGACTCGTCGTAGACTGTCCTTCAGTCGTGGCACACCACCAAACCGCTCACTATCTTCAACTGTCGCCGGATTGTACCACTCCCAGGTTTGATGTTCCCAGTCGATGCGAATAGCTTCCTCTCCGTGGCCTCCTTCATTTAGGGGCTTCAAACGGAATGCGAATGGACATATGGTCCATTCACGATTGACTGAGTTATCAGTGAACACATACGGGACTCCTTGTCGGCATAACTCCACCTCTCGTGAGGTCAATGTTGTTTCTTCTTCCAGCTCACGCCATGCTGCTGCAACCGGTGATTCGCCCAAGTTAAGGCTGCCAGATATGGGAGCAAGATAGTGCCTGCTGAAGTCAGAAAAACCGAGGCAGAAGGGTAAGAGAAGGCCTTGAATCGGGCTTACGCATATGTCCTGACTTTCCCGCTACGTCGAAATAGTGCAACCTGGTCTTTGGAGAAAAGAAATACAGATACCACCCGTCTCTTCTGGAGCTCGGATTGGGGTGGCATGGCGGAGAAATGGTGGGGGGTCTGCATGTAATTATAGCATCATAGAGTCACTTGACTAGATGAGGTTGTGGATATAAATTGGGCAAGTTCCTCGTGCTCATAACAAGTTATGATGCTAACTTCGGAATGCCTCCTGTTCGATGACTTGACTTGTTGCCTCTGACGTCATACTAAAGTATCAATTCTAGGTATTCACAATGCTACTCACAGGGTCTTGCTTCTGTCATAAAATTGAATACGAGCTTGAACTTGAATCCGCCGACGATGCTAGAACATCAGTCTGTCACTGCCGCAATTGCAAGGTTTGTCTACACTAGTCTTAACTTGATAACGTTAATCCTGATAATTCGAACAGAAAGCTTTCGGAACGAATTACGGCCTGACAGCAAAGGTTCCAAAAGATGCATTTCACCTTAAGGCCGGTATTCCCAAGGAGCATGCCGCGGATAATGGATCTGGGGTGGTGATCCACCGGGAGTTTTGTGATAATTGTGGAAGCTTCATCCTCGAGTATGGAGTATGTCCGATCCATAAAATATCGATATAATAGCTTACTGACATAGTTAATAGGATACTGTCAAAGACCAATTCCGATACATCTGCGTTGGCTCTCTTGATGATCCAGAAGCCTTGCCTCCCAAGGGCGAGTTCTTCTGCAAAGCTCGTGCGAGCTGGATGCCTGAGATTCCAAGTGAGTCAAGTATAGAGGGCTTTCGTGCCATAGATTGTCTGACCAGAATAGATGTATTCCACAAGCAGGAAGTGAAACAGTAGTGATATGGGAAAGGCACCAGGCATTTTGGTATTGTTTATGTGTCTATATCGACTGCCACACTTGTCAAAACCATGTCTGGCGTCAACAGCTTTTCACGAATCAAGATAGCATTCAAGAAATCATTACTATCCACACGGCAATATCCTTCCTCCAGCGTCTTCTCGATGCCTGCCCGCAAGTGGCGCTGAGCCAACCGCCCCCGTGCTTCTTGGGGATCCGTGTCAACGAAGACACGATAGTCGGCCAACTCTGCAATGTCTTGCCAACCGGGCTCATTGAGAAGTAGGTAGTTGCCCTCAAGTATGATAATGGAAGCATCCGGGGTGACGGAAATGCCATCCTCCACAGGATCTTTCGCCTCGTGATCGAATGTTGGCGCGCACAGAATATCTATATCAGACCAGGTTTCCGAGCCTGGACATGCCATGGGGGTATCATCTGCCCAGGTGCGAAGTTGACGGACGAAGGACACAAAGCGGTTGACATCGAATGTCCAAGGGGCGCCTCGACGAATGTGCGCCTCCTTGGGGTCAGGAAGCTGGTCCAAAGCTGCTCTAGATAGATGGAAGCCATCCATGGAGAGAATTACTGCCTTTGGGGTTACTTGATTCAGCTGATAGACCACTTCTTGAGCTATAGTAGTCTTCCCTGAGCCAGGGATGCCTGCGATGGCAACCAGGTAGCGCGATTTGGGATGAGCATTAGCTTGTTTGCGGATAGTTTCTGCCAATCGACTGTACTCTGATTCCATCTACACTATTAGTATGAGGATGATAAGTTGATTTGGATTGGAAGTTTACCTTGAATCAAAAGGATTTTCGATCTTTGAATCGCAAATCATAGATCCCAACCACCACAGCAGTTCAATGTATCATGCCGAGGAAAAGAAGGAGTATAGGAATATATACCTTTTGGCACTTTTTTTCAAGGGAAATTATTATGTATGAGGTGGAGGGGGTATCGGGTGACAGTGATCCGATGCAACGCAGTCTCGGTGTTGCGCCGAGTTGTAACTCAAATTGCGAACGATGCTGTAGGGGGAAATTGAAATGAGACTTGCAAGTCATAAGAGTAATTACTAGCTTGTGATGGACTTCTGAACCATTTCCACGAGTACTTTACTAGAGATGCTCTTCGGCGCAAAGCGGCGCGAAAATGCAAAAAGGGAAATCAAAATCAAAATAACGTCAGGCTTCTCGATGCTGGCTCTTAAGGTAGATTTTCATCAGTAGCAAAGCAAAACTACAAAGAATTTGAATATAAAACAAAATAACTCAACATGCTGCGCTAAACCGGTTGAGTATATCTTCATTGCTTTTGCCTGCACTCACTTCTTAAGATACACATTGCCATGAGTCTCTCGAGTGGCCAGACAGATATGATATGCATCAAACGTCAGATTGGATCGCACGTGTCGGAATGCTGTTCCGTATAAGTGGCGATAAAGAAGCATATTGAACCTTGAGGTCGACCTCAGACCGTGAGACGTCATGTTGGCCCCTGTGGGCAAGGAGTGGAATTTATGAGCATAAGATTGCTAGAAGTAAAGGGTTTTTAGCTTTAGAAACTAGTCCTAAATCACCTTCGATAAACATGGTCCACATCAGCGAGGCAATTAAGAGCGACCATGAGAAGATGCAGTCTTACTATAACACCATAGTGAGCTCGAAAACGCAGATGAGCAAACTCGTATCCAGAAGGAGTTTATCTGGGAGCTCACACGCTATGCTGTTAGCGAAGAGCTGGTAGTTTATCCCGTGATGGAAGAGTTTCTACCCGATGGAATGACGATCGCAGACAAGGATCGTCATGAACATTTCACGGTGAGCACGCCTAACTGACTAATAATTGAATATTCTGACATTGTGAACAGATTAAAAAGCGACTTGATGCCTTTCAAAGTCTGAATAGCTCTGATCCACGCTTCCTTCCTACGATCAAACGCTTGATGGATGATCTGGCCAAAAGCTTTCATGACGTAGAGACCATCGATCTGCCAAAGTTGGAGAATCACATTACTTCCGACGAAAGCGAACAGCTGGCATATTCTCTGCAACGAGCCAAGGTGTTTGTGCCATCTAACTCCCGCCCAAGTGTGCCTACCAAGCCACTCTATGAGACTGTCGCGGAGCTAATTACGGCCCCTCTTGAAAACCTCCAGGTTTTGCTCCCTACATGGTCAGAGGATGAGCCAGACCCAAAGCCTACAGAATGATCCAGGGGTCACAAACGAGAGAGCAAAGAAATGTTCAACTTTGATTTCTTCCAATCCCTCAAATACTCGGGTTTGCATGTGTATATACAAGACTTGGTTGCGATTAGGCTACTGGCCAGGATAATGCTTGTGCTGCTCCACAGGTTCCTCTATGTCTTGGTCATTATTGTAGGCATTTTGTTGAGCTCTAGTTGGGGTGAGTAAAGGGAAATTGAAAGCAGATTAAAGAATCTCACCTTGTGGAACTATCGGCTAGGCCGTTAGAGTCCCTGCTGTGTTCGCCAAAGGCACCAGAAAAATGATGGGGAGGCGGATCCCAGCCAATTTCGTTGCTAATGATGTCTATTGCATTATGCTTGGCTTCATTTGTGACCTTTGCGTAGTTTAAAATCCTGAGGATCTATTAGTTCTGTCGAGTTATATGAACACTTTCCAGTAGACTGACGCTTTATAGCCACGTATCGCGTTCACTTCATCTTCAACAGAGACCTTGGGCTTATTGTCTTCGCCCAGGTTTGACATCGTGGATTTAAATGCTAGGTGGATGTTGGAAGAAATCAATCAGTTACTATTCTTCTCCCGGGGAGCCAATATCTTTGGAGAATGGCGGGAAACAGCGGGCCACGTCACACCTTCATCACACAAGGCAAAACAACAAAAAGGAGTGAACACCCAAAATAAAGACTGATTTGGCTATTCAGAGGTCCATATAAATAATTACGAGAGGTTGTTATCCCCAGTGCGCCCGTATCCAGTATAACCATCCTGGTTCAACATCTCCAAGTCGACTTCTTCCTCTATCTTGTAGGTTCGGGTCAGGATTTTGCTTGGATGGAAGATGTTAAAGAGCAGGCAACAAATCAGCATTAACGTCGCGTCAAACACATAAATGAAGAACTCTTTGCTTTGAAGATATCCATCGCTTCCTTGGGCATATTCCGCCACTCGGTAAATGGACCGGATCATGACGAGGGTGCTAGCAATATAGAGAACCTTCATGTAACGTGTCCAAGGAACCCTGGTGTCTCCCACGACATACGATGGCGTGGCAAGCATACGGCGGTGGAAAACAAAGGAGACGACGATGAAGAATCCGAAAAATAAGATCTGCACGAAGAGTCCTACAACAATCATGTTGTTTCCCAGGTTGACCTTCGACTTGTCTTTCGCTGTAGCAAGAATGCCACCACCTATCAAATAATGTTCATAAGCATTCCAAATTCCAGTTTAGAACTGAATCACTCGGCTTACCTCCACTCTGGATAAAGAACGACAGCACGTCACCCGCCACAAATATCTTAGTCAACCATGATGGTCTCACCAGCGAACACGAAGCCCCGTTCAAAAGATGAATGATACGTCCAAGAATCATGTATATAGAGGCTGCGAAGAAGGCGGGTGCCAACAGAAGCATCAGGCTTTGTGCTATATATGGTTTGGTCGTCCAATTCGGGCTTTCTTCTGCACTGACGAACCTCGCGACGTATCCGCATGCCTCAACTAAAGCCCATATCAATCAGCATGTACTAGAGAAGAAGGAATGAAGTGCTGGTAGAATGGATCATACAGAGGCCACCGATAAGAAATGGTATGAAGTACCACGATTTATTTCGACCTAATTGCCACAAATGTACCACTGTGCTCAGGCCAAAAATAGCTGCAAATGGAATAGCTGCCCCAGATGAGGGGTTGTAGTGGTATAGCTTGAATCCTTCGGTCATCTTAAACGAGTGAGGTGAGTAAGGCAAACAAAAAGCTCAAAAGATTGGCGACGCTGGTTGGATGTGAAAAGGAATGGAAGGAGAATGGAAGGCAACCCCGACTTTTCTACTCGTGGACACTCACACTAAGGATTGGTTTCTTCTGTTTGTTTAAATATATACAGCAGATACTGTAACATTGCATCTGCCTTGGAAATGGGGGAACATTAGAAAGGTGCGGATAGGCTTCACTCCACAACCAGGGACCAGGCTTTAAGTCCTGAACACTAGTCTTCTTTGGTGTAAGGATACGAATTCTGATGTGGCACAGTCAAACTAGCTGCAGCTTGTTGCCCCTCTTCGATTGCAATGATCTATCCAATAAGCCTGGGTTTCCAGGATCATTATCCACTAGAATATCTTCTAGATCCTGGAAGTGGAAAACATCACGAATACGAGGACCCAGTCGCGAATAGTGCCCCTGGCCAATTTTTGTTCTTCGATTAAAATTTCTGTCCGACTTTCCTATAATAGAACACAGAACGAAATACGATAGAATTGTCTATCTGTAGGACATAGATTCACGTACCCCAAATCAGGCTGCGAGGATAACGATTTGCCCCAGTTCAGCTGTATAAATGCCTCTCAATAACCTATAGTGCTAAACTATTTCCCCTTTTCCCCATCTGAGCTCTACCTATAATTTTGAAAATGACTTGGACTTTTTATTACTATACCCCATCCAGCCCAGGTGCGGGTATATTTGTTGGGCTGCTCGGCATGAGCACCCTCCTACACTTCTACCAATTGGTGCGAACGCGCTCATGGTTTATGATCCCCTTCCTGATCGGAGGTATCCGTAAGTCCATATAGTCGGGAGCCTCCGTTGTTTTGATTTTCACCTCTCATGTCGCTTTTCGTTCTTTAGTCGAAACGATCGGTTATGTCGGCCGTCTGCTGTCGTCAATTGAGGCCCCGGAGTACACGAAGGGGCCATATATCATGCAAAGCGCTCTCATCCTGATTGCACCTGCTTTCCTGGCAGCAAGTATCTATATGACACTCGGAAGAATTATATTCATGCTCAATGGAGAGAATTTCTCGTTGATCAGGCTGAAATGGTTGACCAAAATATTTGTGACGGGTGATGTCTTGTCTTTCTTGATGCAAGCTTCCGGTATGTCAATTTCCCCAAGGCGTTGACCTCGGCTAATCACTGAGTCAACAGGGGCTGGAATTATGGTGAAAGACACAACAAATCCATCCACTGGCGAACGCATCATCATCGGAGGACTTTTAGTGCAGATCATCTTTTTTGGGTTCTTCATGATTACTGCCTTAGTATTCCAGTCACGCATCGTGAGCAATTCGACGGGAATGTCTAACGAGCTGTTAAGCCTGTGGCGTCGGCACCTAACTGCCCTGTATATCACCAGTGTTCTAATTCTGGTTCGATCGATTGTTCGCGTTGTGGAGTACATCCAGGGTTATGACGGATATCTGATGAAACAAGAAGTTTTCATTTATGTCTTCGATGGGCTCCTGATGCTGGTGGCAATGCTGGTTCTCCAATACATCCACCCAAGTGAGATCAATTGTCTTATTGGTCGTGGGGATCGGTACTCAGAGAAGGTTTTCAAGACGCGCAAATTCGTGCCCGAATCAGCATTGGAGATGAGTGGAGCCATGGAGGTGTAGCGCGTGATGGCGGTCGTTCAAAATAAGCCATTCATGATAGCAAGACTGTGTAATGAATAAATCTGTAACTCAATTTCTTGAAAATGTTGCTCTTAAATCTCCATCGGCAGTGGAATCGATTGATTGTTTTGCGGCCGCCCAACTTGCTCGTTTGGCCACTCGATATGGGGTTGCCAGTCAGGGGTCAAGGAATTTCTGATCTCTTCTAAAACCACACAGCCCCAAGGCCCCACACACCAGTTCTCGCGGGCCATGTGCAAGAATCCGCAGTAATGGGCTAGCACCACGAGGGAAAAGGGTACTCTGTTGTCTAGATCATTGAGATACTCTGCTGGTGCTCGAATAGCCCAGCCTGCAGCAAGAGTCATTGAGCTGGGTTGTGCCAAAGTGAAAGTCACAAGTTCTCGCAGATCTTTGAGCACTCGCTCGTATGTTGAACAATTGTGATGGACAGATTGCTGGCCGCACTGAGCGTTAAGTTCAGAAAGACGATCGAACGCAGTTAGGACATGATCAGGAAAACAGACTTCTGGTGGCGTTACGTCGAAGAGGGGCGCAAGATTGCTCTGGAGTAGGAATTCGATCTCTTTGTTAGCGACTGCCTGGACTCCGCGCGAGAGATTAAAGATTTCAATCAAAGAATTGAGGCTTGGGCCTTCGGCAGCCCCAGAGGTAAGTACACTCCCTAGTCCAAAGGCCACTACCAACCCAGCAAAACTCATCATTGCTTTGACGTTGGAATGGTCAATATTGGAAAGTTGCTCGGAGAACATGGATAGGGCAATGTTTTTGTGTGAAATTGCAACGCTCAGCCACTTGGATTGGCTTTCAGGCTCGCGGAGTCTTGACAAATGTAGTGCGGATAGGCCCAAAATTCCATGCATCAGAAAAGGTGCCTTGAGAGCTTCTTGCAATACCACTAGCTCCCAGACCTTGCGGGTCGCCTCGCTGCGAGCTAGAAGTTTATGCGTATGCATGATCCACTGTAGCTCAAGTTCTAGCTGCTCCATGTTCAGCCCAGGGGTGCGTGCAGCTGCCTCTGTGGCCTCGAAATGATCGAAAACACCCAAGGTGTCCCTGTTGGAGGGAGATGTCACATTGTCTGCCGAGGTCTGCCTCGTGCGTCGAGGCCTTCGGGGTTGCTTTCCCGTGAAGAAGTAAAGTCCCTCAGCGTTGTACACACATTCGTCCTGTCGCTGGCTACAGGTAGTACAACTCGGGTGTTGCTCATCACACTGTGATTGAGAGTCAGGAAATAGATACTAGGGGAGCGTTTTGCGTGGTACCTTAACTCTCCTCCGCTTACAATTGGTACACCCATGACGGGATTTAGTATGCGAGCGTCTGAAGACCATTGTCGATCATCCCGACGACAAGTATAGAAATGGAATCAAACAAGGCGAAGACGTCCATCAGGTGCAGGGTGATGTGTCAGCTTAGTCACGTGCTTCTAATTCTAAGAGAACCATGGAACGCTCGTCAGAATGTGGTCTAGCGCAAGATCTTATAGATCACAGCCCTCCAAGGCTGGAGGTGCCCAACTCCAAACAGAGTCGCTGTATGTCATTATGGGACTTGGGAAGTTCAAAATAAAGACACTGGTGTTTCATATTCGTCATTGATTGCCATCGTTCATGCAACCCATACTCTCCGGGTATGGAAGAGACCACACTAATTCCTTGTCTCCCTTTCGCAAATTTGTGTAAAGTTGACACTTCTCGTCTCATTTAATCATATAGAATAATAATAAACAGAGACAGCTCCAGGATATATGAAGGATGATTTGTAGCGAGTCCATGGTTGATGCCTCTGAAATTTCAGTCCTTGTTTGTGAAATATATACATTTTAACTCTACTATAGATGAGAATACGCAAGAACGCAAAGGGAGTAAGTTAGCAGCTTGGGATGAACACGCGAAATTCATAAAATTGAAGCCCACGGTTATATTTGTTTCAATTTAGCGAATATTCCCTGAAAATTCTATTGTCTCACCCTTGCATTCCATGTGAAGTCATGACGGGGATCCTCGTGCTTTTGTCTTATCCTTGGGATACTCCTAAGTGGGACTGGACGCGCCCAGACTCAAGAAAGTAAGGAAAGCCAGCAATTAGGGCGGTTAGTGGATAGTAAGGCAAACATCTCCAGACAGACAATGCGGTCGCGTCTCCACAACAACATTGAAAGAATGTCGCATACTCTACAGTCGACATCGTACATACCTTTGGAGAAGAGATGCTGTGATTTTCTGACTTGGACCTCATGCTCCCCTATTTCACTCGCTGTCGCCAATGTTTCCCTGTTTCACCGGTCGTTTGGGGTGCGCCATAGCGCGGGATACACGTTTCAGGTTGACACCCTCAGCATTAACCGCCGAGATAGTGACCAGTCCGCAAGTTGCGTTGGTCTATCCCCCTGAAGAATGGATCATCACTAGTCGCGGTGGATTTCGACTTCTGGGCTAGAGCCCCGTACTGGGTCTTTCTGTGCATGTAACCTATCCCGGGCCTCCGCACGATACAACAGTGAAGTGGTCAGGCACTGAGCCACTCTGACTGGACGGAAGAATGGATCCTCAATGGACTTTTCTCTATTGAGGAATTAAATAGATGGACACCTGCGGCTGGGCAATAATAGATATTTGGCTCAAATTCCTGTTGTTCTGCGAACACGTTCGACACACTCACATTCCTTTCTCCTTGTTGACAATCTGGATTGTCTGCCTTTCTCTTAGTCTCTTTTCGTTCAATTACTGTCTTTCTCTTCTGGTTTCTCATCTTCATCTTCTAGATCAAAGTCAATTTCGGACCTTGTTCGTTGCAAGCCCATCAAGATGGTTCCCTCACGTTCATTGAGCGCTGGTTCGCTGATGCTCGCTTTATTGTCTTCCCCTGTAGCCGCCACAAGTTACTCCCTTGTGGAGACTTGGCAGGGGAAGAATTTCCTGGACTATTTCAACTTCCACACCGGAGCCGACCCGACGAACGGCTATGTGAACTATCTCGACAAGCAGAGTGCCGAGAGTGCAGGCCTTGTTAAGGTGACCGATAGCGGCAGTGTATATCTTGGGGTTGATCATAAGACCAAGCTGGACCCGAATGGCAAGGGGCGTGATTCAGTCCGCATTGGAAGTAAGAAGTACTATGACCAGTCTTTGGTCATTGCGGATATTGCCCACATGCCCGGGAGCGTCTGCGGTACATGGCCTGCTTTCTGGTCTACTGGCAAGAACTGGCCCGGGGATGGAGAGATTGATATCATTGAGGGGGTGAACCTTCAAGATCACAACGAGATCGTCATGCACACTGCTGGTACATGCAGCTTGACGGACACAGATATGACTGGTGTTGTCAATGCCACTGGGTGTGGTGAGGACTTGGGAACTGTTGGCTGCGTGATCGAAGGCCACAAGGGCAGTTACGGCACATCGTTCAACGGTCAGGGAGGTGGTGTGTATGCCATGCAGTGGACCGATAAATTCCTCAAGATTTGGTATTTCCCCCGGAGCTCGATCCCGGCCTCCATCACTAGCGGCAAGCCGGATGTCACCAAATTCGGCACCCCCATGGCCTTGGTGGAGGAATCATGCGATGTTGCGAACGCCTTCAAGTCTCAGTCCTTTGTGTTTGATGTTACTTTCTGTGGTGACTGGGCTGGCGGTGTCTTCGGCGGCTCAGGTTGCCCTATGACCGATTCAGATTCCTTCCAAAGCTGCCACAACTTTGTCGCCAACCATCCTGCCCAGTTTGAGCAGTCTTACTGGGAAATCAACTCGGTCAAGATCTATCAAACTGGTGTAAAGGGAACTGCAGTGGATTCCTCCCAGTCCTCCAAGTCCGCGGCCCCCGTCACTTCCTCGGCTCCCGAGACTCAGGCAATGGAGAGTCATGCTGTTGCTGCCACTACCGAGGCTGCTACTATTATCTCCCATGCTACCGCTCAAAACCAGGCCACTGCAGTGCACTCGTCGGCTTTGACTGACGGAACAGACGCTGTTGGGAGCATCCAGGCGCTGAACCCTACTGCTGCTGCTCCCGCTGCCGCTCCTGAAAACACCGCTACTCAGGGGATCCAGCAATCTCCTGCCACCAAGAAAACCCGGACTGTCACCGCGTTTGTCACTTCAACGAAGACTATCTGCCCCGAAGCTGAGAAATCTTCTTCTCTTGCGGCTTTCTGGGCCGCAACCCCAATAGTATCTCATCCTGTTGTGCCATTTACTGAGATTCCCGGTAGCAGCCAGAATGCCAAAGAACCCACCTCTGCAGCTGAAGTTGTTCCTCAATCCGCCCCCGCATCACAGGCAATCCCATTCGGTCAAACCCAGCCCTCTGTCGAGACGGGTGTCTCTGCCCAAACCAGCCCGATTGCTGCAGCACACGACAACGCACCTTCTCCCACCCCGGTATACTCAGCCTCCAGAGCTGCTCCCTCAGGTCCTGCCCCTGCTGGAACCCCCGGCGTCGATCTATTCGGTGCTTCCTGGCTGGGTCCCTCAGCTGCAGCATCTGCTGCCCCATCTGATGTTGCATCTCAGCCTTCCAGGGCTCTCATCCCTGCACCAACTGATGTCTCCCCTGAAACTGCCGCCACCTCTTCCTCTGGTAACTTCGTTACTAGCGAGTCTACAACCGGAGCTGTCCCTGTTTTCACCGGTGCTGCTCACAAGATGTCACTGAGCTCCTCTGTAGTTCTATGTGCTCTGATTGCCTTTGCGCTCTAATTGTTTGCAATTGGGTTTGTTTGAAATTGACGGTGGATCTTCTCTCGTTTATTGTATAGTAGTAGGCCTTAGATTTGGCCCTAGGCGGCTTTGGGCACTTATTCGATCAAGTCTGTCTATTTCTCTTGAAGCGCACTTCTTTATTTGTTCACTCAGCTCGCAGTGGAATATTTAACTGGCTAATGAAAAGTTCGAGTCTCCATAAATTTGTGACAGTCTATTACCTTACTCCTAATATTTGGACCTGCGTCCATTCACACAACTTCAACATCAAGTTGAACTTGCAAATGTTGGTCAGCTCTTGACTGATGTCCACCTTGTCAACCAGTCCCGGGCATAGCACCTGAGAATCCCATCATCAACAATCCTCAGTCGCCCATTTCGCAGAGTCACGCTACCCCTTTCAGCTCTTTCTGTGATAAATATCTTTGATTTGCTTGCCCCAAAAGATGATTGTCCTCCATGCATTTGCTCATAATGATGAATAAGATTGACTGCTGGATTGGCACGCTCTTCACCCCTTGTCTCAACTCTCACGAAGCCTGTGCGACCATTCCTCGAAAGGTAGCGTATCAAACTCGAACCTACTTTGTTTAAGCGTGTCCAGTAGAGATGACCAAGGGAATGAGCGCGAATGGCACAAATTGTAATAGAATCATCCCTATTTGCAGCAGATGAACATGATCCCTGACTGTCTTGCATTCCAGCTGGCGAAGAGCATGTCTTGGCTAACTCGAGTATAGTGCAGGCAAGCGTGTCTACCGGGAGCCAGGAACATGCCTGAGCTAGATCTGGCAGCGCCCTGATGGTGAGTGCCGATCGGATCATCAACCGTAGAGCTTCGGAGCCATTCCACAGGCCTTTCTTGGAGTGACCCGAGACCTGTCCAATCCGAAGTGAATATGCTCTTGCGCAAGACTGGCGTGCATTATTCACGATACGCTCTCCGACAAGCTTGGACTGTCCATATCCCATGAGAGCACAACCCAATGCAATTGGCTTCTCGGGTATCTCATCAGAGGGTGAACTTAGTGCACTGAGGAGCAGAATATCATCACTGCCGGCTCGCGTCTATGAACCGAGAGTGAGAACTGAATCAGGTTGTAAAGTCCCTGGATATGGGGCTCAAATTCTGTTAGAGGGAGATTGAACTTGACGGGCCATGCAGTGTGAATAATTAGAGAAACCGAGTCGAGCATGTGCTAATTATGTCTTCTTCCAAAGTGAGGCCAAAATCGGGCTTATCGAGACAGCTGTCGAAGGCGACGATCTTCTTTATCTGCTCGGGGTCGACATATAGATCCTTTTCAGCCAGGTTGTTGATTACTGCGTCCTGCGACGATGCGCGCCTTGTGAGGCAATAAATTGTCGACACAGAATCATCATTTAATAGCTCGGACACTACATGCGCACCAATTGAACCGGTTGCTCCGGTTAGAACCTTTTATCTTGTCAAATTAATGTTCAGATGAATGACAAGTTATGTTCTTACCACACTGGTTGTATTTGGATATACGTCTTGTCGATGCGCATGTCGTCGGAACACGGAATATTTATCGATCAAGTCTGTCATCACCGATATGGCATTATGGTTGCTTGCAACTCTATCTCCCTTTTGCAAGGCACAAATATGTTGAGCCAATCGTGATATGCTCCCTGCCTCGAATATGACATTTTGAGTGGGAATATGGCTGTGTTGAAATTTGAAATGGTGAAGAATCAGACACCGGAAGTGAATCACCTTTAAAGCTATCAACTCCCTCCCTGATAGTACTTAAGGAGCCAGCCTGCGTCTGATCACCGCGTTGGACACCCATTGTGAAATGCCCGCGGGGATTTTATGAAACTATGAGAAGGGTGGCACGGCAGCCTCGGACTTGGAGTATGATATAAAGTCGATTACTATTTAAGCGTCCACGGCCAAGCCACTGGGTATGGATTGATCTCTCGCCTGCACCGACTGCATTCGGGGTACCCGGAAGGATGTCCTTCCGCATGTGGAGATAGATATACATTTCGCACGACATTAACCCATTGGTAGACTCAGTTGTAACTGTCTGTAGGTGCCGAGAAGGCTCCGCTATTGAAATATACCTGCAAGACCAGTGCTTATCAATTTTCTGTTTGATTGAGAGAAGATCCTGATAGGAAATATCCCTACGCAAGCACTCGATGCAGCACAAATCTAATGCTGACAGATCGGCTGGCTGAAGTTTCCTTCTTTTTCACGTCTTTCTACCCTGTCTGATAGTCGGAGTGAAAGAAACATTGTCTCTTCTTTCATACTCATATCCCACAGCACTCTTCGAAGATGTCTCGAAAATCTAATCCCAAGACATTCACTGTTTAAATTTAGTCGCATGCATCTGTAGAATTGAAATCGTATCCAGTGGGAATTGTTACACTGCGGAGCTGCCTGAGATGCCTGAGCCCGTCGGCATTAAAATCCCGTTGCTCAACCCGCCTACTTCCCTTTATGGTGGCGTGGTACATGAAATTTTACCTACTAATTGATCCACGATATCACCGTCGGCGACATCGTCTCTAATACCCCGTGGGTGTGACCAGGTGTGGATATCAGCGTTAGCTGGGTGACGTCTGTGCAGACTGCGTGTGTACGCTCTCCAATACGCTCCGACTAACTGTTGGCGACTGGCTGTGGCTTGGAAACCACTCAGCTGTCTCCGTTTCCATCCCAACACTTCAAGGATTACGAGACTAGTGCTACATTGAGACTTACCGGGTACACAGCAAACGTTAACTGTGCAGGCCCAGCCTCAATATCTGCCGCAAATATACATCTCCGTTTATTGTCAAAAGGACAGAGACAAAAGCAGGATATCACCTCAAAAATGGCGTATGGGGTAAATGGGCTTAGTATTCGGCATTCAAGATGTTTTTCAAGACGGGTGCTGAACCTGTGGATCTGCATCGTTCCACCTTGGAGATCTGGGGGAATAGGACCGCATCGGAATGCTGCCCTATGAAGCCGATATATACCTTTCAATCGCGATTGTTCTCGGCAAACGGTCCAGCGGAATCCCTTGCCCTATCTCCTATGGAATGCTGACTGTTCGATCGGGCCATGGTATGCCGATAAATCCAACCCTTTTTTTATATAGGCTCTCTAAAGTTCCGGGAAGAGGCCTAGACTGCATTCCTGGATTGCAGAACGGTCCAGGGTTGGCCAGTGGGCCTTGGACGAAAGGGTGTATTGATCCAGCATAGTTGTGCCCTATACGCTTAACGCCCCGTCTTTTCTAGTTCATTCCGCCAATCTGAAACATCTATCAATCCCGTCGGGGAGTGCTTCCGTGACTGTATGCAGGCAGTCGAGACGAACCATCGCCTAGGGGGACATCCTTACGGGGTAGTGGGCATGAATAGAGGTTGGTCATGTTACCGAGAGCACACAAGACACTGGTTTTGGTGGATGCGACAAGGGTTTCATTAATTTCCTAAACATGCCAGAATAACGCCTTAAATACACATGCAGCGACGCAGGATGATTTTGCTTCAATCCTATGAGACTGAATCGGATCGCTATTGGATCTTCTCTCCAAGGAATTGCAGAACCCTCTGCCATGATTGACTGGCTCGCATAGCATGCTCATCTGGAATGACCAGGTTGTCCTCTCCGGTTGTCCGTGAGAAGACCTCCATGCTGACCCACCCAGTATAGCCCAGGCGTGTGATACAGGCATCTGTGACCTTGCGGATCGGAAGATATCCACCGCGCTCCTCCTCGCATGGGAACAGCCGAGCATTCCGCGACCAGGCTAGCAGCGTGGGCAAGCCTGGAGCATGGAGGAATGGCATCTGCGGGTCGACCCGCTCGCCGTCGGCAAGCTGGACCATCAGGACCCGGCTCGGATCGATTTCCTGTACGAGTCGATCCATCGAGTCCTGCAAATCCTTGTCGGCGCTTGCAGGCAGCCGCCCTGTTGGGTCGGTGGGGTCGGCCCACAACCGGGCTGCAATGTTGAATGTGTCCAAGCATATGCCTAGATTGGGCCGATTAGCCCGCTTGATCACATCCCAGGAATCCTCCCAGGTGTTGATGTATGTGCCCCAAGCCAGTGCTTCGTACGCGATGCGTATTGGGAATGCCACATCGGCGGCCTCGGCCAAGTCGGCGGCAAGCCGGTCTCGGTCATCTGTGATTTCGGAGGGATCGAGGAATGACGAAGGGATCAGAATGAAAAGGGAGTCTCCGAGGATTCTCGTCAATTGCACCCAGTGCTTGAGTTCGTCAATCCGCTCTGCATGGCGAATAGGGTCGATCAAGCCTTCGTAGTGCCGGAAGGGTTGGAGGGCTAAAACTCGCAAATGGCGCTCAGCACATAGATCTCGGATGGCGTGTGCTGCGTCGATCTCGTAGTCTCGGGCAGTGCGGGGCGAGCTGTCATTCAACTGGAGCGTCTTGGCAAGCTGTGCGAGATCATCGTGAAACAGTTCGAGTCCTTGTTGACCATTGCGGGCAGCGGCATCGAGCTTGGCGGTGAGCGGGTGTAAATGCGCAGCTCCCAAGCTCACAGTGGCAATGGCCGGCTTCCATGGCAGATCAAGCTCAGAGATAGGGGGACTGGGAAGGGAATGCATCGGTAAAATGATGTATATTTCACATGGGACTAGCAGCCACTAGTAACACCTTTTATAGAACAAACCAGATCTCACCTCACCGGGACGCCTTTGTTTCCGTGCTGATCGTATGTACTTTCAGGGATTTCGCTTTCAAGTCATAAAAAGTGGGTAAATGTAAACCACTCTGAGATCGTCCGGATTGAAATTGCACACCGTATGCCAAGCCTGTACACCCTGCGGTTGATCTCGGCGATCGCCTCAACTGCCGTTGATGCGGTCCTAAGCTGACGTCTGATATCGCCTGAATTGTGGCTGTTTCTGGGAAAGACCGATGCATGGAGAATGGAGAAATACCATCAGTGATAGGAATCAATGTCACAATGTCACAGTAACTCGAACAAACGGAAATATAAGATGGAATTGTTCCATCACCCCAGCCTGTGCTACACCAAGAAGCAATTGCACCGACCTTCCAAGATGACGATCGTCACGTCCCTGTATTCTTTAGTCAACCGCATCGGCGCGATGGCCTTGAAAGAAGCTTCAGAGCCGTTTCCACAAGCCCACTTTGAACTGCTGCAAATGGTCGACCAGCTTAGGTCGGCAGTGGAAACTCCGACAGAGACCGTTTTGCGTCTTATCTACCAGGTAAATATGTTCCACCGAGGTCGACTTGTCATTCTGATCGAAGATAGTCTCCGCAAAATGCTGCGCTGCGCACCGTGGTTGAGTTGGGTATCTTCGCCGTGCTGGTGGAGAAGCGGCAGAGAGAGACGGGAGTCTCTGCCACTCAACTGGCCGAATATACGGGCGCAGAGCCTAATTTGATTGGTATTTTCTACACACCCTCGCAGGTGGCGTGGACCGGCCACTTCTGTGAATAGTCCGTTTGATGCGTGTCATGACATCGCTCGGGCTTGGTTCCTTAACCTCGGAGGCCTATGTTGCCAATGAGAAGACCGTGGCGCTCACCCAGCCTATTGGCAGAGATGGGTGGCATCCCATGCATGTAAGCTGGTGGTAATTCTATCTTTTCTTTTTCCATATACTCAGTGAAGAAATAGATATGATCTCACGGTTCCAACCCTAAGCAAATTGCCCGAGTACCTCCGATCCCATGATTATGCCAACCCCCAGGACTATACTCATTCACCTATGCAATGGGCGGTTGGCCAGAGTCAGTTTGAGTGGCTGGCGAGTAACCAACAGCAGCAAGCGATCTTCAACTACTACATGGCTAGCCGTCGCGAGGGCAGACCGATGTGGTTCAACACATACCCTGTTGAGCGACTGCTTGGCCGTGCGGTGCCATTTGAAGACACTGTGTTCCTGGTCGATATCGGGGGAAACCTGGGTCATGATTTATGCAAATTCCGGAGAGAATATGGTCATTTTCCGGGAAAACTGATCCTGCAAGACTTGCCCAGTGTGATCCAAGGGGTGTCCAGTCGAGACGCTGGGATTGAGGTGATGGGATCCAACTTCCTGGATCCTCAACCTGTCAAAGGAGCGCAGGTGTACTACTTTCGGGCCATTTTCCACGACTGGCCCGACGAAATTTGCCAGCAAATCCTGCGTTACACCGTGTCGGCTATGGCCCAGGACTATTCGCGCATTCTCATAGTGGACTTTGTTTTGTCCGACACTAAAACCCCTCTGATGCAGGCTTCGTTGGATATCCAGATGATGAGTATTGGAGCTGGGGTCGAAAAATCGGAGGGACAATGGAGAGATCTGCTGCACAGCGCTGGGCTGGAAATTGCTGGCATTTGGAACCAGAGCCCAGGGATGGAGTCGGTGAAATTGAAGCTGTTCCAGTTAGGACGTAGGATAGGGTCAAGTAGTGTAAGGAAGAGAAGACAAGTTGGAGGAAAGGGCAGCAATTTATGTACAGAGTACAATCAACTCAAATATTTTGCGCCTGCGAGGGCTGTGCAGCGGAAATATAATACTATCGGTGATGGTATAGTTGCTTTTCCAATGCATCTCGATACCTCTCTTTCTCATCAGTCCTCCGGCCAAAACCAGCATGGAAGTCTGTGGTGTCTTGTAATCGGTTCCCTTAGGGTTGAACAGTCGCCCAAATAGTATGGCGATCTGGGAGGTCACAATGGCATCCGCGTTTTTACCCTCTCTCATGAGTCTAAGAACAACCTCAGCAAGACTAGCGATGCGTGCCTCAACAACCTGTGTGCAGTTATTCCCCAGGACTTCATTCAACATAAGAACGTTGCTCATGAGGCATAAGATAAGTCTCCGCTAAGGGATAACTTAGCTTAACTTAACTCTCTGTTTAATACATGTATTATTCCCATGACATCGCCGGTATACAGGATAATGAAGCCAATCCCCAAACTCGCGATATTGTCGTAAAGTTTGTGCCGGAGTAGTGGCTCCATTTCGTTACCAGACTGATGAAATGAAACGACTTCAATCGTCTTTTTCGAATGTCGCTTCAGGAGAATCGTCCGGTGGATCAGCATTGGAACTGCCAACAATTGGCACAATTGGCAGAGTTACAGGCAGCGGGTCATCACATTCCAGGATGGAATTCTCCATTTCGTGCTCGCTTCGCGCAAAAGGTTGGTATTGTCAGGGTCGCAGAGGGTCTAAGCGAGTGGACCCTCCGCGCCTTGAAGGTTGAGCATTGGCGCTTTCTGGTGGAAGACATTTATAGGGCCACCTTGAAGGCCCTTTGTACAGGAACTGGGCTTGCGGGATGTTGTGTCCTTCTTTTTCGCCGCTTTTTTGTTAGCCTGCTTGTATGATTAGCAAAAGGAGGCGATTGGAAAGGGATTTCTGGGTCCCATCGGCATATGGAGCCACCGTCAGTAGAACCAGATCCGCTGTGCTTGCGTTTCACTCCATCCGGGGAAGCTGAGTTACCGGGCACATTGTGGGAAGCCGATATCAGCATTGGTTGTAAACATGTGTCATGGCCATCAGTAGTGGCTCACCGGAGACACATCCATGCCGATGCGGTTGGATAGAGATGGTAGAGGGTAAGATTGAGGTCGAATCGGAACGCAAACTTCAGAGGCTGAATAGAGTCCACCTAGATATTGAGAATGGGTTAGTAAAGTGAGGCGAAGAAAGCGAAACTGCATCTGAAAATAAAGTGGCGAAACCTTAGTTCTAAGGATAATTCTGGGGACAGTCTAAGGATAGTTCTAAGGATAGTTCGATCTGGAACTAAGTAGCTAGAGAGGGGGATTTAGGATAGCAATATATAGGGAATGCACTGAAACGATACTCACTTCGTAGGATGGCTAGATCTTAGATTTAAATGGTTGACTAGGAGGATCAGGGTTAGTAACGTATTGAGAATGCGCTCAAGGAAAGCCCACGGGGGAAGAAAAGGATCGTTAGTTTTGAGGATAGCCAGGATCTAGACTAAGTAGCTGGACAGGGAAATTCGGGACAGCAATGTATGGGGAATTCACTAAAAGAAAGCGCACGGGAAAGGAAAATGATTCTCACTTGTGACGAAAGCCGGAGATTGGTGTGGTGGAGGCGTCAAAGCTGTGGGAAGAAGTAATCAAAGGTCAGATCCGGGCTCATGCAAGATATATGCTTCAGGGGGAGTATAGGAGGATCCAACCTTGCAATGCTTTGGCTTAGTAGAGCGGATGGAGAGAACGTGGAGGAAGAAAAGATCATGGGTGCCCAATTCAACTCCTCAGCGGTGACTGCCGTTCTGTTGGGAGCGTATAAGACCTTCCAGAGCACTGGAGATGCCGTGGCGTGGCGCGTGAATGCCCTGGGAAAGCCAGCAATGACCCAGCTCGCTATGGACCGGGGCCTTTGCATAGGCTCCTTGTGTATCGCCATCCAAACAGTGCTGGCGGTCACTCTCCATCAGTTACCACGACTCCACCAACGGTAGGAATTTACCCGACCCGGAGAAGCCTCAGGCTGAAGTGAAAAATTGATGCCGAGTCGTGTTGTGAGCCCCGGAGGATTCGAACTTTCACCTATGCAATTGAAGAAGTAACGAACAATGATAGTCTTCCGCTCCGAGCAAGCCGATTTCATTCGCTTGTAGAACATGACTACGTATATATACACAGCAGGAGATCTGCCTGTAGACTCGAGACCCGATCAGATCCATTATCTTACCGAACGCATTTCTTCAGCACCGCGGTCTCCAACAGAAGCTTGGTGTATTGACGGTGTGCCCAAGCCACCTTGTCATCCATTGGCGCAGCTTCAGCCTTGCCAAGACCCTGGTAGAAACAACTCTTGAGGGAGAACTCTGCCACACCCTGCTCCTGCTTGACAACGGCACCAATCTCGAAGAGTCCATCGGAAGGACGAACATCACGGATGCGAGGGGAGGCACCGCAGCGGACAGTGATGCGGTCCTCGGTCTTCTCGACCACTTCGAAGTGATCGGTGATGAGGGTACCGACCTCGTAGTTGCTGGAGAGGAGGTCCGATCGCTTCCAGAGGTGGTCGGCAGTCTCGGGGCCACGGTACTTTTGATCCAGGTAGGCGCGTTGGGGAATGTATCCTATGCAAAATCGAGTCAGAATTTATTCAACAGAAGCTCCAGGGCTTCGATCGGGGCTTACCCATGCCACCCCAGACACCAGCGCAGAAGGCCTCCACCAGCTTGCCCTTGTTCTCTAACAGCTCCGGTTTGATTTTGTCGAGGGGAATGCGGCGGACACAGACATCGTGCAGGGTAGGATTGCGATTGGGGTTAAACTTCTTGAAAAAGGCCGATTGGAAGATTGGATCAGAGGTGTCCATGGGCTCGAACACGTCATTGCGCGTGGCACCCCAGAATACACCGACCGAGGCGACAGTACCTGCGGCGGAAACCTTCAATAGGCGGCTGAAAAGACCCATGGTGTTAGACTATGAGGAGGGGCAGAGAGGGCAGAGAGGGCAGAGAGGAAGTACTGTGTAGCTCGGAGAGCTCGGGGAGCTCTCCGAGTCTTGGCGGCGGAAACTGACTCCCGCGTCAACTTTGCATTCTACGGAGTACAGCAAGCTAACATTTTAGCTTGGGAGAGTCCAAGTTGAGGTATCTAAGATATTACAGATATCTCAGATATCTCAATTGAACTGCTGAGGTGGCTTAACGCCGGCCTTCCCCACAAACTCGGCTTGACCAATCCATTGGCCTCCATTTGGCCTCAGTCGACCACTAATCATCTGCTATGCCTCGACATGTTCTGACATTCAAAAATGACGACAAATTCGGAAATTCCGACTGATCGACAAGATGGTTGAAGGACTGCGGTATCTGAACCTCCCGACCTCTTTCACGAGGTAGTATCCAAAAGATTGAATCTACGCATCTGTGCCAAACCGAAACCGAGCATGATGTTATCCCGGGCATGATACTGGTGGCTTCAGACCACACGCTAGCTGATATCGAGTCCCAACATCTCCACTCGGAATTGCCGACTATGCTTCGCAATCACAGATTTTCCAGTCTGTGGGGAAGATCGATCCCCATTCTCTAGAAGGCCCCTTTATGGATCCTTAGAGCCCTTTCTGTTGCTCTACACATCTTTCAACCCTTGAATTCTTGATTTCTAGAATGGTGGACAAGCAAGATTCACCATATACAACCTCCAGTCATCTGGAAACCATGTCCGAGCCCGACCAAAGGGGCATTCCTTCTGGGGACCCCAAGTCTTCGGATGCTGTGGATCCCAACAACCCACAGGTAAAGGGCTCAATCCCTCCATGGTCGTCCCAGTACTAACAGAATGTCAAGAATTGGTCTCTCGAAGCCAAACTATCCACGTACTCCACAATTTGCTCGTTTACCTTCCTCGCCAACGTCAACAGTAGCAATTTTACTGTTGCAACCCAGCCCATCATCAAAGAGTTCCATGTTACCCAGACTCAAGCCGGTGAGCTAGTCTGTTTCAATGTATTCCTTTTTGGCATGGGAAATATTTTCTGGGTGCCACTTATGCGAGTCATTGGAAAGCGTCCGGTGTATCTAGTTGCAATGCTCGGCCTGTGCATGATGAACGTGTGGTCCAGTCAAGCCATGAGTTATGGAGAACTACTTGCTTCGCGGATCCTATCTGGATTTGCTGCAGCCGCGGCTGATGCCACTGTTCCCGCCGTGGTGGCGGACATGGTCGCTCCCCAGGATCGTGGACATTACATGATGTTCTTCCATTTGGCAATGACATCAGGTCTGTTTCTCGGTCCATTAATCAATGCTTATCTAGTCCAAGAGGAGAACTGGCGCTGGATGTGTTATTTCCTTGCGATTGCCGTTGGTGTCATCTTCATTGTCGCTATTTTCACCATCAGAGAAACCTCTTACCACAAACGACACGTCAGTTCCTCTCCGATGAACCGATCGCAATTGCAGTGGATGTCCTTGACAGCGGGCTTTAATCGAGACGCATCATTCATGCAGGCTCTCTTGGATATCCTTGCAAATGCCGCATACCCGCCTTTGATCTGGTGCTCGTTAACTATTGGAATATCTGTTGGCTGGTTCGTTACCCGAGGCAATCGCAATTTTCAATTACTGACCAAAATTTCAGGAACATTGTTGTTCAACTTATGTCATCTCGGACATTCACGAAGCCCCCTTACAACTGGGAACTGGGTGACCTGGGCCTGCTCTCGCTAGCGGGATTCATTGGTTCTATCCTTGCATTTTATGTAGGTGGTCGCTTGATCGACATTGTCTCTACGCGAAGCACTGCTCGACATGGCGGCGTTCGTAAGCCGGAATATCGACTGCCTGCTATCGTGATCCCTGGCGTGGTTGGACCCGCAGGAATTCTCATTTTTGGTCTTTGCATCGCAAACAAAACCCACTGGATGGGCCCCGCAGTGGGTAATGCTATGCAGGCTTTCGGTGTCGCCGCTATCAGCAACGTTGCGGTGACATACTCGCTGGACTTGTATAAACCGGTATGTACTGTTTAGATTGTTCCTTCGACATTTTCATTGACGAAAACAATAGGTTACTGGTGAGGCTTTGGTCATCATATTCGTGATTCGGAACACCATCGGGATGCTGGTATCGTTATACGCCGCAGACTGGATTGAACGTCAAGGACCTACAGCTGTCTTTGGTGAAATGACTGCGATCCAAGTCGTGAGCATCCTCTTTGCGATCCCCCTTTTCATTTGGGGTAGTTCTATTCGAGCTTTCACTTCACGATATGGTCCCATGAAGCGTTTCCAGGATTAGTGAGCACTTTTAATTGATACTTTACGCGTTTCTTGGGTCTATAGGCCCATGAGCATGTGAATCCAACATTGTATGTCATACAAAGGGTGTGTTATACGAGGCTACGAGTCGTCCTCTGCATGACTATATCTCCGTAGGAAACATTTCCGGATAGTACTGGCCCACTGGATATAGCAGCAAAAGGCATACAGATACCGAAGTTGATTCGGTGTCAAGAGTCAGGGAACGAAACCTGGTATTTAACTTGATAATTGAGCGAAGGCAGCGAGGCTAACCCGACTTCAGACTCTTTCAATCGAAGGATAACTCATCCGCCCAGGTATCAAGGTCTTCGGCTCGGTATCGGGGTGCCGACATAGACCACAGATCATCGTTTCTCGGCGTCAGATGTGTTGTTTCTGCTGGCAGCCCCGGCATCCGGACTGCCCGGAAGTTTTTCACCTCTCAGTTACGCTCCCACAAATTGGATCCACAGCTGATCATGGGGTGTATCATTCCCCAGAACTACGTGATAGGCGGCAAAATAGGACTTGAAGCATTGCCGGCATCTCCAGAATCTCGAAGCCGAAGTGTATATCAAAGCCGACAACACCGTATAAAGTGGAGAGCCGAGTCGACCACGGTTCATCGGAGAATGCAGCCGCTCATTCGTCCACCATAATGAAGAGCCGCGGATATTTGGCCGAAAACGGCGATCGGCGGGATCGACAATCGGCACCACATATTTAAGTCCCTTGTCCTTGGAAGTTCTGATTCGAGGAATTGTATCTCCAACTCCTCCACGGGGCTCATTCCAAATGCATCGACTCCATGTGCTTCTCCACGCGCCACCCAGGCCTAAGGTATCTCGTCTATGGGGACTCTCGACTCAAAACTTGGACTAGTCGATGGACATAGTCGCGCACGTTTTCTCACTGTTCCTGAAGATGGTGGACCATATCTACAGTACCGCTGGTCTCGCCTAGGGCCTCTTTTCCACTCCCAGTATATGATCGACATGAAATGGCCCGTTAAGTGTATCATTCAGGTCCGGCTATCTCAAGGCCCTTCCAAAATCAAGGAATGGGAAGACGAGCTTTGCGGGTCGCCTTGTTCTAATCCAACCAGAACTTTTCCTCGTGATATGGGAGCCTTGGAGATCCGGTCCACCATACATGGAGGCAAGCATTAGGGCAAATTTTGGCACTCGGCTCTCGAACGAGTATTGGTGATTACAACGCTCGATGTTGTGCCGCCGATCGTCCGAAAAGATATAAAATACCCTCTGTATCCCTCCTCCATCCTTCTTTTCATCAAGCAGATCAGAGATCAGTTTTCTATTCCAATTCTTCTTTGCACAAAGACTTCTTTCGCTTTTCGAGTTATCGTTGACCGACAACTCTTCAATTCTTCCCAATCTTTTGAACCGTCAAGTCTTTCATTCAATCACATTTTCGCAATGAAGACCTCCTTCGCCGCTGTTGCTCTTGCCCTCTCCGGCTCCGCCATGGGTGCTCCGTTCTCCAACGGAACTCGCCCTGCTTTCACTTCTTCTCCTCGTTCGACTTCTGCCCAGGTGTCGTCGACTGACCCGCCTCTCCCCAACCCATTCGCTTCCTCTAGCACTGGCTTGCCTTCTGGAACCCCCTCTTCCGGTGCACAATTTCCTAGTGGCGGTGTCCTGAAGCGCGGAGAAGCTCTCTCTATCCCAACGGATCTTCCCTCTCTGGCATCCGATGCTCAGTCTGTGGCTGCAGCTCTTGCTTCTGCTGGCGCTGGTGCCCATAAGCGTAGTGAGGCGCTTTCGATCCCCACGGATCTGCCCTCGCTGCTGTCTGATGCCCAGTCTATCGGCTCTGCTTTGGCATCCAGTGGTGCTGGCTCTAAGAAGCGTGGAGATGCTCTCTCTATCCCCACCGATCTTCCATCCCTGGTATCTGATGCTCAATCAGTTGCTGCGGCCCTTGCCTCGGCCGGTGCAGGTGCCCAAAAGCGTGGTGACGCTTTGTCAATCCCTACCGACCTGCCCTCATTGCTGTCCGATGCTCAGTCTGTTGGAGCCGCAATCGCATCTGCTGGTGCCCAGAAGCGTAGTGTTTCGGAGCCCATTCCCACTCCGACTCCCACTGGTACTCCTTCCACTCCCCTTGGAACCGCCGTCCCTACGCCTTCTAGCAGTCTGTCTACTCGCCCTGCCTCCTCTGCATCTGCTACGCCTGCTGTGTCTTCTTCGGCTGCTGGTTCTGCCTCATCGTCTGGCCGTCCCCTCCCCACCCCTACCGGTGCCTCGCCTTTCAGCCAGCCTCTGGTCTAAGATCCAGCTTAAGGAACGGTCATTAATCATCCCAACACTCGGCTTGGAGCCTAGTTGGGATTGTCGAATTGCCCGTCTTTGTGCAATATTTCCGAATGTTTGGAATAGTCGCTCGTTTTGACGGAAGATCTTGTTATTCATGAATTATTTTATTAGATTGGGAATATATTTTATCAATTGAATCTACCTTGACATTTTCAATCAGTTTTGATTATCTTTCGATTGTCTATTACTCTTCTTTGATTTGAACCTTTACTCCCTCAGGAAGATCGACCTCTCTCAAATGCTGTACCGTCACATACTGTGGCACATTCACCCTGTATGATTTGGTCAAAGTCAAGCTCCGGTCGAAACAGTACTAGAGACAAGCACTCACCTGATATTGTAGCTGGGTGGTAAGGATCGCGTTGTGATCACAAGACCGACACCTGCTCCTTTGCTTTCTAGAGCCTTCTTATATCTAAGTTGGGTGTTTAGTGCCTGTTCTGGAGCTCTTCAGAACACAGGAAGTCCTACTTCTCATCGAAAGGCTCAAAACTCCGCCAAGCGTCTTCGCTTTCAAACTGAATATGGAAACGCTGCGCGTACTTTGTTAGCATAATATATATCTCCACATGGAACCAAGTCCAACTTGAATATAGGTATGACTAACGTAAGCAGCCATAATTTCAAGAGCAATAAACGAATACAGTCAATTGAATGGTTGAAGTCGAGTCATCAATGGATAGCGTTGAAGCCAGTGACGTCATTGCGGCAAATTGGTGAGTGTTTTGTTTGATCTGTATAGCTCTAAGCATTGTGCGTTTATAGCTCGATTTCAATGCCTGTAGATTATCTGCACAAGATACTTCAAGAGGTTAAATAATTATTTGTTATCATATGCAACAGAAGCCCAAGACACATCCCTATTTACGGTGTACGGATAGCAGAATAATGCAATCATGACAATATAACACACGGGTGCTCGAGTCTCCTAGATATGCTGAGCACGCTTCCACTGCGGCTCAAGGTTCTCGCCAATCACACGAGCGGCTTCCTTCTCCAATTCGCGGCGGGACAAGATATCGCGCTTGGAGACCTTGGACTGCGAATCTTCGCGAGACATTTCCACTGTGACACAACTTCGTTAGCAGTCTTCGATGTAATTTGCAGTGGACCGGGGTATGTTTACCATGGATATAGACAGCAGCACGCTTGCCACTGAATAAAGCATGTGGGACATTGGTACTTCCGTCACTGTTGGCATCACCAATGGCAAAGACACCAGTTTGGTTCGTCCGCATGCCGCTGGTTACAGTAATCTTTCCATCAGCAACATCAAGATGCATCTTGGCCGGCAGGCTCGAGTACTGAGTAGTTGGGAAGTTGACGATAAAAGCGCTACGGTCGATGGGTTCACCGGTAGTGAAATGGACCCGGAACTTGTCAAACTGAGTATCGGTGGTTCTGTTGCGGTGGATGCTGCCATCCTGAAGACGCTCAAGCGATGCGATCGTGCGGTTCTCGATCTTGATGTTCCATGCCTTCAACTGCTCCTCCCAGCCCTCATGCTGACTAGTGGCCTGTATCTCACCCTGGGGGGTTTGTGTACCGTTGACGAATGCAATGACGTCCGAGTACAGGGTATTAGTCTCAAGTACGCTGCCAAGGACATCGGACAAGTTGCCAATGATACCAAAAGGTTGCTCGCGGTGTTCATATCCGTCACACCACGGGCACCAGAAGACACCCTTGCCCCAGGCTTCCTGCAGGCCGGGAGTCGCTGGCAAGACATCTCGAACACCAGTGCCTAGTACAATCTTGCGGGCAGTGTAGTTCTTGCCAGAATTGTCAGTGACGGTGAAAGAAGAGTAATTACCGCCCATTGGGGTGATTGACTCGACGGTGCCATTTTGGATTCGAGCAGTTGGATATTTAAGGATCTGTTCACGCGCCAGACCTCGGAACTCAGCTGGCGGAGTGCCATCGTTGCCCAGAACATCGTGCATCTCTCGTGTGGGGTCATTGCGGTATACACCACTGTCAATCAGGAGGGCTTTGCGCTGGACACGAACAACACCGCTGAGAGCACTAAGGCCCGAGGGACCACCGCCGACAACGATCACATCATAGTCGGTCTGGGGCACAGAAACTGCGCCAGTGACTGTCAGCAGGGACAGGAGGGCAGAAACGAAAGCTCTGATGGGAGCCATGATGAGCCGGTTGCGTTGTAAAGAAGAGACAGCGACTCAAGTCCTGGGGGAGGACAAGGAATTTATAGCCCGGTCGATCTTGCCTGGGTCACCGAGATTTGTCGCACATCATGGCCGGAAAGAACAGCAGGATTGACCACATTTGGTCATTGTTGTGGATACTTTAGGGACTTCATGTACCTTGCGGTCCCACTGTGGACGAGCTGAAGAGATCGGCAGATTGACACCCACGAACCATTCATGAGCCATCCAGATTTGAGGGCGCAGGGTCTATCGGACATCCGGAAGTTACGGACTTGATTAGTGGCTCCATGCAACTTCCGATGTACTGTAAATGTACTAGCTAGGCCCGCGTCTTGCCGTCACGGTGAAGGAAAGTGTAAGTGAGATCATGAGAGGAACAAGGTATTGTGTAGGAAAAAAAGGATGCACTACAATCGTTTCTCCAAAGCCATTAACTAAACCGGGATATAGGAATACTTGAGATGTGAGAGTTGAGAGACGAGAAAAGAGATGCAGATATCAGATCACGGGGTCTTGTCTTGGCCTACCCTCAACATCTCATCTCTTTTGATTCCCAACATCCACACATATCACACTTAATCTGCCCCATCTGTACTCCGTACCCACAATACAGAACACAATGGCCTCCTCCCTCTACGTGTGACCCCAAGCCAATAGTGTGTGGAGCTGGTGGGCCCGTGTTTGCGCGAATTGTGTACATCGACGCCATCTTCTGCACTGTGAGATCACTGGGAGATCTGCGCAAGATCGAATCTTGAAATGAGCTGCATTATGTATTATGCATTCGAAAGCTATCCACATCAGGCCATAGTCTACCGTCCCATCCAGCCCCCATCCACTGTCAACACCTCGCCACTCACATATGCGCTCGCCCGGCTCGCCAAGTACACAACTGACCCCTTGAAATCATCCGGATTCCCCCATCGTCCGGCAGGGATTCGGGCTAGGATGCTGGCAGCACGTTCCTCGTCCTGGATCAAGGCCGTGTTCATATCGGTCGCGACATAGCCCGGCGCAATGGCATTGACATTGATTCCTTTCGCTGCCCACTCGTTTGATAAGGCCTTGGTGAGTTGTGCCACGCCGCCTTTCGCTGCTGCGTATGCGGGAACTGTGAGACCCCCTGGAAGGAAACCAGAGATGCGATATTGATGATGCTACCGCGTTGACCCGCCCGGTCAGGGGTACGTGTAAGCATGTGCGCGCCGACGTCGCGGCAGAGGGTGAATACAGTCGTGAGATTGACTTGGAGGACCTATACCATCCATCAGTGGTAGTGTGACTAATCATCCCGAGAAACTTACCTCGTCCCAGTCCTCGAGCGGGAAGATGTGGCTTGGATGTCGGCGCTGGATTCCCGCGCAGTTGAGGAGAATGTTGATGTCGTGTCCACCCTTCAACACACTCGAAACGAGTAGCGACACTGAAGCTTGCGATGAAAGATCAGCAGTATAAATGGTCGCTTTTCGCCCAAGATTCTCGATCCGAGACTTCGTCTCTTGGTTGCTAGTGTCTCTCTGAAAAGAAGTCAGTCACTTCCAATGACTACGGACATCAGATTTGGTCACCTGGACAAGAACTATATCGGCGCCAGCTTCAGCCATTGCAATGGCCATGGCCTGGCCAATGCCACGGGTACCACCCGTGACGAGAGCTGTTTTTCCGGAGAGCGAGAAGAAGTCCATGGTGGAGCCTGACGATGTTGTTCACTATGCGTCCAACGTCGATCTTGTCCTGTGGGGAGAAGCCCACGTCTTATACCATCGTCTTTCACCCCCACGCTTTCCCCCGCATCGGTAAACCGCATGATGCCAATGATCACTACTCGTGAGGCACATCGGGCTCAATTTACCCGAATGAGGAATTCGGGTTTGCAAAATGCTAAGGTCAAATTGTCATACAAGTATTATCTATTGGATATATGATTACCACTCCCGAATGGAGCCGTCTGGTCCATAAAACTCCTTGGGCTGCCACGGCACTGTCTCCTGGCTGATCTTCCGCACGAGTTCCTCGTCAATGTCAATACCCAGACCAGGCTTACAAGGTGCAGCCACATGGCCCTCCTTGATATCGAAGACTGTCTTATCCACCAAGTAGCTGTTCAGGTCAATGTCCCCTGCTTCTACGTTGTAGTGCATCCCTAGCGACATCTCTTGGATAACAAAGTTGGGGATCGAGACCGCGACCTGAAGTGAGGCGGCCAGAGCGATAGGCCCGAGAGGACAATGGGGCGCGATAGCCACATCGTAGGTCTCGGCCATGTTTGCGATCCGCATTGTTTCTGAAATGCCTCCCGCGTGGGCAATATCGGGTTGTAGAACATCCACCGATGAGTCCTCCAAGAACCGCTTGATATCCCAGCGAGTGTATAGGCGTTCACCAAAGGCAATGGGGATTGTGGTGTGCTGTGAGAGCTGTTTGATTGCCTCGGGATGCTCGCATAGCAGGGGCTCCTCAATGAACAGCGGCTGGTAAGGCTCCAGTGCCTTCGCCAGCTGCTTAGCCATTGGCCGGTGCAGACGACCATGGAAGTCCAGGCCAGCATCGAGTCCCAGAGCCTTCACTTGCTTCAGTCGTTCCACGCATGACTGCAAGACTGCTGGGGAGTCAAGCCAGTTGACATCTTCGGTAGCGTTCATTTTGATACACTTGAGGCCCTGGGCGATTCGTGCTTTCCTATTATCCTGGCATGTTAGTTATATGTTCCTCCTTAGAATGCTTGTAGAAAACTCACGCTGCGGCCTCGACCTCACTCGGTCGGTCACCTCCAATCCAGGCGTATACCTGTACCTTCTGGCGCACCTTGCCACCCAGCAGCTGATGCACCGGCACGCCCAACCTCTTGCCCTTCAGATCCCACAGTGCGATGTCAATACCAGACAGGGCAGACATGAAGACAGGCCCACCCCGGTAGAATCCTAGTCGCCACACCGTCTGCCAGATGTGCTCAATGTCACTGTCCAGGATTAGCCTTACAGCTATGTCAATTGTTATTCTCAAGCGTACTCGGCCTCATATCCCACAATGCGCGGGATGATCTCATCCAAAGCACCCTCGACAGCGAGTGAATGTCCTTCCAGAGTGCCCTCTCCCCATCCAAACTGACCCTCTTCGTCGGTCACTTTGACAAACAACCAGCGGGGCTTCACCCGGAAGTACTCGATTGACTTGATCTTGACCATTTTGAACGTGAAAAGTGTACAGTATGATCACAAGAAGGATGCAACCTGGTTAAATGTCAAGAGCTCCCCCGCATAGCCAGCACCCCACGCGGGGGGGTCGGGAGAAGTCCGGGGATCAACACCCCCACGCCAAGGGGATTGTCTGCATGTTTCTATATGTGATTGGCGGGAAAACCTCAGGATGCGGTACACATATGTATGCTGTCATGATCTTCTTTGTAGTAAAATATTCTAGTACAGGTAGCGGAAGTTCGCATTCTCCTTGTCCGTCAGGTCGCTAAACGCCGTCCGATCTAATTCCAGCTGTCGGACATAGTCATTGTCCCCTCCTGGCGCCACATTCTGTGCCCGGTCGCGACGTCGGTTCTCCCATGCAAGAGCAATTGCGAGGAACACGATCAATGCGATCTCGATGAGGTTCGCCACGATCATCGACCAAATACCCAATGTATAGCCCGGTGCCTGTTCAGCTTTGTAGAAAAATGGTCCTGCAATATTACCAGTGCAAACACCCAGGAAGATCATTGCGTTGGTAACAGCTTTCTTGGTGTGGCCTGCAATATTTCCGGTGAGGATCGAAAGGATGATCACAAATGAAGCATTGTAAGAGCCGGTCAGGTAGTAGCAGATCAGTCTCGCCACACTGTTGGACTCAGGTACAAAGTTGAGACCGAAGGAACCTGCTAGAGTCGGGAGAACAAACACGATGGCAACCATGCATCGGTTGTTGCGTGGCAGTCGGTCATTGATGAACACGCTGAGTAGGATCATCACTGCAATGAAGACACCATACGGGATTTGCATAAGAGTTGTAACCACTGAAAACGGTCAGAACCATCAAACAATTCTATAAAATACGGGGCACCCACGCGTTGAATAGCCGAATCCCTTGATAATCAGCGTTCCAAAATTCGAGATGCCTCCATTTGGAATATTCGCACTGAGACCAAGCAGGAAGAATGTCCAAACTTTCCAGTCAGTCAAGGCCTCGAAGATCTGGTGAGGCTTCATGTTTCGGTTCTCTATACCAGTCTGGTTGTCTCGCAGTCTTTCAACTGCGAGTTTCTTCTCACGGTCAGACAGCTGTGGCGCTGTGACTGGGGAGTCGGGGAGGAATATGACCATCACAATGCCCCACACGCAGCATAGAGCACCGATGATCAAGAATTCGTACTTCCATGAAGCCAGGGATCCTTCGATCTGGCCAATCCCATATCCCAATAGACCACCGACCGCAATTCCGAAGCCATTGGCGGTGTACCACAGTCCAATCCGAATAGGTTGTTGACGACGAGTATACCACATGCTTGTAATAAGCATGAAAGCAGGATCACTGTCAAAAGGCTAGTAAGATAATGCACAAGTAACACAGCTGATGTACACATACCTGCAGGCTTCAGCTGCGCCCGATATAACTCGCAGCACAGCGAGTTGGGTGAAGTTTTTAGCAGCCGCTGTCAAAATTAGACACCAAACAATATCTCAAGAGAGTGGAAATACCCTGTAGCATGAGGAAGAACCCCCAGAGAAAGATGTTGACACCAAGATATTTGCCGATAGGGAATCGCTGCATCAACAGGTTGGTTGGAAAAGACCAGACTAGGAAGCCAAAATAGAAGACACTCGACAGCCATGAATATTCGGCCCCAGAAAGGTTCAAGTCCTCCTGAATTCCAAATATTGCTGCATAGGATAGCGTGGTTTTGTCGATCTGAACATCAGCAAACGTACCTCGGAGACTCAGGCAGAACATACATAGTAGAACGCATAGCAAACAGATAAAAAGGGCAAAATCATCAAGTCGATCTTGCGAACCAGCCTCTTCTCCTCGCCTGGCTCAAAGCCTTGGTGCAACTCATCCAGGTTATCAAACAAAGCCAGTGCTGCGTCTCCATTGTGAATTTTGCCTGTATCAGTGGCAATTCCAGCGCCCTCAACATGCATAGCGGCTGGTTTGGGGGTGTTGTTGTCTGCCATGGTGGAGATGGTGTTCGAAGCTGAATGTGAAACCTGGAGTCCATAGATATACTGGGGAAGACGCACTAACCCAAAATCCCCGCAAGCAATGGACCCCCAAACGGAGTCAATATCTCCGTCTGGAGAACTTATGCGACCCCCACGCCAAGGATCGTCGGTGGTGCTTAAAATGAGATGATCCCCGTCAGTCACATAGGATGCAAGTTCGCAATGACACTCACTCGTCAGGAGGTCAGCCAGCACAACAGCCGGCAATCTTGCTGGGTCATAATCCATGGAGCTGTCTACGATGTCACAGGTGAGGTCTTGTCTTCAGTGGAATGTCCTAAGCTGACTCCATAGACTTCCTTGACTCCCACCCAGGAGGGCCCCAGGTGATCTTGCGATGTGCGGGCAAAGACGCAACTGAGGATTTCGATTCAGTTCATGCACCTGAGCTATTGAGCGAGGTCCTCCTCGAAAGTACAGTTCGAGGTCATATTGATCCAGCTGAACTGCAGGTGCTTGACCCGAAACTGAACGACACAATGCAAACAAAATCGGACTCCAATGCCCCACCATTCTTGCACAGTCTGATCAATCTACATGATTTCGAACATGTAGCGGAAAAGCATCTGCCCGCTAATGCCTGGGCCTATTACTCGTCAGGAGCCGACGACGAGATCAGCAAGCGCAATAGTGCCCGCGCGTATCAAAAGATCGCACTTCGCCCACGTATTCTGCGCAACATCCCCAGCGTAAACACTACGACTTCGATCTTGGGGCATTCGGTCTCTCTTCCGGTGTATATCTCTCCGGTGGGAATCGCCAAGCTCGCCCACCCAGATGGTGAATGTGCGCTCGCGTCGGCAGCAGGCAAGAGGGGCCTTGTTCAAGTACTTGCAAATGGCTCAAGCATGCCGATCGAGCGGGTGATGCAGAGCCGTAACTCACCCGATCAGCCTATTTTTCAGCAGCTTTATGTGAATAAAGACATTCAAAAGTCTGTGGATACAGTGCGTCGAGCTGAAAAGGCTGGGGCCAGCGCAATTTGGATCACGGTTGACTCGCCAGTGGTGGGAAAGCGAGAGATGGACGAACGGTTGAATCTGAATGTCACAGTATGTCTTAAGTGTCCTCCGCATTGAATATTCCAGCTGACAGATCATATGCTACTGATAGCGATGCCCAGGGCCAGGGAGTAGCCAAGATATTGGCTAGTTCGACATCTCCTTATATTGACTGGGATATTCTTACATGGCTCCGTCAACACACAAGTCTCCCCGTGGTAATCAAGGGGATACAATGCGTTGAAGACGCCGTAGAGGCATATGAACATGGTGTTCAAGGCATTGTTCTCTCCAATCATGGAGGACGTTCACAAGACACGTATGTTCTACCTAGTCGTTCCAATGGTGTTTCCGTTCTGACATTTCACAGGGCTCAATCGCCACTCCTAACCCTTCTGGAAATCAAGAACTTTGCACCTCATTTGATTGGAAGCAAAATGCAAATCTACATTGATGGTGGCATTCGGCGAGGGACTGATGTCCTGAAGGCTATCGCGCTTGGTGCAACTGCTGTAGGACTGGGGCGACCATTCCTCTTTAGCATGTCGGCTGGGTATGGAGAAAAAGGGGTGCTGAGAATGCTTGACATCCTACGACAGGAGATAGAGACAAATATGGTCTTCCTAGGAGCGACTAGTCTCAAAGAGCTGAAGCCTGAGATGCTGAATGTCAGTCGACTGGAGAGGGATCTCATTGGCAGTGTGAAGCTATAACTCATTAATCCTGACTATTTATACTGGCTTCTGTGCTTAGTCTCAACTGCTCCTTGTATCCTTCCATACTGACCAGGAAATCTGATCCAATCTACCTTTAGCAAGGTAAAGAATGACCTAGAAATGAAAAATCATCATTGGTGCATCAACAAGACCCTCAAATGCTCCAATGCCAGCCCTTCTGCCGCTGATCTCGGCATTTGAATTTGACCCCCACGCCCTCGGCCGCCCTCCGATGCGGGGATGAAACGCGACGAATGTTCATATTTCCGTCGCTTTGGTCTGCTTTATCGCAATTCACACCATGTCAGGCCAAATTGATGTTCTTCTTTACGGGCTCGGAGCGTAAGTACTTCTATCCACTCGCGAGTTATATGCTGACCTTGTAGAATTGGCTCCTTCTATGGCTTTATCCTCAGCAAATCCGACCGCGTTCGCCTGACGGTCGTGGCCCGTTCCAACTATGAAGCTGTGAAAGCAAATGTACGTTCCAATAAAACTAATAACAACAAATGTTAACTCTTTCTCGATAGGGCATCACTATAAACAGCGAAAACCATGGCCAGCATACTTTCCATCCCCACCGAGGTACATTCAATCTACAATCGGTCAATTTGCTTAGCTGACACTCTGTTAAGTGGTAAAGTCTGCTGCTGAAGTTTCCCCGGTGGATTACATTGTGTGTGCGCACAAGGCTATCGACCAGGACGAGGTGGCTGGTCGGTTGCAACCAGCCATTGACCCCAAACGAACTACTATCGTGGTCATCCAAAATGGCGTGGGGAACGAGGAACCATTCCGGAAGAGATTTCCCGACAACACAATTATAACTTGCGTGGTAAGAGCTTCTCGGTTCTCACAATTCAAAGCTTGGAATCTAACTCCCATTAGACATGGGTAGGCGCTACGCAAACAAGTCCGGGCATCGTCAAGCACACCAAATCCGAGGATATGCAGATCGGTCTATTCCCAAACCTCACAGTCAACAGTCAGACCGAAAAACAACGGCTCGAGACATTTGCTGACCTCCTTCGGAATGGAAAGACGCGATTCCAGGTTCTTGACGATATACAAGTACAGCGATGGGAGAAAGTTGTCTGGAATATAGCATGGAACTCATTGACCACGCTCACCATGGTGGACACTCAGACCTGGCTGCACTCCTCTGAAGACGCGACACCATTCACACGCCAATTGATGCAGGAGGCTATTAACATTGCGCGTGCCTGCGGTGTGCCACTTAAGGATGAGCTGATTGACCAACAGATGGACAAGATCAATGCCATGCCTGGTATCGGAAGCAGCATGCAAACCGATTGCAAATGCGGGCGACCAATGGAGATCGATGTGATCTTGGGTTTCCCAGTGCGCAAAGCTCGAGAACTAGGCATTCAAGCGCCTTATGTGGAGGCTCTATATGTTCTTCTTCGGGCAGTTGATGGCCGACTCAGGGCGGCGCTGTAAGAATAGACTTGGTTGGAACCGAGATGAAGATCATCTCGGTTTGAGTTCAGTTAGCAAGCGTCAATGATATGTCATGCTAGAGAAGTTCCACCAATGACAGTAAACGATTCACGATCGTCTGTTTTGATACTCCAAGTAGGGTGATTTGGTGTAAGTGCATTCCCCCACGTATAAGTCCCCCACGCGTGGCGTCATGTGTAAGATCCTTGTGGAGCCTTGTTGTGCACCAATTCCCGCTTGATATTGTGTAGGTTGCTGTGTAATTCTCTTACAAGCCCCCCACGCGACATAGCTTGGCGATATCCATATTCCTTCATGTTGAAGCTGTGGTACCATACACTGTGGATAGAGCGATCAAAGAAGAGGCCAAGGGAGTTACAAGGAGAGATATTTTAGAAACCAATTTTCTGGGTAACGGGTATCAATGAGTAGGAAGATTAGAGCGTAGGCAAGACGGCGCATAAGCAGCCCTTTGTCCTCGGGGCCCAAGGAAGAATGTGTATAAATATGAGGCCAAATATTTCATGGATATCATAGAGGACCGCCCCTTCAAATTACTGTGAGGAAAGGGGGGTGGACATACAAAAGGAGTCGTGAGAAACCACAACACCAGTCCAAGATTCTTTGTACAGTATGTCAAAGCGCCGTTGCCACGTAAGGGCGAAAATTCCCAAATGCAACCAGACAAAGTAAGAGCCAGCTTGCTTGTCGATCGATCCATCTATACCTCAGCGCCCAATATTTCCAACGCGAAAACGCCCATATCCAAAATATATCCGGGGAACATGATATAACACAATCATCAAAGAAAATCACAAGCGAAAGAACATATACCAGGAGATCAAAGCTGAGTCGGGCTCTGCGGCCTTCGAATTTCCTGTAACTGAATCGATGTATTTTTGTCGCCCTCTGTTTCTGAATCACCAGATCGGGTATCTGGAGGCTTAATAGTCTCTGGTTCCTGGTCTACCGCGAACCTCCAGCGGTTGTCGGCACCCATGAACATTCGGAAGCCGTAACGTTTGTTCAAAGATGTGAGGTGTGCATGCCGTTTGGCACTGCTCCATGTGTGAGTGTCGGCAAAATCATTAAGCATCTGGCTATGGGAAATCCAAGGAATGACAGCTCCAATGGAACGTGGCATTCGCGGCGCTCGGAATCGGCCACGACGGGTCCAAAATACCAAGAGCACCACTATTGTGTCAAATACAATTATAGTCAAGGCAATGGCAAGCGATGGGGCCGACGGGACCATGCGCCAGGTGCTTCTGGTGACGGTGGCATTCGTGGCCTGAATGGGCTCGATAAGGGGCTCTAGGTAGATGTTGCGCCATATTGAGAAGTAGGTGCTATATACCCACTGAAACACGGTTTGAGTCATATCCATTAGGAGGTCGGGGTTCAACGAGTCAAAGTCAGGATCTTCGCGCTGGTAAAGACGGGCAACGAGGAAACCTGCCCAGTCGTACGATGATACGTTGTATGTCCCGTTCTGCATAGTGGTGTTGCCGACATAACTGTTGGGAATGGCGGCAAAAACTTTGTTGAACTGCCCGAGACTCACGGTCGCGTTGTCATACATGGCTCCTTCCGTGATCGATGTATTGGCCACTGGGTTATGCCATGCGATCTGACCTTTCTCATCGAAATTGATAGAGTAGTCCTGCAGTTTGGCCTGAGGCTCACAATGCAAAGCAATGGTGTTGTTGTCGGTGATTGGCGTATTTGTCAAGTAGTCCCACCGGCCAACGACCAAGACAGTCGAGGTTTGACAGATATCAGAATGCTCGGTGTCATCTGGAGATAGAAAATGAATGGAGAGAGCAATTCCTTCATCCTTGCCCTTTAGCGGTGGCATGCCTGCGGTACACTCCATCGAAGAGTCGCCGAACAACTCATATCGCCAATATTGACGACCGCTGGTTTTGTTGTGCACAAGGGCGTCGGTTGGAAGTGTCTGACAATCCAGTGTGGTACCCACCCCAAGGGTTGTTGCCCCATACGTCACATCAGCGTCGCGGTTTTTCACGTGGATGGGAACAAAAGACTGGTTAGGACTTGTCCATGGCAGCATAGGGATTCCACTGGTGATGCTGGTCTGTATCAGATCATACTCAGTGAATTGAGCAGCAAAGTCAGTCTGCCAAAAGATGGACTGGCTGTAGTTCATGGTCAAATCCTGGGTTGCCAGAGTAGAAGTTGCCATTTGTTGCGTGAAAAGTCCGCCCGCCACGACAGTGAGAGCCATATTGACAACACAGGCTATAGAGACCAGTCCCAGTAACACATGTCTATCACGTACAGACTTGAAGAAAATGGCAAACGGACTTTGGGAAGAGTAATTCAAGGACAGGGAAGCCCGTGCGGACGCATTCCCACGTTGAAGGTGGACCCAAGGCTCCAGAACGCTGAGGTTTCGGTGGATGGAGGTGCAGAGAGACCCCACAGACGAGGCTACGACCGAGGGTAGGAAGGAAAGAACAACCTGGAATGAGCTCGAGTCGCCCTGAGTCAGGTGGCGGAAGCGGCCGTCCTTGAGGAGGGAAGAAATCACCAGTCCCATGAGAATTATGACACCAGCCAAAGCTAGGAACTCCACGAGAAAGAAGGGAATGACGAGAAAGTGAGGCATCGGATCAACACGGGTTTGGAGATTCTCATCAAGTTGAACGGGGGAGCCTATTTACATAGTCAGTCGCGGGTCTTCAAAGGGACCATATAGTGCCAAAGAAAGGGTACATACCATCTTCAGCAAGGATCTCCAACCGATCGCCACCAGGGCCCGGTCGCCAGTAACATCTAGCCTTTCTGAAGATACGCCGAAGTTGACGCGTGGAAAACTGATGAAACTCAGCGACTGGCTCGGCGAGGATGTTGGATGGGTGAAAGACATCCGCAGTGATACTGCACATAGCACCGATGGAGCCCGGATCGCTTTGGAGGAAGATTGGTCGCGTACGGTACGTGTAAAGGAGGTACAAAGCAGCCAAGATCGCCGAAACCAATATGAGCTCAGACCAGATAGCGGCAAAGTGGACGACGGCAATGGCAACCTGGTTGGAAAAGCGTGACGCCGGAACAATGGCAGGCTTAGTGTCTGGATCAAACAAACGACCGAGAGTCAACACAAACGTCTGTTTTACATCACGTTCAATCTTCGATTCGAATTCAGCTTCCGTCATGACGGTCGACGTGTCAAGCACCAAGAGCGGCTGAAGTTCCCCTAGTTCCTGGCTGATCACAGGTAGCTCAGTCACGGTGCGTCCTCCTGTGGTAACGTTTTCACGAATAAAAAGCATGTCACTCGTGTACGGAGCGCGCTGGGAAAGCAGGGCTTGAAAGTGCTCGATGCTAAACTCGGCATCGGTAAGCGTGCGGGTAGTGGTTGGGTCGATTTTGATAGACATGATAGAGCTGTTCGAGTGCATATTCACTTGAGCGTCGGCTTTGTGATACAGAATGTCGCAAGCGAAGGCGACACCGGACGCGGAATATTGGGTCGAGCTGGACGTCGAAGTCGAGCTGGTCGCATTCACCCCAATAATCATGCCATAAAGGTCATAAGGGTCGCAGCCGGACGCTGTAAAGGCCTGACTTCGGTTTGGAAAAGACTCCTTGGCAGCATCACTGATGACTGGTTCCCAATAACGCACTTGGAGGTAGTCGGTTTGAGGAAAGAAAACGCTCTCATATTGAAAATCGAGAGTGCATTTGTTGGCTCCCCCATACGCATCGTCCAAGTCAATCCCAGTCGCGTTCCATGTGATGTTTGGAAACTCCGCGTCAGTGTCATCGATACTCACAGTAAGGCTGTCACCAACAAGAACATTCTCACAGGACACTTGCGCCCAATACAAAGTTTGATCCAGCGTCCACGTTGTACTTTCCTCCAGGTCGCTATCCGGAATCTCGACGGGTGCCACAGCGTATTGAGCCGACCGAGACCGGCGGAGTTGTTCGTCCGTAGAGAGTACCGAGTCGACAGTGTTGTTTGCCTGAGTTGACATCCAGTTCGCCTGTGTGCTGAGACCAACTAGGTTAGGCCAACTTTTCATAGATCCATAGTCGATAACCGTCACTTCGCGCAGCTCAAACAGGGTACTCTGCAAGGCGGGAAGAATCATCCGTATCGAGAGCGTCACAAACGAGACCCAAAGTACTAGCCAGTGATGACGGCGTGCCGCGTTGATCGGGGTCAAAATGGTTTGCCCAAAGTTGTAGTTGATGAAGAGGACGCTCGCCGGCGCCCCTTCCGGGCGTGACAACTGGAAGTACGGCTCCAGGCGAAGAACATCGAAATCGGTGACGGTCCAGACCAAAACAAGCACGAGAGAAATGATAATCGGGACGTAGTTATAGGCGAAGGTCTGGATTGCGGAGACATCGTCGGTATCGTCGAAGAAGACCAGACCCCCCTCGCGATCGCTATACTGCCGTAGCCCCTCCAGGCACAGCAGCATCGTCAACATCAGGCATATGAGGGCGACAAGGTAGGGCGGGCGCAGGGCCACTGGGCGCCAACCTCTGTTCGGGGCTGGGGGTCGAGGCAAACGAATCGGGGCAAGACCTAGATTGATTAAGATTAGCGATGTCCAGCACGGAAAGGAGGAGACTTACCCCGGGCCCAGAACCCCCGGGATGCCTCATCGTTCATGCTGGATGGGCGTAGGATAGAAGGGCATTGCCGACGGGTCAAGAGTATATCGCCATGACAGAAGAAAAGTGAAAAACCGGGACAAAAACTTGATCGACAAAGCCAAGAAAGATTTACATGACGTGGGAAGAAGAGAAGAGTTGGGGGAACGCGTGGACGTGGGGCCAAGGTCTTGGCTCAACTTTTTACGAGTTGACTACAGTAGACTACAGTATGTAGTTGGGCTCAAGTTGCTTGGAATATGGAGGTATTCTTCTATCACGTTGTGCTTCTATTTTATTTCTGACATTCTTTTTTCTCATTCGGAACGGGTACCTCAAAAAGGTACCCGAGATTATTGCCCTGG